GGTTCGATTCCACCTCGGACCTTTCTGTGTGGGGTTTGCATGTTCTCCCTGCTTCTGTGTAGGTTTCCTACATGTGCTACGATTTCCCCTACCACTAGAAACATGTACAATAGGTCTGGCATGCCTCCTGCAGGCGACCTCAATCCCATCTCTGTGTGGAGTGAGAGACAAATGTCCAAAACAATTGTAAGAGATGAAGCAATCACCTAATACTGCCTGACAACCATTAGACTGAATATTAGTGGAGTGGACTGACAGAGTGCTAATGTTACCCTAGTGTTAGCCTTAATGCTGAAGCTGATTTGATTATAAGCTAGTTGAAGCCAATTTCCTTATATGGGCATTTGTTCTGACGGTATTAGCTTTGCGCTAAAATGTTTACAAAGGCAAGCTGGAGTTTCCCTCGACAATGAAGGCAGCTCAATGGTCAATCCTTATGTGGATCATATATTTGGAGCAAAACTTTGTCCATGAGCACTTCATTTCACTGAGCTTGCAGGTTAACATTGTGCATACAGTCTATCTATGCCAACAAGACAAAACATACTTGCTTGTTCCATTGACAAATCTTCAACATATTAACAAAACATTTATTCAAGTGATTTTTTTGCTTCTTTGGTCACATTTTTGTTTGTTTATGGATTTTATCAGGCACTTTACTATTAAATGACCGCCTTTTCCTGACACAAGAATTTATTTCATACTATCTCACTTGTCTTATTTAAACTTTGGCTTAATGTGAAAACTTTTGTACATTCATACATTTACTGTCTCACTGTCATCATGTAGGTCTTGTAGTTAGTGGACCTTTTAGTCATATAACACATTCAAGGAAAGTTGGAGCAGTGTAAATCTCTTAAATAGTGTGAGGAAACAACCACGGATTTGATCAAAATGAGAAAAACAACACCAGGGGCCTCGGGCTGATTGTGCAAGAAATCCTGCAATGAACCAACAAACCACTATTTTATTCCTGGCACTGGTTTAAGTGCGATTTAAGATACAATGAGATAAGGACGCAAATACCAATCTGGAAACAATAGTAGTTGTGGATACTTCATCAGTGTGAACTTATTAATACATCCTGTAATTTTAAAGGATCAAACCAGGAAGCTTATCCTTTTAATTAATAGCACACAAGTGTTTATATGAAGTCACAGGCAGCTGAGTCATGCAGAACATCCTTGCTTAGCCAAATAAGTATGTGTTAAAATTTCACCAGTTCAAAGCCATTATGTACCACTGTGTGCTACAGTATGTTCAGTTCAATTCAAAGCCATTTATTCTTGTGTAGCCCTGAAACACAAGAGCAAGCGTATCTGAGGATTTAACAACCAAGTGAATCAAGTTGTTGATTCACTAACAACAGATCAGAGAATCAAACCGTTTCTAAACAGCAAATGCAATAATAACAAACACATATGAGCCACTGGTCCATAGGGAGTAGGATGTCCATAAATGTCAAACTTAAACATACAGTAAATGTAACCAGCATAAACCATATCTATCTTGCATTTAAAGAATGTTAGTGTTGAATAATATATCTTACTATCCCCGGCTTCCCCTCTCCATAGATCTGACCTGTAACTTGGCTTAACTGTCTTCATTGAGGCCATGAAGGGCGGACCCCCCACCAAAAAAGTTACATTGTGCTCCATCAAATCATATAAATGGTATGAGGCACTAATTCCTTTTGGAATTTACTGTATGTTCGCAAATTGGCTTTTAAAACCCTGTGGGCAAACTTTAACATCGAAGGAATAAGTTGATCTTTTGTGACCATGCATTCAGCTTTAGGCAGAGAGGAACAGACAGAATGGTGTAATTACATAATGCAAAGAAACTCCTCTTTCTCCCGCTGTCCGTGCACATAAAGACTTCTTCCTTTCATGCAGCCACCCAAGAGAAATGGTCACAGCTTTAATCAACTTCAAACCAAACAATAGTACCCAGTGTTTGTGATTCTGTGGTCAGCACAATAAGAAAACAGTTACAAATAGAGCGATTAAAACCACTCCTGTTGTATACAAGATCACAACACCTGGCTTTCGCTCTGAATAACAACTCAAAACGCAGGCGAAATCAACTTGATCTGATAAGAAATATGAATTTGGACAACTGCTTCTCTACATTTCTGATACAGCTGTTGCATGAATGTATAGGAGATGGTGGTGGATTTCCGTAGACGCCACTCTGCCGCTCCAGCCCCAGTGTACATCCAGGGAAAGGGAATTGAGAGAGTGGACTCTTACAAGTACCTGGGTGTTCATTTGAATCACAAACTGGACTGGACTCATAACACAGATGCGCTCTTCAAGAAGGGCCAGAGCTGGCTCTACCTGCTGAGGAGGCTCAGGTCTTTTGGAGTGCAGGGGCCACTCCTGAAGACCTTCTATGACTCTGTGGTGGCATCAACCATCTTGTACGGTGTGGTCTGCTGGAACAGCAGTACCACAGAGAGGGACAGGAAGAAGCTGGACAAGGTCATCAGGAAGTCCAGCTCAGTCCTGGGCTGTTCCCTGGACACAGTGCAGCAGGTGGGGGACAGGAGGGTCCTGAGCAAACTAACATCTATGCTGGACCATGACTGTCGCCCCCTGCAGGACACTCTGTCTGCTCTGGAGAGCAGCTTCAGTGACAGACTAATTCACCCTCGCTGTGTGAAGGAGAGGTTCCGTAGGTCTTTCCTTCCTGCTGCTGTCAGACTGTACAACGAGAATGTGTAACAGGAACTGCTGAGTCTGCACAAGTGTTTCTGATAATTCACTAGTAACTTGTCACTAGTCACTTTACCTGTTATCTTGCCTGGCCTGCCAAACGATATGCTTTTTCAAAGACATATAGTCTGGGAACGAGCTTGATCTCAGCGAATTCCCGGTGGGCGTGGTTGACAGACTGCATCAACCAATTAGATGCACACAGGATATGACGCAGCAACTAGCGGCACCCAAGCCGTTTCAGTAAACACAAAACAAGGGATGGCGGCATGTCAGCTAGTGCAAATGTAAACGACTGCTGTCGATTTTGTAACAAAAACTTAAAGATACGAGGAGTTATTAGCAACTCAAAGGTGAAAGGAAGTCCCGCCTCTCGGTGCGTGATTGGACCGATGTGGGTAAAATCGTGAAATGATAGGCTAGGAAGAGGTGTCCAGACGGTTCTTCTTTTGAACAGAAAGGAGGAGTGTCTGGCAGGCCAGGCAACCTGTTATCAGTACTACTACAGTACTACATATCTGATATTTACTGTTATCAGTACTACTGTATTATTATTATTATTTCATATCTGATAATTCTGCCTTTCACCGTCACTTTACCTGTTGATATCTTACTGTATTATTCATATCCATCTGATAATTCTCCCATTCAAGTCACTTTACTTGTTGATATTATTTCTGATGTTTATTCTGCTCATATTCATATTCTCATATTCTCTGCTGCTAATGTATAATATAGACATCTGTAAATACTCCGAACCAAGTGCAATTATAGCCCAGAGTTTCTTATTTTATTTTATTTTATTCAATCTTAAAATTTATTGTCTATTATCTTAAATAATAGACTCTGATGTGTGCAATCTGAGTGCTCTTATTTCCTTTCTCTGCTGTAATGTGCGCAACGATGACACTGAAATTTCTCCACTGTGAGACTAATAAAGGTTTATCTTATCTTATCTTATAGTAGAGTAGGAGCGTCTCACAAAAAGAGGGGGTGGCGAAGAGGTAAGGCAGTCGGTGGATTCAAAGATTTTGTTTTTAATCAGTATATCTGGAGGAATTAAGTCTCCGGTCTGAGCTCGCCCCCTCCCCATCCTGCTCCTTCCCCGGCATGACAATGTGATATAGGTGTGTGTGCTAAACCACTCAGATCAACATGAGCTCCCAGTCAGGGCTCATAAATGCACACTTTGGCGAGCCGTGAGCAAATGCAGCTTAGCATAATTCAGAAATACCAGACTGTGTACTGTGGTGCACAGCTAAACCCGCAAAGAAGCTTTCTCCCTCTCATCTCCCCTTCTGCCCTGCTCCCAGAGCCCATAAAGCACCACAGGACAAACACAAACCAGTGCCAAAACACACCATTTACAAAAAGTGCTTGGCTTAAGAGCTTCTATGGTTTAATTGTGGATTCAATCAACACTGAAATAATCTAATTTACAAAAAGAATCGCATTTGTGTTACAGTATATACACATTTATAGGCCGAACTGCATTATTTCTCATTATCATGCATGTAGCCCAAGACAACAGCTGGGCAAACCAATAGTATTTGTTCGTCATTGCAACAGAATTCTTATCAATTAACCCTTTCCCAAAACTTCTGAATCCAGGACACTTTCTATACAGTGACCTGATTTTCCAGAAACGTTAGCTTAAATGTATCTTACTTATTTCTATTTCTGTTGTTGATTTAGTAGTCCTACATTTCCCAAAAAATGTCTGTGAAAACTCTGGTGCCTAAAGGGTTAATTGGTTGAATGTAGTAACAAGGAAAATGACTGAAGAAGCTGATTTTTTGTTTCATTTTTTTTTTTAAACCATTGCCATTGCGAAACCTCTCAGCTTCTATTCTTTCTAGTTGCCTCTCCAAATACTCATTCGCACAACAGGAGAACACTCAGTCATCAAACAGATTTCAGTGCAGGAGTTTGGACACACTGGACATCACGCTGTATTATCTGTAAACACTGTTGTTGTAAAATATCATCACAACATCGCTACATGGAACAACTTCGGAACAGCATGCATTGTAGAGTTTTCTGACGCATTTATTACACACAAATAACAAATATGGTGTATATGTTATAGTCATTATAAGATTCCGCATTTCTTGCCATCTATGTGTTTCACTCCTTTGTGTTACTAGGTGGTAGCACAGGCTTTCTATTAATACATTTCCTTGGTATTTCACACTCAAGGACATATGTATATAGGTACAGCATTGCTTAATATAGATTGGCATTGATGTATTACGAACAAATTACTGAATCAAACACAGACATTCATTTGTGCTGCATATTTCTTACCTGGACGGTTTGCAGAAGGCAGAGGCTGCGTTCTTTGACATCTTTGAAGGGGCAGCGTTTGGACAGCATCAGGAGGTGGGCCAAGATGTCGTTGAGGTCACAGCGTTGGGGGCTTCCTGAGGCAGGAGGAGACGGAGCAGGTATGGGTTCTATGGCCTCCACCTTCTTCAGAACCTCCTGCTGAATGAGGTCCATAGCTGCATCCCTGGAGCTAGCATCGCGGCTGCTCAAACCATCCCACCTACCCAGAGATTCCTGGTCCTGCAGTTCCATGTTGTCACTCTGGACTAATGCTTGTGGATTTTTTAGAAGGCCTTTCTAAGGAAACAAAACAAAATAGTCTTGAAGTATAGTCCTGTAATAAGCAGGCTTAAGGTTTAAAAGAAGGCACAGAAATAACACTATATATCTAGAGCTATATAATTACCTAAAAGGAATCAGACATATAGAATACTTCTATCATGGTTACAATAGCAGGAGACTATTTACTGCAGTCAAACCAGTGACATGCAGTGGAGATACTGATGCAGATCTACATTAATAATACCAATAACTGTTTAAATGTGTGAAATCGCATGAGTGTAGCAACGATCAATCTAAAGTAAATTAACAAGTTCCCACTCCTGTTACTTTCATTCAATCTGTTTTTTGCATGCCTCCCGTGTCAAAGCCAAGCTCCCCGTTAACAAAGAGTCTAGACACAAGACTAATAGACATCTACAGCAAAGAACTTCACCAAATACTATTCTCTGGCCCGGAATATTAAAGAAAACATGTCACTTATGTAATACTCACTTTAATGACATTCTTTGGTGCAGGTCTTTTGCAATGGGACTTCTTACCACAGCGGTGTCCAGTGAGTCCCAGGCAGGGTAGAGACGAGGGCGGCGCCTCATGAAGGCAAGCAAATGATGGGCAGATGCGCTGAGCCTATTACAATACAGAACACCACACTATGGGCGGGGATTCAGCATTTCTGTTTGGTGATTGGACAAAAGGGCGTGTTCATGCCAGTGGGGGAGATGTTCATGGGAGTTGTATTTCTTAAAACTAATAACAGTGTGTTTGTAACGACGAGTAAAACTACGTCTCCCATCATACTATTCGGCCAAGATAGCCCCCCCACCACTTGTTTATCAGAAATAACAAATGAGATAAAAAAATGAATAAAAATCTGTATATTTTGTTGTAATCATTCAACATTTCGCTTGATATCAAAATGAAGACTTACATTCAATGTTTTGAGCTAAATTTTAGTTTTTGTACTTTTGAATTATTATTTATATTTCTATAAATTTAATGTTATTGAAATATAAATAATAACTGAAACCATACATTTATCTGGATTGCATTTGATGTTTTCTAACTTATATATGACAGTAACAACAACAGTTTTTGTCTACAACAACCACAACAATATTATTTTATATTTTGAGTATAATATGAGAAAAAATATTGTCATATTAATATAGATTATTTGACAACCATTAATATAAACCTAATCACACAGTCTCTGAAACACACACACGCTGCAAAAGATAAATGCTCAAGCGGAACCACTATGTGAGGCGCCAAAGAAGAGGGAAATTTAAATGTTTGCACACGAAGTCGGACATGGATCTAGGAAGTCATGCAACAACTAGAAACATCACTGCTATTTAACTTGTTAAAAAAACTTGGTGTAAAATAAATAGCTTCACAAATATCCCGTAAATAGTTTTCACTATGGAGGAGACCAATGAAGAGGTGAGAACGTAAAACGTATGAAGAAAAGGCTAATGTGTTAGCATACGCATTGTTTACTTTTGTCATTAGGACCTATGGTGACTAGTGTTAGCTAACTATTACGGCGTCATATTAGCGTTAAAAATTGCTCACCAAAGCGATAACTCATTTGGCTTTGGTCTACATACCAATAATTGATTTAATATGTGAAATCGTATGAGTGTACCAACGATCAATCTAAAGTAAATTAACAAGTTTTCATACCCTGTTACTTTCGTTCAATCTGTTTTTGCGACAGTGGCTCGGTTGGTATTCGCCTTTAAGCCTGAATGTTGTGGGTTCGAGTTCGAGCCCACATCACTTCACCTTCTCCACCGACTCCCACTGTTGTCTGCTGTTGTGTCCCTGGGCAAGACACTCGCCCTGGTTTTCATTCCGTTATGTGCAATTCGCTTGGATGAGGAATGATTCCCATCTTTTGTTTCTATGAGAAGGCAACGTTTTTGTTTTTACGTTTGTTAAATTAATCTTGTATGCTGTTACTGCCTTCTTAGTTGATATACTGTCCATTGTAACAATAATATAGCATGTACCTAAATTGAACTAAACCACCTATTAACTAAATGCAATTTTAACATTAACCATTGCACTAACCTGTTACGAACTTTAACGTTTCCATGACCCTCACTAACCTTTTCCAGACCTGTGCTTGACGTTGGCATTTTACCTGTATCTTAAAAATGATTTAAAATATGTCACCCATCAGTGGCCTTGTAATGTACAATGTAATTTCAATATGCAAAATACATGACTGTGAGAGTTGAGAACCTGCCGACATCAATTTATATAATTCTAGTTCCTCATTTTGCAGAGATTAGACTCGCCGTCTAGAAACAGCTATATTGGAAGTTATTATCAGCCACCAGACAAATGGATACCATTGCCAAGAAGACTGGACTACCCATTCCACAGTGTTTCAGATTCACCCTCTTGCAATCAGCATGTGTCCCAGTCAAAACAAAACATTGATAGCCAAGGTATGTCGTTCTGACAAAGCAGCACTCTGCACTTATTTTTATTTAATTTTTTGCATTTATTTAGATAATTTATTTCTATCTTCAGAATTCTTAAAGAACATTGTTCAAATAAGCATGGGTAACTGCTTGTTTGATTTCAACCCCCCATCACACATTCGCTTTTTAATTCTACTATGTGATATTATTGTGAAGCATCTATACAGTACATACAGTAATACAATTCATGATACTACCACAGCAGTCACATTCACAAAAAAGTAGTATTTTATGTATTTCTCTTCTCTAGGACTATGAAGAATACATTCTTCTTAAATAATAATAATTATTGTGTATTTATTTTTTCATATCCCTCATTACAGCTGTAGTAGATGCATTGAAAAAACTGCATGAAAAAATGGGACGTACTGAGTTTGAGACGAGCAGACACACTGAAAGGAGTCGCCAAGTGTCTCTTGAGGCACAGAACCAGCAGCAGGCCAATGCTCCATCCACTCAGAATCTACAGAGGACTGGTAGGTTTATCTCAGAGCTTTGTTGTACGTTGAATTCTTATCATTGCCGACAGATGTCAATTATCTTGTTTTATATTCAGACAGTGACGGGAGTATCCGATGCAGAATTCTTCAAAAGCATCTCGAGAAGACAAAGAGGTCCATTGAAAAAGCTAAAAAGGAGCACAATGTTTTACTGCAAAACCAGGTACGGTTATTAACCCAATGACTTAATGATTACCTGAAGTTTACAGTCATTTTAAAACAGCTCATTTGTTTCTCCCAATGCCTGTATTTTTATTCTCAGAAGACTCTACTAAAAGATCTGGATAACGCAGATGTCCAATCACAAAAGGAGAAGCTGGAGGCGCTAGAGTTTAAATATGAGAAACTGAGCAGGACCCAGACACAGGCAGAGGTGAGATTATATATTTTTTAAATACTGTTTTAATCTTTGTCTAAAGTCCTTGCGTTAATAATAAATTGCAGATGAAGCTCATTTTACTGGAAGAAAAACTCCAGAAAGAAGAACACGAGCGTAAACTGATGCAAGAGCGAACTGAAGAGGTTTGTGACTTTGGACAAATGTAAACGTTACAATATAAATAATAATAATAATTTTCAGAGTTTTCCCTGTATTTAATTAAATACATATTCTGTTCTTCAGTTACAGAGAGAGTTTGATAATTCTCTGGAAAGAAGCTCTAAAGAGACAATAATCAAGAAGAAATCTAAGAAGGCAAAGAATAAAGAGAAGGTTCGTAACATAACAATTAACATAATTAATTGTATAACGTAGTTTTTTTTCTTCCTGAAATTAATCTAGATGACCTTGAAGCAGAATGAGAAGTCGACGATCCATTCCTTCCCTCAAAAAATGCCTTTTGTCGCTGGAACGGTGGGTTTAATACCTCGATACAAAATGCATTACATTAATCACTATTAATTATTTGAGGCTCTAGAACAGATTATCACAGTACATTAAAAAGAAAGATAAAAAGATCAAATCCCTCAGTTGTATGGACGGCTAAACGGAACTGCTTTTAACTTGGATTTGACAATTAGAAGCCTCTCACACATTTTCAGGAAGATTGTTCAAGATTTCAGCTGCATGAATCTGAAATGCAGCGTCCCCATTTTTAGTTCTGACTCTGGGCACCAGCATGAGGCCAGTCCCTGTGCTCCTCTGAGTTCTCATTGGTTCATATAACACTAACATGTCACTTGTGCTTTGGTGCGAGGCTATGGAGAGACTTGTACACAAGCAGATTATTACCCCAAGATTTCTGACCTGATTTGATTTGATTGGTTTTAGGGAGAGAGACTGGAGGTGAACGATGACACTCTTTGTTTCCGGGAGCCAAAGACAATCCTTTGAGTTTTGTCTGTGTTTAGCTGAAAGAAGCTGTTTTGCATCCACTCACTGATCTGTTGGGTGCAGTGGAAGAGTGAGTCCACTGGTCCATGTTCTCCTGCAGTCAGTGAGACATAGATCTGAGTGTCGTCTGCATAGTTGTGATAGGACACATTGTTACTGCGTATTAACTGACCTAAGATTGAACAGAAGAGGTCTCAGGATCGACCCCTGTGGTACTCCACAGGTCAGGGCCATATGATCTGAGACACAGTTTCCAATCTCAACAAAGTACTTCCTGTATTCAAGGTAAGACCTAAACCAATTGGCCATCAGCTGAGCCAGATATTGTGTTGTTTCGTTCCAGCACTCGGGGCACTAAAATCTGAGCGGATCATGTGATAACATGTCTAGCATAGATTACAGATATACTAGTACTCCATTCAAAACCCCGCAGTTATTTAACGGCTTCAAATTGTTAGGTACTGTGGCATCCAGGCTGCTCTTTTTTTAGAAGGGGCCTGATGACTGCCGTTTTCAGGACCTTTGGGAATGTTCCAGAATGAAGGGACATGTTTACCAATTACTATCTGTGTGAGTGAAGGTAACAGACTGCTCAGAACAGACGTTAGAAACATAGTGGGTAGTACATCCAGGCTGCATGTGGAGGAGCTCAGACTGGAGATTATCTCTTGGACAGTTTTATCTTCTACAGGTGCAAACTGAGTTAGCTCAAAGAGCCTCTCCGGCCGTTGGATTGTTATGTGTGGATTGTAGACGTTTTTGACACTTTAAACCTTGACATTGAAAACATTTGCGAACTCATTACATTTACGTTTGGAAGTAATGGCAGCTGAACGGGGGGGTTTGCTAATCTATTAGCTGTTGAAAATAGAATCGGTTTGATGTGCTCCTGCTTGGTTGCCTTTTCTGGAACCAGTTTGATACCACAACCTAGAATATGGACCCATCTTTATCAATTTAAATACAATTCATACAACACATTTTATCACAGATTTTTTATTTTATGTGTGACCTGTTTCAGTCAACCAGCCCCAGTCATTCCGTCCACGCCAACGTTCAGAGTGTCCTCCACATGATGAAGCTGTACCAGCCGCTTCTGCGCAGGAAGGACGAGGACCTTGTCACACGCAGCTCCGTCCTCCACAGACACCAGGGCGGCTCCAGTGACGAGGCCCTTGGCTCCCTCTCAGACCTGCTGCTGGCTCTTCAGGACGAACTGGGCAAGATGAGTTTGTGAGTGCAGTTACGTTAAAAGTTGGTTAAGTGGTTTTTAGGGTGTGGGGTGTGTATGTGTACATAGGCCTGTCGCGATAGTCAATAAATCAATTAATCGCACGATAATAAAAATTTGCTCAATAACTTTTCTGTCCGCGATAAATCCCATTTGCAGCTTGTTTGTTTCCCCCGTCTCTCTCGGGTCAGAGAGCCGCAAAGTGGTCACGGGAACATTAGCGGTCTAGCAAGCAGACGGAAATTACTCAAAAATACAAAATACAGCCAAAACAGGACCTAAACCAGGACTTAACCAGGATTGACAATGGGGGACACAGTAGTTGTGAACATATGCCGGCAGCTGAGTTCTCATTCAGGCTTGATTAGTGACTATACTAGCGCAGCTAGCGTTAGCGTGTTCGCCGATGCAGAAGTACCGTACTGTACCAATAAAATAAACTTATGGCGCACCTCCGTGAACACATACTGCTGTTATATAAAGTCTCTAGAAGGTCTCTGAACACAGAGATGCTGCAGACTTGCATTCTTGGAGTAGAACTTTACACAAAAAACCCGCTAGCTTAGCTGTTAGCATCAAAGCCTGCCCCGCTACTTCCGGTGGGCGCTACCGCAGCAGGACTTCTGTACGCCCCATTGGTGAACCCACATGTCAGTCACTTGTCATTCGCCTGGTGTGTGGGGAGGTGGGACTACTGGCGTAGCCCACAGAGTGCAGCTGAGGAGCCGCGAGAGAAGTTTACCGGTAGGCACTACGCAGAGAGAAAGCTAGTTGCGAGTGCGGGACAAAACGATGGAATTGGTTTCCAAGCCAAACGCGACAGTTGCAGTGTGGGAGCATTTCAGATTTAAACCGAATGCCCGTGGTGAACCACTGAACATGTGCGAGTCGGTGTGTCGCATTTGTTGGAAAACAGTTGCAGTTAAAAGCGGCAACACAACAAACTTGCATATGCATCTAAAACACAATCAGTTTATTGTGTTCTAGCGTTAAATATTCGTTAAAAATAAAAGTTTATTTCTCTTTGAAAAGGTGTAACTGCATTATCATTGTAATCGATGCAAATGATCTCAGAACGACAATATAATCGCTTATCGCAATAATTTCTGAGACAATTAATCGTCCAGCAAAATTTGTTATCGTGACAGGCCTATGTGTACATATATATATATATATAATGGATTAATTTGATTAAATTACATTTATTTTTTCCCTAAGTCACAACAGCAGTTGTCTCGGAGGACTTTACAAAGTTGTTGCCAACAACAGATCAGTTAATCAAATTTTGATTTTACTGTAAATGGTAAATTGAGTTCAAACACAGGAAATGCAATATTAACAAACACATAGGAGTCATTAGACCATAGGAAGTGGGATGACTAATGTACATACATGTTAATAATATATGTCCATAAATGTCAAGCTATACCTGATTAATTAGTTCATAAAAATGCTCATTACAACATACAAGTTGTATTATAATCCGTAATTTAATTGAAAACTGGAGCTCAATGATTCAGCTTTTGTATGAATTCAGGCCGTGAAAAGTGCTGAGTAGAGGCTTAGCGGGACGCTCGTTCTCCTCAAATCACAGAACGAGGAGCGAACAAGTCGCATCCTCGAGCCTCTACAGCGCTGGTAAACGCTAGGGCTTTGACTTAGGAATTTGAATATAATTCTAAAATAATACATTATATATATATATATATATATATATATACATGTATATATATATATACATATACATGTATATATATATATACATGTATATATATATATATATATATGTATATATATATATATGTGTATATGTATATATATATATACATGTATATGTATATATGTGTATATGTATATATGTATATATATATACATATACATATATGTATGTATATATATGTATATATGTATATATATACATATACATATATGTATGTATATATATATGTATATATGTATATGTATATATATATACGTATATATATACATATATATATATATATATAATAATATATATATATATATATATATATATATAATACATATATTATATATATATATATATATATGTGTATATATATATATAAGATATAAAATTAAAATTTTATATCTTTGTTTGAAGCCTGAAATGTGGCGAAATGTTGAAAGGTTCAAGGGGGCCGAATACTTTCGCAAGGCACTGTGTGTGTATATATATATATATACACAGGCTTCAAACATAAAGATATAAAATTTTAATTTTTTGTCATGAATCAACAACAAGTGGGACACAATCGTGAAGTGGAACTAAATTTATTGGATAATTAAAACTTTTTTAACAAATAAAAAACTGAAAAGTAGGGCGTGCAATATTATTCGGCCCCTTTACTTTCAGTGCAGCAAACTCAGTCCAGAAGTTCAGTGAGGATCTTTGAATGATCCAATGTTGTCCTAAATGACTGATGATGATAAATAGAATGCACCTGTGTGTAATCAAGTCTCCGTATAAATGCACCTGCTCTTTGATAGTCTCAGGGTTCTGTTTAAAGCGCAGAGAGAACCATGAAGACAAAGGAACACATCAGGCAGGTCCGAGATACTGTTGTGGAGAAGTTTAAATCCGTGCACTGCACAAATCTGGCCTTTATGGAAGAGTGGCAAGAAGAAAGCCATTTCTCAAAAAGTTTGCCACAAGCCACCTGGGAGACACACCAAACATGTGGAAGAAGGTGCTCTGGTCAGATGAAACCAAAATCGAACTTTTTGGCCACAATGCAAAACGATATGTTTGGCGTAAAAGCAACACAGCTCATCACCCTGAACACACCATCCCCACTGTCAAACATGGTGGTGGCAGCATCATGGTTTGGGCCTGCTTTTCTTCAGCAGGGACAGGGAAGATGGATGGAGCCAAATACAGGACCATTCTGGAAGAAAACCTGTTGGAGTCTGCAAAAGACCTGAGACTGGGACGGAGATTTATCTTCCAACAGGACAATGATCCAAAACATAAAGCCAAATCTACAATGGAATGGTTCACAAATAGACGTATCCAGGTGTTAGAATGGCCAAGTCAAAGTCCAGACCTGAATCCAATCGAGAATCTGAAGACTGCTGTTCACAAACGCTCTCCATCCAACCTCACTGAGCTCGAGCTGTTTTGCAAGGAAGGATGGGCAAGAATTCCAGTCTCTCGATGTGCAAAACTGATAGAGACATACCCCAAGCGACTTGCAGCTGTAATTGCAGCAAAAGGTGGCGCTACAAAGTATTAGCGCAATATAGCACGCCCCACTTTTCAGTTTTTTATTTGTTAAAAAAGTTTAAATTATCCAATACATTTCGTTCCACTTCACGATTGTGTCCCACTTGTTGTTGATTCATGACAAAAAATTTTTTTTATATCTTTATGTTTGAAGCTTGAAATGTGGCGAAATGTTGAAAGGTTCAAGGAGGCCGAACAAGACTTTTTATGGATATCTTTGGGAAATGGCCACTCTTCCATAGAGCCAGATTTGTGCAGTGCACGACTGATTGTTGTCCTATGGACAGACTCTCCCACCTCAGCTGTAGTTATCTGCAGTTCATCCAGAGTGATCATGGGCCTCTTGGCTCTACATCTCTGATCAGTCTTCTCCTTGTTTGAGATGAAAGTTTGTAGGGACGGCTGGGTCTTGGTAGATTTGCAGTGGTCTGATACTCCTTCCATTTCAATATAATTGCTTGCACAGTGCTCCTTGATGTTTAAAGCTTGGGAAATCTTTTTGTATCCAAATCCGGCTTTAAACTTCTCCAGAACAGTATCTCGGACCTTCCTGGTGTGTTCCTTTGTCTTCATGGTTCTCTCTGCGCTTTAAACAGAACCCTGAGACTATCAAAGAGCAGGTGCATTTATACGGAGACTTGATTACACACAGGTGCATTCTATTTATCATCATCAGTCATTTAGGACAACATTGGATCATTCAAAGATCCTCACTGAACTTCTGGAGTGAGTTTGCTGCACTGAAAGTAAAGGGGCCGAATAATATTGCACGCCCCACTTTTCAGTTTTTTATTTGTTAAAAAAGTTAAAATTATCCAATAAATTTCGTTCCACTTCACGATTGTGTCCCACTTGTTGTTGATTCATGACAAAAAATGTATTTTTATATCTTTATGTTTGAAGCTTGAAATGTGGCGAAATGTTGAAAGGTTCAAGGGGGCCGAATACTTTCGCAAGGCACTGTATATATATAATTCGAACAAATATTCAAAATGTATTTAATTACTGCAAATAAAATAGTTAGCTCCCAAAGGTTTCACCGTGACGTGCTTGTTGGGTTACAGCTAAGCTAGCTAGTTCAAAAACTCTGGAACTACATGAAAACTGAACAAAGAATTCTGAACATTAGCGGTGAGTTACCCATTTATATACCGAACCTAAATCCATCAGATCCTCTTCAAATGTGTCCTAAAATGTTCATTTCATGTTAATGATTACTTCCGGCTTCATCGCGATCGCTTTTTGTGACATTAAAACAGTATTTTTATCATGAAAACGTTAACAAAAAATTCTGAAAACATTTAAAGTTGTTGATTGATTGATTGGTATTTGTTTATTGAGCGTGGCTAGCTCGGCTAGCTCCGCTAGCTTCTCTGCACAGACAGAAGTAGTGACAGGCGCTGAAAGCTCGTACTTGCGGAGATTGCATTGCCAAAGGGAAGCGGTCATTATTGTTTTCAGAGTTCTGTTATCAAGAAAAAATGATCAGTAGAACGTTTTGAAATTACATTCAAGTCAATGGAGTGTTCTACTGCTGTTGTCAGGAGCTGTATAATGAATTATAATTAAATATTCTAATATATTCTAATGTTTAAATTAATACATTAGGCCGCGAAACTAGCGGTTTTCTTTTACCTATATATTTTGTTAGTGGTGCATTGCTTTTGTACCATTTCATCAGTGATTGTTGTACAGCTTACAAGAAGTTGCGCTAATGCTAACGTACCAGATCGCAAATAAAACTAGATGGCTCCGTGGAATGAGAGCGTAGGGGAAATGAGACCTGTGAGCGAGTTGAGGGGCGGTGCTAAACATTCAAACCGTGCAGAAACGGGTAAAGCTCCTTTTAAATGTCCCAGATCATCACTGTCCTCCAACCTCCCTGTATTGGCAAGGGACGACTCAAAAACCCAGGGGAAAAAAGTACAAAAGGCATTACATGAATCACTCTTAATTATTTAAGGATCTAGAACAGGGGTGTCGAAATCACTCCTCAAAGGACCGATGTGGCTGCAGGTTTTCATTCCAATCAATCGATCAATCATTTCATTTGTATAGTACAATTTGCGTTAGATCATCACTTACCTCCAACCTTCCTGTATCTGCAAGTTTAAAAAGTAATTGAAAACTAAATTTGTCCCTTGTTTTATGTCCTAATGTAAAGCGTCTTTGTGTGGGGAATCATTTTCATGTACGTACATATATCTGTTTGGGCCCAAATCTTTTTTTTTTAACAGTGTTTCAGTAGTTTCAAGATTGAGATTTGAAAAAAATAAATCAGATTGAACACGTTGATTATGGGCATAGTGTGAAAATACTATAGAAGTTTTCAGATACATGTCTTTATTTTGAGGCGTAACTTTTGCTTTTTCATTCACCAGTGAACACCTGGAATTAGTGCATCTGATCGACAACACTCAAGACCTTCAGGTCAAGCAGGACCTGAAACATGAATTAGAACGACTGCTCACAAAGATGGAAGATAAAAGCACGCAGATCACCAAACTTCGCACGCATCAAAAGCTGGTCCGTCCTGAAATATGTGAACTTTTTAAATGTGACTTTTCTGCTGTTGTAGAAGTAAATAAGGATCAGATGGTGGTAGTTTTTAATAACAATCATCTGAATATATTATATAAGTAATTTGGTATAAAATTACACCAATTTTTAGCCACCAAATTACAAGGGGTTATGATCATGTGACATCACAACATTCTAAGAGGCTTCAGTTTAAAATTGCGGTGGAGAGCTTTTCCTTTTCCTGGTAACTACGATAACTGTCAAAAGTCAGGAACGTAGTCTTAGTTTAGAGCTAATTTCTCTGCAATCCCAGGGCCAATCAAAGTTCAACTATGATCTAATTATTTGTGAAATGATGACAATATTGGGGGTTGGAATCCAAAAAGCTTAGTTGTCTATTATTTTTTTGTATGTAAAACTAGGTATTGTGCAGGTTCGAAATAAACAAATAATAATAAATGATGTTGGCCACTAGAATGGACTTGTAGACATTTAGAAGACTGTTTGTAAATCTAATTTCTGTCAAATAATGATCTGAGGAAACATCTAGACATTTCTTTTTTCAATATTTCTTTCTGGCTGAACCATATAGCCATCTTTTTACTCTTTTGGTTTGATCTTGTGTTGGTACGTGGATGGTTTACTTAAACATTTTTGTTCCTGCCATATTCATAAATTGAATGAGCCAGCAGCACTCCTCAAATCAGTTTTTTTTTTGTTTTTAAGATTGAGTTTAGAAAAGTATTCAAATGCATTTCGCAGACATTGGAATAATGTTTGTGAATCTAATCACTGTCAAATCATGATCGGGGGAAACATTTATTTTTTTCAATATTATCAAAAATGGCTCCTTTCCCATTAGGTTGAATTGCCACTTGTCTACAACATGAACCGCACACTACATCCATCATTTTACTCTTTTGGTCATATCTTGTGTTGGTAGGTGTGTGGTTTTCTTATATTTTCTGTTCCCTGCAGATTCATAAATTGAACATGAGCCAGCAGCACTCCTTAACCCACGCAGAGAAAACAACCCTGATCCACCCTCCGACTCCTTCTCCGGTCAAACCCCAGAACAGGTCCCTCAAACAGCCTGCGTCTCCACGGAACCTGCGGCTTCTCAGAGAGACACAGCAGTTTCGCAACAGCCTCAAACAGAGCGACGTCGTGTGGGAAACCTGAGAATCAGCCCACGGCCTTCACCAAATAACTGTGGACAATAAGAACCAAATAGTTTTTAAATTTGAAATGAACTGGACCGTATGATTTGTGTTTTGTAAAAAGTTCTTAATAGTTTTTATTATTTGGCGATTGTGTTTTGATATTTAACAAAGGCGTTGTCTTGTTTGTGGTCTCCAACTATAGTAGAAAACATAGATCAGAAGCACAGCGAATATAGGAACTGAAATGTGCTGCAGTAGGATTTATGAGACGGATTATGGCCTTGTTTATGATTAACTATCAAATTAAAAGTATAATTTAAAAAGCAGATGAGCAGGTACCTTGACTTACCACTAGATGTCAGTGTTGTCTATTTTCTTGTTCTTGTAATGTGGATCAAAACTTCTGGCAAACATGAGACCAGAGCACAGCAGTGTTTCTCAAGCTGTGGTGCATCAAGGTGCAGTCTAGTGGCACATTGACTCAAATGCAGTAGAAGTGATCATTTTATTCAACAATTTTTAATGTACACACATTCTTGTAATCAATCGCTCATTGAACAGATAAGCTGTGAAGACGTTTTATGACTCCTGACCCAGCTGTATTGACTGAAGAACAACATTAAAATGTGTAAAACATGTATTAAACAATTATGTTTGAACTCAATTCAATTCCTTTTATTTTTGTAAAGCCCTAAATCACAAGAGTTGTCTCAGAGGACTTTAGGAAGTTGTAAAGATGCTATTATCGCAAACACATAGGAGGCATTGGTCCATCTTAAATAATTATAATATATATATTGACTACATGCACAGTGGTGATAAAGTACTACTGTAGCCGCAGCTGCCCTGTGGCATAGATACAAAAGTGAGGCAACGAATACCAAACACACACCATACTCACAACAACAGGTTACTGTTTTAAACCCGCAGCCATCCTTCATGGCACCTGATATTCTCAGAGGTCTCCCATCACAGCACTAGTCAGGCCCTGCACTGTTCAACTTCTTCGATCTGATGGAATCTGACTTCCGCATGCAAGTCCACAAACATTGCGAATTATTAGATTACAGCTCTTTTTCAAAGTACTTCAGAAATGATAAGGTCCACTTCATGTAAGCTGTTTTATCAGCAGGAAAGCTGTTTTCAATATTCAGTCCATAGTTTTAACTTCCATGACTCTAACACAGAGCCAGTGGGACCATGTGACCCACTGGTTTAGTGAACAGGATCACATGTCTTCACGCTTCTTAATATTAATTTCATACACATTTTCAACACTTTTGTGCTGCTTCTTATAACATAAATTTAAGTGATTGTTACCTTTCTGGTACTTGATGATGGATTTAACTGGGGTACCTAACTATCCAGCCACAAAACTGTCATAAAAATCCATAGTTCCTCATTAGTAGTCAGTAGTCGAATGTATGCAATTTGGCATCTGTCACATGTTTAGATCAGCTTTTTCATACCAAAGTGACAGTGGACCATCTTCCCTCAGCCAATCAGCTCTCAGCTCAAGGTGTCAAATGGTGACCGTGACTCACAGGTATGCAAAAGAGAGCATGATTACCAATACAATGAAGGCTGTATCTTGTCTGGTGCTTGTTCACAACATTTCCCTTTTACAAGTCTTTGTGGTGGGACAAAATAAATGTATTTGCATAAAAATGATTCTGTACTTAACATTCTGCGGTTCTGCTTTAAACATTTGAGCTTAAAATTAAGATTGAAAGTAGAGGTTTATTTTTTTATTATTGTCTTTTCCCCGCCACATTTCTCAGTTCATTAACAAACTGACATCACTTCATTCTGGTATGTCCTGCATGACATAGACCTCAGCACAAACTGAGGGAAGCTTACTACATTGCATTGTTTCTCTGTGCTCCCATATTAGATTACAGAGCATGACTGGACTCAGCAATCAGGTAATCAGGACCTCTCCTGACTACAACAGTTCTCAAGCGAGACATTTAGGGTATAAGACTATAAAATTAGTTAAATCCCTACTAAACTCACTCTTGAATGTATTTGATGAAGTCTTGACAGTACCATTAAAACTCCAGCTGGTGACATGGGAAACGGTGCCTTGTGAATGATAAAATTGCATGTTCTGTGCTCATTGTTGTTACTTTTATTGATTTGTCATAGAAACTAGGCCTGTAAAACTAAACTAGGTTATGTGTTGGGAGGGGGAATGCCTGCCTCTACAGATCAACTATAAATGCTCAAAACAACATACAAGTAACAAAGACAGAAGGTCAACCAGTCTGTAACAATAAAAATGAACTGTGACTTGAAACCACTGCTCACACACCATAGCGCGACAAAAGACCTGAATTTGATACCTTATTTTTCTTAGCCCTCAAACGTAACGATGGCAACAAGAGCGTCCCACTTGTGATTTGTCATGTAAATTATGCAACCTCAAAGCTCCAAGGAAGAGGACAGGGCACAGGTTTAACAATATTCAACTTTAATGATTCAACATTGTCAAACTAAGCAACATTAAAACAAAAAAAATGGCATTGAATTTTAAGATTTGTGGACATCTTCAATAAAGCTGAAACAAAAGGCTTTGTGGGATCTGAACCCCCACACGTGTGGCTGTGAATGTGAGAGATTTAGGCCGTTTGTATCAAGGAAAGTGCACTAAAACGCAAACAGATTTGGCAACTAAAACCATTTCAAGTGCATCACAATGAACTCAAATAAGAGGGAAAATAGAGCATAGTTTGTTATAATATATAGATTTACATACATTTGAAATAAGCCTATGCGCAATAAATATACATTGAGTTTTTGTGCTCAATATACAAGGATTTCCCTCTTATGCCAATTTATTGAGATGCACTTGCACATGTATAATGCTCTAGTGGTGAAAACAAAATTACCAATGATCAACAATAACAATATTTTAAATCTGAAAGTGCCAAGTCCTATTACACACATTTTAGTTGTGGCGTAATCGTTTGATATTCTACATTCTCTTTTTTCAACTAAATAAGGCACTTCTCCATAAGGGACTGAGAAACTTGTAGCTGCAGTGGATACAATTGGTCTATGTGGATGTGTTCAAATAGGGATGTTTTGTGGCACATGTGATAACGTGAATTTGTGGAATGTAACTGGGACACTGAAAAGCAAAGAACGGACATTCACAAATGGATTTTGGATTTAATGGATTTAAAATGGGACATGTATCTTTGTGTCCTACAAGTTGATTTTTTATTTTTCAGACAGAGTGGTGTTTTTGTAGCTGGCAGTTTGGAATAGTGTAGCGCAGTCTTCCTCAGAGTGGTTCAGAGTGATGCATCTTGTCAGTCGTTTACAGATTTTGGCCCTGTCCTCCGACCATCAGAGGCAGAACACCAGGTGTGTGAGTAAAACAGCCCCCTTGTACGTATGTACCGGTTCATAGTCCTGGGGCACGTTTCCGTTTTTCCAACAAGTTTGTCGTCCTCAGCCCCCCTGAGATTGGCTTTGTCCCAACCAATGGTTCTCTCGTAGACAGTGGTCAGAGATGGCCAATTTCAGTTGCTCTTGTTCTGCTTTGTGTTTTGTTGCTCTGAGGAAGACTGCAGTCAAAATGGTCAGGCATAGAAAAACCACTCTGGTCTTAGAAAAATAATCAACTTGTAGAATCTATCAGAAGACCAAATGACGGTGCATCTTTGTGTGTTGTTGGACTCTAGGCACATAGCCCCCAAGTGAATATGAAAGGCATTATGATAGTGAGCAGCAAAGAGTTGAGAAATTATTAAAGGCAAAAAAATTAAAACATTTGGCATTCTATGAAACATTATCAATATACCATCAGAACTATCAAATACTATTTTACAGGCAGCTAATTGAGAGCAAACAAAATCAAAGCTTGTCAGTGCAACACTTAATTTCCATGCCAGAACTGAGGACTTTGGTCTGATGCACAATGTTTCAAGGCATTTCAGCTATAGGTTACAACACAAGTGGTTGATTACGTGTCTAAATCCCTATTAAGAGCATATGCAATGGAGGAATTAGTACTCCGACATCCAGCATGCAATAATTAAAAAGGCATTTAACCAAGTATCATTCTTGACAATGACAAGCCATTAAAGCTAACGAGTTACTCCATTATTCCTCATTCTGGGAAAAAAAAAAACAAAAAAAACAGGACATGGCTATCTACAAGAGGTCGTTTTTGAAGAGAAATCAGTTTGCAACAAGCTTCTTCAAGGACAAGACATGAGCTTAAGCTTGGCCGTGTAAATGTTTAGCAATTTGTAATCACCTCTTCAATCATGTCTTAAAAAAAAAAAAAAAAAAGTTTCCTGTTGAGGCTTCTTTCTGATGTTTCTACAGAACACAAAATGTCCCTTCAACAGTTAATGCCAAAAACAAACCATTTACATCGAGAATAGCTTTAACCGTTAGATGAAGGGACAGTCATGGTTGCATGTACCTTACTCTTTTACTAGTAAACTTGCCATCCTTCAATTATTATCAATGATTTTCAACGTTATTTCAGTCCAGCTGGTTCTCTAACACAAGCTAATGTCATACAGAAGAAATTATACCAATATTCACACAATACTTTAACTCGTGAGGACAACGCAAGTTTTCTCCTTTCTTTAAAACCGAACTGGACATTCAAAAAGGCACTTCACTGCTGTCCACAAGGTGCGAACCTCATCTCCCAAATCGGTAACTTTTTAAAAACTTGTACACATTCTACGGTCTTTAATTTAACCTGCAATAACAGAGTTGGATCAAAATGTTTGAGTCGATTAAATAAGATTTGAATATGTGGCTGGTTTCTGGAGAAAAAAAAATTCACAACTTTTGCAACTCACATATGCTGAGTGGATAGACCAAAACAGCCAAAATGTCATGCTTTTTGCAATGGGAACGCTAAACTCCAACACAAAATATATTTTTCCAGGGACTTTTCAAGTTTGACCAAATGTAATGCAGGCTAAGCGCAACAAAGAAGCAACTCCCTGAAGGCCAACCTTGAACTCAAACAGTGTTTCCAAACAAAATCAAAAGCCATAACGTCTACAACATGGCAGCATCTATTCTAATCAAGACGGCCCCCTCGTTAATCTGAAATGCTAAAAACCCACTACTCTAATTATGCAAACATGACTAATGCTATGATTGATGAGCAGCGCCAGGAAGATTTATTCAATAAGTTTCAGGCTCCTCCAAATGTGCTTGCAAATAAATTAGCAGGCATGTAGCAGCAGTGGCAGAACTAAAAAGAAATGCGCAAATGCTTGAAAATACTGTTTGAGTCCATGTTTTCTTTTACAAGTGGCTCCAAGTAGGATGGAGAGGGAGAGAACCGAGAATCAAGGCCTCAAAGGGTGTGGTAGTTGCGCTCCTTTGATTTGCAGAATTTGTACAGGAAGAAAATGACAGCTTGAAGACCGAGGACCAGGACTATCCCTCCGATGAAGCTTGCTGCGTCGAAAGTGTTATGATGGGGCTCCGCGGTCGGGATGAGGCTTGTCGTTCCATTTATGGGAGCTAAAAACAGAGTAACAGATAAAACGACTTAAGAAAAGCAACATCGATGTAGAAATACTAAGATCGGTATTGAGTTCATTGAGCAAAGACTGATACAGAAAACCAGAGCACTTTAAGTAAAACCTACACAGACACCAGGAGAACATGCAAAGTCCACACAGAACAGCCTTGGAAAAATGCATTTATGAAACAGGTGAGAGACTACAGCTCTGTGAGGCCGTTTCCTCCCCCTCCAAGACTTGGGCCAGTTAAAGTGATCCAGACTAACAAATGTGAACACACTAGGGTTTAATATTTTTCCCGAAAATGAGACGTATCAAATCCCGGGAAAAGACGGCGCCTTTCCCGGGAAATCCCGGGAAATAGCTGTTGTTTGTAGTTGTTGTTTTTAGCCCAAGTAATGTATGATATCACTCAAATATATAATCCAACAAAAGCTGCCATCTCCACTAGTGTTTCACCAAGCAACTTGCTAGCTTTTCTAAAGTAGCCATAGCGTTAACAGACGTTTTGTTGATGGGCTTTCTTCAGGAATTTCACTATTATGAGATTCTAAATGTCTGCGCAATCCACTTGTCGACCAGTGACGTGCGGTGAGGTTTGGAGGCACTGACTTCAGCCCAATGAGATGAACATATATCATATAAATCAACAGAACCTACAGAGCGGCTTATTCACAATTAGTTTGGATACACCAGAATGTTTTCCATGGCCCGCATTGTTTGCTCATGCAAAACGCAAAAGTTCGTAAAAGGCACATTTCCAATTGTGTTATGGGTCTTACCTTAGTTATTAAAGTGATAGTCTGTAACTCTAAATTAATTACACATTTTAGGAAATGTGCTAAATTGACCTCCTGGCCTTAAATGTTGATATAAAATAAGTCATTTTATTAATTCTAATATTACGGGCAAGTCCCGCCTTCCCTGCTCTTAGCTATAGTTCAGAATCCACGGTGCCGTCGAGGTTAACCAATCGAGTCATGCCAAGGGCTGTCAATCATCGGCGCTGATGCTCGCAGCTGCGCGCATGCGCAGTTGTTTGTTTTCGCGGAGCCTCCGAATCAAGCCTCTATTAGGCTCTGGAACAACATGAAAACTGAACAAAGAATTCTGAACAGCCGCGCTGAGGTACTTATGTATATACTGAACCTATATCCATAATCAGATCCTCTGCAGATGTGTCCTATAATGTGCAATTCATGATAATAGCACTTCCTGGTTTGCCGCAATCGCTTTTTTTGTGCATAAAAACATTTTTTTCATTAAAACGTTCACAAATAATTCTGAAAACCTCCGTGCATGTGTATTAATAATGTATATGTCTAATGTGTTCTCTGATTAACATTTCAAAGTGTTACGGAAACGTAGGTGTAGACCAATCAGAAAGGAAGGGGGAGGGAGCTTGCGTCGTTTTTTTTAAATCAAGTACCTCTCTGTCTCTCTTTCTGACAAACTCCAGACAATCACTTTAATGAACAGCACAGACCACTTCAGTTCAGACCAGTTTCATGTTTAAGTCCAGATAATAGTTTGAGCGCAGATATGTAATCCCCCATTTGGAAATAAGCCCAAAGAGTTTTAAAGCGTAAAACAAAACGGGTGCCACCTCCATAAACTCCTGTGTTTTCGCTGCAGCCGGCTCTCGGGCGCATCCAATTTCTAATATCAACCTTCTTACCCTTCTCCTCTCTTCCTTATCATTCCTATCGTCATTGGAAGCAGAACATTACGCTAAATGCATTTTATATGATCTTCAAATGTGTTATATGTATGTTAGCCAAACCTGTTGCTGCCCTTAGCAGATGGAAAAAAAGAAAGGAGCATTCTGATAGAATTGGACGTAACCAAATTCTGGGCTCACATGTGCCCCGTACCCTGAGGCTGGCCTCATTACAAGTCGTGGTTTAGCGCGATTAAGACCCATATTTGTTGTCAAAAACACAATATATGAGCCATCCTCTCAGCTGTAGACATGTTGATTGTAAATGGAATATGTTTGAACTTTGAACAACAATAAACGTGCTCTATAATAGGAGCGCACTGTATTTTTTTTTTAACTTTCGTTTCCCGTTTCCCGTCATAATATTTCTCGGGAATCGGGAAATAGTTTTGATCAGATTTCCCGGGAATCCCGTGTCCCGGGATTAAACCCTAGAACACACCTTAAACCTACAGAAAACCCAACCCCAACAGGTGTAGGAGTATTGAGTATTATGTAAAAACATTTTTGGAAATATTAACTGTTTGGATGTGTGCAGGTGGGCCTTTAACAGATAATTGTTTGTTGATATGTATTAAAATTGTGATCCATCAAAGAAAATCACATAGAATACTGTTTATTATTGCATTTATTGCAAAATCTATATTGTTCTTCTTGAGCAGTGTAATCAAATCACGCCAGACAGATTCCAAGCTCTGACCTGGAGTTCAATTTTTGTTTAAAGAATCCCAAGAGCAATGGGATTCTCTTGGGAAGGTGAAATCACATGCTTGGAATCTTCTGAATGCAATTTTACATATAAAAAGCTATTCAAAAAGTATTTTCAGTATAATCCTGATTTTAAGTTTGTGGTGAGTAAGGCGGAGAGTCTGAAGTATATCATCAAACAATTTCCAATTTGCATTTAAGTTATTTAAAAATAACAAATGCATGCATACACATTAAGGGAAGGGAAAACAGTGTCACATGTTTAGCCAGAACTTACCGGTTGTAGATGTGGAGGGAGCAGCCGGGGTTGTGGTGGTGCTATTAGTTGGAGTCATGGTCGGAACAGTGGAGTTATCTGCAGACAGATGCAGATTGGTCAGCCTGTGAAAAACTTTATCAATAATACCAAGCCAGTAAAAGTGCAGCCCTTTCCATAGCTTCAGGGTTCTCGCCAGCACTATCGCATTTTTTCCCTTGAATTAACCGGCATTGGGGAGATGTTCAGTTGCTTGCTCCGATCAATTGACCACTTTTCTAATGATCGACCGTGTCAAATCGGTTATATTAAGGCTTTCATTTTGACCGAAAAGAACTGGTTGAGGCCTGGTCCAGTTCTTGTTCAGAGTCTCTGGATACACAGGAGGCAGGAACAGCACCAAATATCTAAACATCTTGGGGGGACCTGGATGCAGCTAAAATCCTGGCGAGAACCCCGAGTTCTATTACGGACCTGTGAGTTTACCTGTTGTGTTAGTAGTGGTGACATGAGTGGTAGAGACTGGGGCAGTCGTGGGAAAAGGGAAAACCTTGGGGGTAGTCAAGGCGGGACCTTCAGCCAGACAGGAAACCAACATCAAGCAAAGGAATACAAACACACCAACAGCACGAGAAGGTTAGAAGAGACCGCACTCCCATGTTATTGCAGTAGCATGAGTAAGAAACACAATACACCTTTTAATGTTAACAGATAGAAGCCCATTCAATAAGCCTTTGAGCTGGACATAAATATCCAATACAACTTGGTGAAAATCAAATATTTGCAATAACTGTGTGATCCCAGTTCCCTAGATGATTTTTTTTTTTTTTTTTTTTACATTGACACATACATAAACACAGACAGACACACAATACACTTGTGACTTACCTGAGCAGGTAGCATTCAAACAATTATCTTCAGCCTCAGTCCTGTTGACGCAGCCAATTACTGCATGAAAAAAGGGGAACGTTAACACAGGCAGATGAACTGACTTACACTACATTATGGATTATTCATTAATAGCGTTGACAAAATATTACATGAAACAGACAATTTGCACATTCAGGCTCGGCCAAATGACCGACAACCTTGTGAGTTACAAAAAGAAAAAAAAAAACTACAATTGAACTGTTCCCTGGGTGTTGGTAAAAAATAAGATTGATAATATCATAACAATCTGTTGAGTCCATTTTATACCTTTGTTTTTATAATTTCATCAAGTCTGCATGTTAATAAAACAATTACTCTAAATTTGTGAAGGACAAGTTTTGGAATTTGCATTATTGAGACCAATATTTCCACTGTTACCTGCTGCTAATTATCTGTGCTGGGGAAAAAAAAAAAATAAAAAAACAGATTCGGAGTCAGACTCAAACAGATACTGTTTATAATTTCTTCCTCTGGCTTACAGAAAGTTTTATTGTACATGTCATTATTGATTAACTACGTCTGGAAGGGACTTCGCTCTTCCCCTCGTCTTGCCTGGATAGACAGTAACACGACAGAATCATCGAGAAAATATTGCCTTATGACATAGAATTAAATGTTTGACACAATTTTTTATTTAGTTTTCCTATATCAAAACCATTTAGTAAAATACTAAATCGCAATCTCCTGTTCATAACTTCAGAATTAAAGTTTAGTTCAGAACTAAAAACCTTAGAAATTTATCCTGGAGTGAAATCCTAATTATATTTTTATAATTAGGATTTCAAACAAAAGCCCCGTTTCCACCAGCCCTACTCTAGCCTGATTGGAGCGTTTCCACTGACCCTGTTTAACCGATACCAAGTACCTTTTAGTACCTTGGCCCTGGTTCTAAAGTGTTCTAACTGATGATGATTGACAAGAGTACTGCTGGAAGCCATGGTTTACGGATACTGGTTTGTTGTGGGTAGAGTAGGCCAACTAGGGATGATGGAAACTGGGCTAATGAGAAATTTTTTACCCTGCGAGGGTATTTCCATACATATCCTTCAACAGGCATTATTTGAAATTCAATAACATTGAAGTGATTGATTTGTATTATAATGCGTTACATCTTAATGTTTCCATTCAACATTCCATGGCTTTTGCTCAGTTCAAAAGATTGTTTTAAAGCACTCAATATCCTTCTAATCAACAGTGTGGATGTCTTCCATGGAAAGTGGAACCGGCATTAGTGAGTCATTCCTGACCACTTACCAACAAATCACTAAAATGTAACACTATACATGGGAAACAATAATATTTTTTAAGAAATTGATAATATTGAAAAACATTAAACAGCTGGCTAATGTTGTACACCAGGGCTACCAGATGGTTCATGTGTCACAGAAAATTACCGTAATAGTATGACCATAGACCGTATATTAGGAGTCAACTGACTGAGGGCTGAAGTCACCCATTTCAAATCTGCCGTTTATGGGAAAAATTCTGGAAAAAGTTGCTTACCAACAACTTACAGAATTCTTAGTAACTAATAGTTCGTTTGATGCGCTCCAGTCCGGCTTTAGAGCCAATCACAGCACTGAGACTGCACTAGTGAAGGTTACAAATGACATCCGACTTAACACCGACACAGGAAAAGTCACAGTTTTAGTAATGTTGGATCTGAGTGCTGCGTTCGACACAGTCGACCACGAGATCCTCCTGCAGAGACTAGAGCACTGGGTGGGTGTCACTGGGACTGCCCTAAGTTGGTTTAGGTCTTACCTAGAAGACAGGAAATACTTGGTTCAGATAGGAAACTGTGTCTCAGATCATATGGCTCTGACCTGCGGAGTGCCACAGGGATCAATTCTGGGGCCTCTTCTGTTCAATATTTACATGCTGCCGTTAGGTCAGTTAATACGCTCCAACAATGTATCCTACCACAATTACGCTGATGACACTCAAATTTATGTCTCACTTACTGCAGGAGAACATGGACCAGTGGAATCACTCCTTCACTGTACTCAACAGATTAGTGATTGGATGCAAAATAACTTCCTTCAGCTAAACGCAGACAAAACAGAATTGATTGTCTTTGGTCCTCAGAAACAAAGAGAGAGCGTTATTCGTCACCTCCAGTCTCTCTCCCTGGAACCTGTAGGCAAGGTCAGAAACCTAGGAGTTATAATGGACTCAGACTTAAATTTTAACAGTCATATCAAATCAGTAACATCAGCAGCATTTTACCATCTGAAAAACATTGCCAAAATTAGAAACATAGTGTCTAAATCAGATCTGGAGATTCTCATCCATGCATTTGTCTCCAGTAGGTTAGACTACTGCAATGGCCTGCTCACAGGTCTCTCCAAACAGGCTGTAAAACAACTGCAGTATGTCCAAAATGCTGCAGCTCGAGTCCTGACCAGGACCAGGAAATATGACCACATTAGTCCAGTTCTCAGGTCTCTGCACTGGCTTCCTGTGGCTCAGAGAATAGACTTCAAAGCAGCACTGCTTGTGTACAAGTCTCTCCATGGCCTCGCACCAGGGTACTTAAGCGACTTGTTAGTCCCATATGAACCGACCCGGACTCTGAGGAGCACAGGAGGTAGCCTCTTACTGGTTCCAAGAGTCAGAACTAAACATGGGGAGGCAGCGTTTGAGATTTATGGAGCTAAAATCTGGAACAATCTTCCTGAAGATGTGAGGCTAGCATCTACTCTGGCAATTTTTAAATCGGGGCTAAAAACTGTTCTTTTTAGCTGTGCATACGGCTGAAGGATTCTATTGATACATACTCTTTTTTTTTTTAATGCATTGTGGTTATTTATTATTTTAATCCCGTGTGTGCTTTTAATATATATATATTTTTTTCCATTATTTGTGATTTTATTCTGTTTTTAATGTATTTATTGATGTCTCTGATTTGTGTGATACTATGTGGGTTGTGAGGCGCTTTGAGTGGCCTTGTGTTGGAAAGGCGCCATACAAATAAAGTTGATTGATTGATAGTGTTGGCCTTAATGTGGACTAGGCGCATTTGAACACAATCTAGCCAATTTCCTTAGCTTTGCGCTGTAACAGGGGGCAGATGTGTTGCTGATTGTTCAACCCTGTGTGTCACAAACAGTTACTAGAGGCTTTCAAATGGAGAGAGAGTTGGAGAAAAAATTTGTCCATGAGCTTTATTGAGCTAGGGAGTTAGCATTGTCCATCGATATCCAGTATATAGTATGACAGCCGGCCGATCACAATAATATATTAATTAATCACAGACTGATAGTGCAATGTATTTTGGGGTTAGAGAGTATGTCAATAGTTTCATTAACACAATAGCATAAATATTTTGATTATCATCATTCATTGCAAAAACAAAAAAAAACTCTTGCTAGCGTCATAAAAATTTTTTTTTCTAAAAAATAGTGACCAGAAACAAAATTAGTACCTCACTCCAAACTGCACAAACAGAAACTTGTAATAGAATCCATGTAACAAATCGCTCTCAGTATGTAAACATTATATAAAAATATAAAAAGACTGAACAAATCAGACTATAGTGTACTCCAAAGACTTATTAGGAAAAATAACTTTTATTCATGAAACACATCCAAAAGTTAGGTACTCCAGCTTTAAGAGCAACAGTTGGAGAGCGTCAATGTATGCATCAGTCATGTGCAGGATTTTCACTTCCCTGTGGCTACTTAAATGTTATCTCACAGGCTGCCGTGAAACTTACAGCTGGTGTCAATTCTTTTCCAACACAGCCATAATATCGCGGCTTAATGACAGAAGAATTGCAACTGAATATTTGAATGCAAATCAACAAACACCAAAGGCTACAATTATTCAATGTTCCAACAAGTTTAGAATTCCAGTTATTTTTGTATTGCCCTAATCCACAACAGCAGTCGTCGTCTCCGAGGACTTATTTGTTGTTGGTGAATCAACAACTTCGTAGAGAAAAAACGTTCAAACCCCTGAAAATGAAATAATAACTAACACATAGGAGCCATTGGTCCATAGGGAGCGGGATGACCGAGGCAAGGTCAGTTTATTTGTATAGCACAATTCATACACATTAAAATCATAAATAATCAAAGAACATTAAAAAGAAAGATGAAAATACAAAATTCCTCAGTTGTATGCACAACCCAATGTGAATAAATGCTAACAAACTCCCAGAGAACCTGCTACTGTATGGGCTTCTTCATTTGCATTTGGCTCTCATATTCGTTTTAAAGTAACAAGTGATATTATGTTTATGTGAATCTAATTTCTCCTTCGACCATATGCAATTTTAGGACTAAAAGACTAAAAAACAAGGAAATATTTGAATTGTGATACATCTTTTTGCTATAAATGTTGCTTGGTTTGGTTTAAAATGTATATATTCCTCAGTAAGGGATGATTTCAGTGCTTAAAAAAAATAAAAACATTTTTACACTGAAGATTTTCTTTTACACAGATATGCAAGCAAGTGGAGTCACATGCTTGTTTCAAACGTAAAAGGAACTTTTAAAGACCAACTTGTTTAAATATAGGGATCATCATTTCGATTAACATGAGTAAAAAGCGCGGCCTCCACCAAGAACAGTTGAGCGCAACTTTAATCTAAAATAATTTTAAAATATATGAAATTAAGAATTTCTCAATTATTTTTATTTTTATTATTTTATTTTATTATTAAACAGTAGCAGCACAATATATCCATACTCAGAAATGGCCAACACCCACTAGTAAAACATTTACTGTACAAACCAAGAGTGAAATTCAGGGAGAGTTTATTTTAGTGTGGCTAGAAAAATGATCAGCAAATCAACAGCTTATAGGTCCCGACTCCTGTCCAACCGCTGACATAATAGTTCTTACAAATGACAAACCTAGTTAAGGGTGTGGAGAAAAACAATCATGATGATCACTAGAAAATCAAAGCTTCCTGACATTAGGCTGTCAAACAGGTTGTGTCCAGAGGACAAAAGAAGAGCCCCGTCTCAGTTTTACAATCCAAGTAATCAGATCCCTTTATGTTTGCTTTTGGGATTACCAGAATAAGGTTGGACAGTCTGATCTAATGTATGTTAGTTTATATAAAAAGGGGAAAAGACTCGTCTCCACACTCAGGCCTTGCTTCCTTCCAAAGACAGCACAGACTTCCTGTAGTGCATCCTTTCTTCTCATTTTCACAATTCACAGCAAAGGAAAAAACGTGTCAAAGGGCATGAGGTTAAAGAAGCCAAAATCGCAAAACATCGAACAGCTGAGAGCAAAAAAAGAACAGCTGCTACTGACTCTTATCCACGGCAAAGCAAGGCAAGTTGATTTGTATAGTTTATACAAATTCCAACTCAAAGTGCTTAACAAAACAAGATGGAATCATTCATACAAGGCTTTAAAATCCCAAATAATAACATTAAAAAGAGTGACGCTACAATCCTTCAGTTGTATCAACAGCTAAACATATAATTCCAAAATGTAGGCTTTAATGTCAGTGTCATTTAGAAATGACTCAATCCATGTTTTGCAAGTATATGAATAAGGCTCTTAAATTTTTCTGCTTACTTGTGATGTTGCAGAGGTCTCTAAAAGTGGGACATATACTTGAGCTCTCAACAACTGACAGGAAATGAAGAAGACATTGAACACAGTTGTAGGAGGTGGTTGTAAATTATCGTAAACATCCTCATATTGAAGCAGTGCTGTGAAACCAGCCGGTCAGACAATCCACAAGACTAAATAGATATTCACGCCTCACTTGGGGAATCTGGAAACGTAGAGTGAAGACAAGGCTTGCTGTCCGCCATTCATTCTCCACATACTCTCAAATAAAGTGATTAATCAGCTCTGCCTTGTCTAAACAATTACGACAAAAACAGCGAGCAACCTGTGTCTGCTACAAGTTATATTCCCATTCATGAATCTCTTATGGCCTTAAAACATGTACTTACCTAAAGAACAATTAGCCCATTGACACAGACTATTGGCTTCACATCTCTCACAATCTTTGATAGGAGGACATTCATCTGAAAAAACAAACAATCATTACTGATATGAACGACCATGTTACAGTACATTTTGTGTTGTTTGTTTTTTAGATCAGAACTCGCAATGGTTGCTAAAACGCATTACAAATAGCATTCAAGTAATAATTCTCGGTATACATAAATTTATGACTGGCTGAGCATTCAACTCTAAATCATCCACAACAACATAAGATATATATAAATAAATAAAATGACTATTGGACAAAAAAATGACAGATCAGTGTATGAGTCAGGTGACACAAAGGCAGTCAGTCACGTCAGCAGGAAAAGATGACAGAGGCCTTTAAGGTAGTTTAAGGACCAGAAGTGAGTCTCAGCTTAGCAGGGCAGTCGCGCAGAGGACGTAAACTTACCTGATTCTGCCGCGATAGATGCGCCAAACAACAGCAAAACTACCGCCACAAATACCGCCCTTGAATCCATGACTTAGGCTAAAATAGTGCTCTGTCTTTAACACACGAGGAACGAGTTCTACTTAAGCCGTGGAGACTGGTTCTTCTAAATGTAAAGGCGATCTTTTGGTTTTGTGTTCGACACGGCTGCTGCTTCGTGTCTGCTTTCAGGGCTCTTCACTTCCTGGTCCATAGGTCACGTGGCATTTATCACAGAGGGAGGGTCAGACAAATTTCATAATCCAAGTGCTGTCAATCACCATGCGTGGATCTATAAGGTATTAGTATATCAGCTATCTATCATCGGCATCTTATTCATCTACTAGATCGGTTGGGCAGCATTTTATCTCTGAACACAAACAAAACAAGACAAAATAGACACTGTTGAGAATAGCTTGTTCGAAATATAATAATAGTGCTAGTAATAATAATAATAATTACTAGTTACAAATGGTTTTTGATTTACTCAAATTACCTGTGTATTTATATTCTTCTATTTATGCAAACAGAATTAGCTTTCTACATCCCAAAGAGTGTAGAAAGCTCTTTAGTATTTTAGACGAGTAGTCAAGTAACTCAAAGTAGTGTAGCTCAGCTACATTTCAGTAAGTAAGTAATCTTTATTTATAATGTGTATGAAAAGACAGATATTGTAATACAAATAAATTTAATTTCTATTGCAGTAACTAATATTATATTACAAGTTAGAGGAACTTTCTCAACACTGTGTAGTAATAACCTATTCTTTTGGGATTCACTTTCTGTGTAATTTAGGAAGACAGTATTTATTTATTCTATAATCACAACAATTTGTCTTTATATTGGTAATGGTTAGTCATTCAAAAGCAACTTTCTCTATTTAGATTTGTAATATTCCACAACTGATGATTTTACAGTCATGCTTAGGTCTTTCATTACACGTTGGCACTTCCTCTATTCTTTTAAGTACATCCAGACCTTCAACCAATTGACTGTAAAACAAACAAACAAAAACAAACACCTTGAGTTTTGTGAATAAGTTAAACCAGCATAACATACACTGAGTCATACAAACCCAAATGCTACATATGTTTTATCCATCCAAGGCGTTGGCTGCAGAGTAATATAGAACTGAGATCCATTACTGTGTGGACCTTTATTGGCCATTCCTAAAATGCCCCGTTTAGAGTGAGGGACGTCAAAACTCTCATCTGATACAGAAACATACAGACAAGGTTGGATTCAGCATTTAATATAATATTGTTAGTTGATCTCACCCTCAAATGTTGGTCCATAGATTGACTCGCCTCCATCGCCTCTATGTTTTGGAGATATATCTAAATACAAACATTCATTGAGTGAGTTACTGTAAATGTACTATTCTAAACAGTGAACACTGCACTTCACCTCCACCTTGAACCCAGCCGTTTGGCACCACCCGATGGAACACAGTACCCTTGTAGCATAGTGGTAGTCCGCTCGCGGTCAAACCCTGCTCTCCTGTGCACAGAGCTTCAAAGTTCTTTGTTGTCTTTGGGCACACATCTGTGAACAGCTTCAGTAACACACAGATTGATATTTAGCCCCTGTGATTACTGTACCAATACTGTGCTATCTTGTATCATAAATAAAATCTGTATTGAAACGTAAACAAGACTACGGACAACATTACCTGAAACAACAGCCTGCCAACCTTTTCTCCTGCTATTTCCATATCCATGAACACAAACTGATGCTGTAAAGACAGAATATGTTATTCCATGGAGAACAAGTTAACACATACAGTATGTGTAAAATTATTTTGTATTAATTCTAGGTCCTGGGTTCGAATCACGGTCGGAACAGGGCCTTTCTGAGTGGAGTTTGCATGTTCTCCCCGTGTCTGCGTAAGTTTCCTCTGAGTGCTCCGGTTTCCCCTACTACTATAAACATGCACAATAGGTATGAATGTAAATGAGAGAGTGAATGGATGGTGTTGATTGGGGGCTGATGCGCCAGTGTGTTCGGCGACTCGCTTCCGTCATCACCGTGTGTGGAATAATTGGAACAATATCTGAACTATGAACATTGTAAAGCGCTTTGGGTGACCTTGGTCTGTAAAATGCGCTATATAAATAAACCTTACTTACTTACTTACTTAGTCGAAATGTAAACTTGCATTTCATGTGCTTGGCCTGGAGGAGGGCCTCACACTGCTTGTTGCATATACATGTTGCAACTTTAGCTATTCAACAATTAAGGTTGAGATATATACTTGTTGTTCCCCTTCCTGGAATTATTTTTCTCTGCATTTGACTAATCGCTCAATCACACTAGTAAAAATCTGTCAGGAGCAGTGGTCCCGCCCGGGGATCCATTTCAAGATGGTGATGGTCGGCAGGAGGATATTTACCTATGTTGCATGTTTTGGGGGTGGGGGAAACCGAAGGCTTTAGAACCTACCTTCAAGTTAAATAAAATTTTAGGAAATGTTAGGTACCCCTGTATTTTGCAGGTATTTACAGTAGTAGTCTTCAGCGAGATCCATATAAAAAGTTGATGGTTGAACTACTGTGAAATCCCACTTCTCCTTTGCCCAACTGGAGAAATCTGTTTCAGTCCCCAGAAGTTTTTCATTTAGAAAACACATCACATTGCTTGAGAACTGCCACACTTCACCTCTGAGCTCCTGGAATTAGACAAAACGTAGCAAAAACAGTAAACCAAACTGAGCTACCTGTATCTCCGTCTTCGTAGAGAGACGGAGTACCTTACATACACTGGCCACTCACCATTTTTCTTTCCCACAAATATGTTTCCCATTCATTTTCAAGTAAAGGTTTGATATAGGGTTCATGAAATGCCACATGAAACCGTTCTTCAAGACCCTATGAAAGAAAGATTTGTTTCAAACTAACATCAACAATGAACTGCTACGCTAGCGTTAATTAATAAATACCTTTGCGATACTTGTGGCCACATGGAAATTATGATCTTTCATCAAGCCTACAATTTTGATAAGGGCCCTTGAGTTTTCCCTGTTGTCCATCGTCAAATATAATACAACACTGGAAAATCCCATTCGTTTATCAACAGAGTCTCCATGGCAACGTGTATCCGTTCGACGAATTATGATGACGCAAAAATCATGCGACGATTGGCGGCAAGTAATCAAGGGGGGCTAAACAATAAACAATACTCATATCGTTTTCAGATCACCGTAACGTCGTAATGAAATCCAATCAAACTAATTAAACACGTTTTTGATAGCTAAAAAACGTCCAAAATGAACGTACAATTAGGAAGGAAGTAAGCCAGTGGCATTGGCGAATGAGAACGAAGTCCGTGACCAGGGCGGCACCATTTGAATTTTGACTGAACTACCTACGGCATATGCAGGTTTTGTTTTCCATTGTTTTGAGACATTATGGGTGTGCATGAGCTGTGGTCTATTCTAGAGCCCGTTCGAAAGTCCGTGCCTTTGTACAGTTTGAGCGGAAAGACACTTGCAGTGGACCTGAGTCTCTGGGTGTGCGAGGCTCAACATGTCCAGGCGATGATGGGAAGGGTCACCAAACCTCATCTCAGGTCAAGTATTGGCCTTCTGCTCTGACTAATGACTATTCTTCTATTGTGCCCGCTTTACAAGTCTCTTCTTTGCGTTTAGGAACCTGTTCTTCAGAGTGTCATCTCTGACTCTTATGGGGGTAAAGCTTGTTTTTGTCATGGAAGGAGAGGCCCCAAAACTGAAGGCAGAAACCATGAACAAACGGACTCAAAGCAGGTTTGGATTTAAAGCAGCTGCTCCAAAGAAGTTACCTAACACCAACAGAGGGCGCTTCAAAGTCGTACTAAGAGAGGTTAGGCGTTTAATGCGTTTGTCCATTCGTACATCATTATCATTATATTTCTACTGTTAAGATCAGTATGATTTTTTCGTTTACTTTTTTGATAGTGTGCAGAGATGCTGGACAACATGGGCGTCCCATGGGTGACAGCAGCTGGTGAAGCAGAAGCCATGTGTGCCTTCCTGGACTCTCAGGGCCTGGTTGATGGCTGCATCACCAATGATGGAGATGCCTTTCTTTATGGAGCCAGGACTGTTTACAGGAACTTTAACATGAACACTAAAGTACTAACTTCCATCATTCTATCTTCTTCAATAGTTTTACATATGTAATATTTTAACTTATTAAATTTGACCAATACAGGACCCTCAGGTTGACTGCTACCAGACTTGTGATGTACAAAGCGAGCTGCATCTCTCCCGGGAAAATCTTGTTGGACTAGCAATTTTTCTTGGATGTGATTATATTCCCAAGGTAATAAAAATGCCAGGAATTTATTTCCCGGCTAAATGAAGGTCAATAGATAAACATAAACAGGCTAGGTATGTACATGATTAATTAAATAATGCAACATTATTGTTCTTTGCTGTTTAGGGGATACAAGGAGTTGGTAAAGAACAAGCTCTGAAGTTGATCTTTAAACTTGAGGGGCAAACAATTCTTCAGAAGTAATATAAAAAAACAACTCATTATTAGAATTTTATGGTCTATGTCTAATTTTTTAAATATATATTCAGGATTAGTAGGTGGACAGAGGATAACTCATATATTCCAGAATCAAAAATGAAGAAAGTCCCACACTGCCATTTGTGCCGACATCCTGGTGAGTTCTACCCTGCTTTGAACTCTGACCGGTCCCTGGTTCTAATAAGCAATGTAGTGTGGAACAACTGGTACAGTGTAGTTCTCACATATATGATTGAAGGCTATTCAACCCATAATGTCAAAACATACACATATGTGTGAGTGTGAATGTGTGGTATGTGAGTTGTTGATTTGAAAAAAATATATATATGTATTTTCAATTTAACAAGTTCTTTGTTTGGGCCTGTAGGTTCAGCAAAAGCACATGAGAAAAGTGGATGTCTGACATGTGGCAGCAGCAGATTTTGTGAACCCCAGGACTTTGACTACCAGTGCCCCTGTGATTGGCATTGCGGGGAACAAAGCCGCCAAGCTCTATCCTTGGAGATCAACATCAGAAGGTTAGTTGTTTGGAACTCCTAGTACTCGTTACAATGTTTCATGTAAACATTGTATTAATGTATTTTTTCATTCGTTTGTCTCATTCTGACTCATTTTGTTTTCTAGAAAGACCCTTGCTAATCCCCTTTTTCCATTTACAGAGGTAAATACATTTTTAAAATTTCTCCTTTACTTGATTTGATGAAAACAATATTTCCTTTTTAGATTATACATGAGTTTCTAATATCCAAGGATAAGGCTGTATCCCATTTTAAAAGAAGGCTACCTAATATACTTCTCATGCAGGTAAACAAAGAAAATGTACAGCTGTTAATTACAATGTTATTAAAATGTAAACATGATTTTCATTGAATAGAAATTTGCATATGATAAAATGGAATGGCCAAAACACTACACAAGTGAAAAGGTTCTTGTGTTGATGACCTACATGAATTTGATGAATAAAAAATGTGGAAGGCAAGTCTTTCAGCAAGTCAAGCCTCTCAGGTGAGACAAAAGTTACATTTCCAGGGTATAAGCTCACAATATAAAAGCTTTAATGGTAACTCTTTAATTGCAGAATATTAAAGCCTCGCGTGAGAAACGGAGTGTCCTGCTTTGAAGTCGCTTGGACAACACCGGGTCAGTTTCTAAAATGAATTGTAAACAGATGTAGATTTTTCAGTCAGAGTAGACTTGAGTGACAGGACTGTGTGTGGTAGAGTTGGGGTGCTAGGTGCTCACGCCTGACTTGTCTGTTAGTGACAGGCTGTGATTCGGGGTTCAGAGGTGGCAGATCAGTCACTAGGTGCTAAAGTTGCTTCCTCTTCAGACTGGGAAATCTGTTGAATCACTACAGCTCTTCACTAACAAGCTAGATCTAAAATGAGCCTCCCAATAAACTATGAAAGACTCTATTTAAACTAACTAATATACTATGGTTTTCAAAAAATCCAAATGCTAACCAAGCTGTTTTTTGGAATTTATTATTTCTCCAATTACATTGATTAAAATACATAAAATATTCCTTGATTACCCAAGGTGGTGAAAATACTGAAGTAAAAGCATAGATATTAGAAAAAAGTATTGTAAGTATAAGTATAAAAGTACAAGCTTTGTATGTACTCATGTATTCATTTTTGTTGAATAATTGAAGGACAATACATGTATTATTTTCAGCGCTGCCTACAATTGTAAAGGTCATTATTATGTTGAAGAAATTATTGACAGATTATGACGATAACCAAAACATGTAGAATTTAAGCAAAATGGTTGATTTTAGATGTGCGGCTAACTCACCGTGAATTAATTCACAACCACTGGTTTCTATGTCGATGCACCATTTCCAAAGTAAGTGCTGGTAGTCATTTTAGTCGAAAGTACAGATATTTCAGTTTAAAAGTCAAAAAGTAAGTAGAACAGTAAAGTACTAATACCAGAATAATAATGACTTAATACAAATTCATAGTACTGTATATGCATCCTTATTTTTCACTATTAACAAAATATTATTTACTGTCTGTTAACTTGGTTTTGTGTTCAGAGAATTATGCATTTCCTGACGATCCAGCACCTGAGAATCAAGAGGAAGTCCGGACAATAGAGGAAGAATCTCTGTTTCGAGCGGCGTATCCAGAACTGGTAGAGATCTTCCAGAGAGACAAAGCTGCAGCGGAGGAGAAAAAGAGCAAAAGTAAATATAACTTCAATTTCAAATTTGCTGCCGCTAATTCTAATGGACGGACAAGTGTTCACATCAAAGACACCTACAGTTTATTGTATTATAAATCTAACGCCTGAAATGTGCTGTTTGGCACCAGTGGCTTTGAAGCAGCCCTGGGGTGTCTGGCTCACAGGGTTTGTTGTGTAAGTTGTGTGGTGTTGTCTGTGGGTATCACTGCAGTAATCACTGAACTGCTATGATACACTCACTGGCCACTTTATTAAGTACACCTTGCTAGTACCGGCTTGGACCCCCTTTTGCCTTCAAAACTGTCTTAATACTTTGTGACATAGATTCAACAATGCTCAATTGGTACTAAGGTACTCAAAGAGTGCCAAGAAAATATCCCCCACACCAGCCTGATACAAGGCAGGATGGAGCCATGCTTTCATGTTCTTGAATGTCGCAGCAGAAATTGAGACTCATCAGACCAGGCAAATTTTTCCAATCTTCTATTGTCCAATTTTGCCTGTGCAAATTGTTGCCTCAGTTTCCTGTTTTTAGTTGACAGGAGTGGCACCCGGTGTGGTCTTCTGCCGCTGTAGCCAATCTGCCTCAAGGTTTGATGTGTTCTGTGTTCAGAGAGGCTCTCTTGCAGACCTTGGTTGGTTGTAACAAGTGGTTATTTGAGTTACTGTTGCCTTTCTATCAGCTCAAACTAGTCTGGCCATTCTCCACTGACCTCTGGCATCAACAAGGCATTTTCGCCCACAGAACTGCCGCTCACTGGATATTTTCTCTTTTTCGGACCCATCCATCCATCCATTTTCTTCCCCTTAATCCATTTCTGGGTCGGGGGGTGGCAGTCAGAGCTGCAGTCATGATGAGACCCTCACTGATCCTCTTGCAGGTTGTGAGTCCACAGGAGCTGATATCTTTCAGTGGGGGCTTCAGGCAAAGTGGGGTTAAGTGTCTTCCGTTAGAACACAATGACAGCAGACATCAGTGGGAGTCATGAACTAAGACTTGCGGTGGGCTCGAACCCACGACCTTCAGGCCTAAAGGCCAATGCTCTATCAACTGAGCCGCTGCCTTTTTCGGATCATTCTCTGTAAACCCTAAGGATGGCTGTGTGTGAAAATCTCAGTAACAGCAACAACCATACCACGTTCAAAGTCACTTAAGTCACCTTTCTTCCCCATTCTGATGCTCGGTTTGAACTGCAGCAGATCGTCTTGACCTTGTCTACATGCCTAAATGCATTGAGTTGCTACCATTTGATTGGCTGATTAGGAATTTGCATTAAAGTGGAGTTGGATGTGTACCTAATAAAGTGGCCAGTGAGTGATGGTTTGATAGATAGATACTTTATTGATCCCATGTAGAAGTAATTCAGGTGTCCAGCAGCAGAAACGCATCCATCCATACAAACAAAATAAATAAATATACTGTATACCGGTAATTCTTTCTAACAAAAGTAGTAAGACATAAAACAATAACTATAGTCACTTTTGCAGCCTGGGCCTTATCTTATGGTTGACATGCGTGTTCATGAATTCAATGTCCAAACTTACAAATATGGTTTATAGTGATGCAGTATGTTCCACAGGTTCCAGTATAGTATAAAGTACATCCACAGGCAATCCCACTTTCCACGGAACTAAAACATACATACATCACCGAAAAATAAAGGTAGTGTAGTTGTGCAGTAAAAAATGGTAAGCCTTGAAACTCCAATGCCTGAGGGCTCCCCCAACTGCATGTTTAAGGCAGAACACCTGAATCAAGTCCTCCCATTTTGACAATATTTTTTTCCTCTTTAGTTTATTTTCCATTTGCCGTAAAACCACATTGGAATACGCGTGCAAAAGTACCCCGGTGTGCAACAGACAAGTACATAAATCTATAAAACTATGAAATAAATCAATTAAATGGTTAAAACAAAGACATTTATAATTAGACCTATTCATTTGAGAGTATTAAACAATTTTCTTTCTTTTTATTTTAATTTTGTACATGAAAAGTTACAAAAGATGACCAAAACAAGATACTCAAATACAAATGTTACTTACTCACTTACTTACTTACACTTGTCTCCCCCTTTCAGAGAAGAAGCAAAAAAGTAAAAAGGAGAAGACTGTTGAAGGATCGGACGGGATTTCTGACCTCTTGGCTCAGATGAGTTTGTCCACAATTGATAAGCCACAACCAGAAATGCTAGCACTTTCTACAGTGGGTGAAAAAGAAACTGAAGTCTTGGATACGTTATACTCTCACCATGAAAATCAAAAGAAAAGTGATGTGCTAGATCTACATGCCAGTCCAGAGACACTTCCAGAGTCAAAGGATGCTGCTTCTCTGTCTGTGTCTGCCGTTATAAGTGCTCTTCATCTTAGTGATATTGACTGGGACACCGCCTCCTTCACGTCATCTCCAAAACCTCCAACTGCCAGCATTACATTGCAACCAAGTCTGTGCATTGATGCTAAAAACACTGGGAAATGTGACCAGGAAACAAAACATCTGAAATTCACAAACTCCACAAAGTGTGACGAGGAGAAATCTTTGAGAGAACGATTGATTATGAGGGATACTGCCAGTCAAGTCAATAGAAATGGCATTTGTGGTGGAGAAACAAGTAAAAAGATAACAAAACAAACAGAAAATAAACTCTCAGAAAAGCAAAGTTTGACAGAGAACCAGAATGTAAAATTTACAACCAAACCGGAATTACTTGTGTCACAAAAACCAGTGCAGGCTCTCGCTCCTGTCCCAGTGCAACTTGAGCATAAAAATGCATGCAAAGTCCCCCCGAACCCTCCACAGAAGTTTAAATTTGTCAAAAAGACTGTTACTTCTTCACTCATCCCACAAAGATCCAATTCTGACCCAGTGCAAAATTACAAAGTGAAAATCAAACCCTCTGTGAAAAAGAGTGTGTGTGCAAGTGGTGGAATGTCCAGTGATGACAGTGATGCTGAAAACCAGGACAATGCAACACAAACAAAATCAACAACCAACAAGACTAAACAGAGAAGCAAGATGGACGTTCAAATCCCTTTAGTCAAAACCGGTCAACCCAAAGCACAAGAAGAAAGTCTAAACTCCAAAAGCCATGGTATAAAACTCAGCAACTTTAAAACGACCCAATTCCTGACAGAAAACAAAAGCAGTGCAGTTTTATCTTCTCTTGTCGGTGATGTGTTCAGTCCCAGTCCTGCTTCACCTGCTGCAGACAGAGACAGTGATGATTCAGTGATATGTATTGACAGTCCATTACCATTAGCTGAAAGACTCAGACTCAAATTTCAGAAATAAAAAGCTTTCAAAAACTTGCCTAAGTGCCATTTGAACAATATAGGAAATCTTTTTTACAAGCCAGATATTTTAAGTGCTAAACAAATGTAGTTTTAATTCTTGAGCAAAAAAAGTGATAGAACCTGACAGCTCAAAACTAGTTTTAGATTTTATTACATATTTCAATGCTTGCGGTATGAAATAATCATCATAGAAATTATGTTGTAAATATATATATTGCCTAACATCCTCCAAAGGTGATTGTCCTAACTCTTTATGACATAATGTTCCAGGTAGGACATTTTGTATGTTACAGAGAAATTAATAAAGTTGATTGTTGACAACTGACTATGGTCCCATGTGCTCGAAGCAGCTGAGACAGAGGGGGCATTGCTTTACAACTGTCAGTGTTGTTTCCCTTGATCACAAGTGAGTTCTTACACACCTTTTCAGACATGAAAAGGTCTGGCAGGAGCTTGGTGACAGCTGCATCCTCTGGACACAACCAATCCAACTATTTGGTCTGAACTGGTTAGAACTGCAGGTAACCACCAAAATCCAGAACAGTCGCTTTCTTTATTATTTTTATTTTTAAATAAGTTTGTCATGGGTTGAGAGTTCACTGCGTATGTTTGAATGCTTCAAATAAATGAAATGTATAATTTTAAGATGAGAGAATCTTTATTCGTCACACAACGGGGACATGTCAGGGGATACAAAAAAGTATCAAGAGCTCACAAGGAGCACCCAAAATAGATAAGTAGAATGCTTCTTATCTATAGCTGCAAATGCTTCTGAAGAGCAGTAAGTGTATATCTATTGAAGTCGTATGACAGAATAAATGAAGTAGATTCAGTGAAGATTCAAGTAAATTGGAATTATGATTTTAAATACGGCGCCTGCTTTCTTTGCATAATTCTAATGCATAATTTAGAATGTCCTTCACGTAGGCACAAGCCCGAGACAGAGGAGCCTCGTCGCGGGCCTGCTTTAATCATATCGCATTACACTGACAATTGACTTTAAAGAGTGATTTCACACATATTATTTTTCTTTCTCTCACATTATCTGTCTATTCACACTGCCGTGATAACGAACGACGTCCTTCTGGAAAGTCGCGTTTTGGCACTTCAGGATCTTCTTTGAACTTTTTTCCGCCTCAGCTGTGAACCAATAAACCTCCGGAGACTGCTTCAATATAAAAAGACTGCAGCAGCATCCTGTGGCCACATCTTTGGTCCTTCACCTGGATCTCTCTCCTCATCTCTGCCCCGGGACAAATCTTCTTAACATGGATGTAGTTGCAGCAATGAGCGAGTGGGCGCCTGGTCATTTTGGAGAAGACCATGAGGCGAGCTCTCCAGACTCCTCCGTGGACTCCATGTGCTCTTCCCCGGAGATGTTCTATCCAGGCGGGTCTCGGGACTCGGAGTTCTCCTTTGGTTTCGGTGGACGCAGGACTTCCAGCGGCGCGCACCGGCAGATCAAGTCGAAGATGTCCACCAAGAGGCGCATGAAGGCCAGCGAGAGGGAGAAGCTGAGGATGCGGTCCCTGGCGGAAGCCTTGCACCAGTTGAGGGATTACCTGCCCCCGGATTACACCAAGAGAGGACAGCCGCTCACCAAAATACAGACCCTCAAATGCACCATAGAATACATCAACAAACTTTCGGACATTTTAAGCCATGCGTAATGAACTTTCCTCCATAGACTTCTTCGATCTATGAAAATTGACCCACACGCCCTGCCCTGTTCTAGAAGCTGTATATATCGTTAAATGGGCACTTGGAGTTTGTTTTTTGTACATTCAGGCATATTTTTTAAACGTTTGATTTTTTTATTATAGATTTTCTGTAAAGCCACTTTTTATTACCAGCTGGAATTGGATGGACGAATCTTTGCGTCTGTTATTTTTTGTCGTTATTGCGTGTTTTGTTTGAATATTTTTTTTGCATTTTGTGATGTTTGTTTGACACAATTTTGTTACAAAAATGCATGGTTTTAAAAAATAATAATACACCACATGTATGTTCTTATAGAATTTGAAGTCCTATTTTGATGCTTGTGAACAGTATATTATATTAAAAAAATGTTTCAAAACATCTCGAATACATGTGACAATTGCCCTTCAGATACAAACACAAAGACAGAGACACACACACAGACTCGTTCCCATTATTCTGATTGAGAAGTCGAAAGTCCCGAATTTCCCGAGATCGCATGAACGCGGCAATATATCGGTTGTTGATTGACATAATGTGCGTCTAATCACATTCTAGTGAATGAGCACTGCGAGAGGGAGTGAAACAGCTCAGAGCCAATCACGGAGCAGTCTGGTCAAAGGGGGTGGGACTTTATATAACATGGCCTTCACAAAGAAATGCCCATTCAGAAAAGTGGGTTGTCTTCATTAATCCGCCATTGCGACGCGAACAGGCTGTTAAGACGTTTTTGTAGATTTTTTAAAACACATTTTATTTTCATAGCAGAACAACGAATATATCCACTATATCTACCTCATCTAAAAGTAAGTATTCGCTTCTTTCGTGTCACCGTGATGACCTAAATCGCAGGAACGCCCCGTTTTCCTCGTTGTCTCACTATGTTCGTTCTACAATATCATATATATCATATTTCAGATACACACTAGTTCTGTTTGGTGTATATATATCCACTACAAACTACATCAATGTGTGGACAAGCTTTCTTTCAGCGGAATAACTCGCGCGATTGTTGCACATCCAGCAGCCTCCATGCTGTTGATGCTTTCACTGATCTGAGCTCAGGAGCCATACAGGCTGTCAGAAGCGTCAGAAGCATGGGAGATGTGGTCTTAACATGTTGAAGGCAAGCCAAGGCCTGTCCATTTGCATACCACAGTTCATAAAATTAAAGTGCTTAACAAAATCAAAAACAATCACACAAAGCATTAAAATTGATAGTAATAAATAATTAAAGTATATGAAATAGATTGAACAACCTTCAGTTGTATACACACTGGACAGCTAAACAAAACTGTTATCAACCTGGATTTGAATATTGCAGCGTAGACGCCTGTCTCGCATTTCCAGGATTTCTGCATCAATCTGAAATGTTGCCTCCCCATGTTTAGTCCCACCAGCAGGATCCCAGTCCCTGTGTCCTCATTGGTTCATATGTCACTAACATGTCACTTATGTACTCTGGTGCAAGGCCATGGAGAGACTTGTACACAAGCAGAGCTGCTTTATAGCCTTCCCACAGGAAGCTAATGCAGAGACCTGAGAACTGGACTAATGTGATCGTACTTCCTGGTTCTAGTCAAGACTAGAGATGCAGGCTTTTGAATACACTGCAGCTGTATGTCTAAATATTAGAGTAGGCTATTGTACTTCTCACTCAGCCAATCAGCTCTCAACCCAAAACGTAAAAAAAATATTATAAGTATACAAAAAACATGATTTTCAATAGGCTGCATGTAGTGGTCTAATTCTTTCACAACAGCGTCACCTGCTGCAGTGTGAAATGTTTGGAATGTTTGGAACTTCCAGCACTAAACGTTTTTCTGGAATTTCAGACTTTTTGAAGGCGACCTGTTAAACTCTACTTTAGAAATGTATTTGACTTTTTCTTTTTCTTTTTGCAACAGTCCATAGTGACATGGAGCACAAGTATTGTAACAAAACTAAAATGAATGAAATTAACTAATCATGAATAGACCCCAATACCTTTTTTAATGACTTGAACTTTTTTGTTATTGTTATTTCTTATTGTCTCATAATTCCACAATATTGTGGAGGCTATATACAGTGTGAAAAGTGCTCTTCTGTTTTCAGATGGATGCTGAAATGAGTGATACAGAAAATAAGACTTCACCTGCGGCACCTGAGAAACAATTGTCCGAAAACAAAACCAGGTATGTTCAAGCCTCCTGGGAGGGTTGTCATTTGTCTTATTTGTATTTATTTTTGTCTAATTTGGTATAGGATGTACCATAGGAAAATTTGTTATCTCACTACAGACTGTATTCTGACAATGCTAACCCCTAACTCCTCTAGCTCAGTAACTGTTTGAGTTACACTCACCATTTTGGGTTTAATCATCTGTGGCTTAGTGCTCTCCGTGATCCTGGTGTTGTTATTTGGAACCAATCCAGATAATCAGATGCCTTTATTTGTGAGTGGAAATGCCAGCTTGATTTAGCGACTACCTTGGCAATATGTTTGCCCCCTCCATCCATCCATTTTCTACCGCTTAATCCATTTCTGGGTTGGTGGGGATGGCAATCTGCTGCCACTCGATTCACAGAGCAACATGTTTTCCCCTGTGAAAGAATCAGCTGTCTTATGTTCAAATCAGCTTCTTCCGCATTAGGCAAACACTAGAGGTGACATCAGCACTCTGTCAGTCCACTCCTAATACGCAGTCTATAGTGCTTATTAACCACTCAATATTGTATGAAATCATTTAAATACACTAATATATTTGAATATATTCCATCCATTCCCCTCTGAAGAGCACCCCTCCCCTGGTGATCTGGACAAGCAAGTGTTTGTAGTACTATTTTAGTTTCTTGCAGAATAAATACTAAATGTGTGTGCTGACGTCATAGCCAGGGACAACAATGGAGCAGCTGATAGAAACAATACTGCGGTTGGGGAGGGTCACATGCCATCAATGCTAAATGTACTTTTTTACTTGTGATGTAAGGCGAACTTGAGTATCCAGGCAGGCGCCTAAGAAATAAAATGTATTGTTATTATTATCAATCTAATGGCTATGCTCTCACTAACAGAGCAGCCATCCTCCTGTGGACTCACCACCTGCAGGAGGATCAGTGAGGGGCTGATGCTCTGTGATTTGCTCCCCTGCCCAGAAATGGACCAAGGGGAAGAAGATGGATGAATGGATCAATTGAATGCACACAATGCAAAACCGTCATTGAAGAGCCTAATATATTATATTATAATATTAAATGTAACATAAACAAACTCTAGAAAGATCTGTACCATTATGTTGATTTTTAAAATCAGGGAAAAGCCCATTATTCCTCACAACGTGTTTAATTTCAATGATGTGCTGTTTTGCAAATAGCCAGCAGATGGCGAATATTTCTACTGTTTTAGTGCATAAAAAAACACAAGTCTGTGGTTTAAAGTCTTGAATTTCCTTCTCATCAGGACTCACACCTCTACAAAACTCACAGCAGATTTATTCCAAAATGCATCACGGGATTTGCTCTAGTAGAGACCTGTGATTACATTGCATTTGCTTTTTGTGTGCTCAGGGGTCGCGGAGCCAAACTGCGCGGTCGAGGCGGTCGTGGTGGGATGCGAAGTGGGATGCGTGGTGGACGGGGAATGATAAAAGCTTTTGGTCATCCTGGTCATGTCAGAGGTCCAATGTATGACGGACCTTTTAATGGATTTCCACCTATGAGGTATCAGTATGTTTAGGAAAACCAGATGTGAAATAATGTTAGGATGTTCAATATGGGACCACATGTATCTGCTGTCACTTTTAGCCCATACCCTCATGCTGCTAACATGTACACTATAATATCACTAAATATTTTGGCCCTCAGAGCTATTTTTCACTAGATTCATATTTTTGCTCTAGACTCGTCTAGAGCAGTGTCTCCCAAAGTGGGGTCCGCGGCCCCCTGGTGGGCCGCGAGGGTACTGCAGGGGGGCCGCGGGGGTCATAAAAAAAAAAAAAATAATATAATTATTTAATGTTAAATTTATAATGTTTTGTTTGTAATATTAAAATATGTGTGTTCATTATTTGACTTGAATAATCCACTGTAATCATTTTTGTATTACAATGTTTGTAGCAGAGGCTATTTCCCCAAAATAAAATAACCAGAAGAGCCTATTCTTAATGTTGTCTTCTTGGTTATTATTTTGGGGGGCCACGCAGACCCGTCAGATTTTTAAGGGGGCCTCGGTGTTACTGAGTTTGGGAATGCTGCTCTAGAGTATTACAGCTTTATCTACAGATGTATACATACAAGTATATATGTTTTGCGCTATAAACTAACCTATTTTTTTTTTTTTTTTTTTAGGGGAATGGGTAGAATGCGACCATATCCTGACCCCAGTGGGCATCGTGGAAGAGGGCTGATGGGGCCTCCACGCCCACCACCCCCTCCAATGCACCTCAGAGGCCCCTTTCCTCCAATGCACCGGTAACAAGATCAAATTTGTAACAGTAAAAGTGTTTGAATTGTGTAGATCAGAGGTGTCCAAACCTTTTTAGTAAGGTCTCACCAGCTACATAAGCGCTGTTAACACAAGAAAAAACAGGGGGTTTAGCTGAGCTGAAGTCGGCTGGATGACGCTGAACTTGTGTTTATGATCACAAAGTCTACTTTGGGGTTAGCAAAGGCATAGGGCCATATACTATCACTGGGCCATAGTTCGAGCATGTCTGATGTAGGTGTTGGACAATTAATATTTTTATTTGACCTATATTTTATCCATTGAGATAAAAATCTATTTCTAATGTATTGTATTCAAGAGTGAACTGGCAAAGTGTCCGCAGGACCAAAATGTCAACATTCTGTATTTGTCTGTATTTAAAAATATGTTTGAGTGATCTCTGCTGTGCACAGGCATGGACCTCCGTTTGGACACCCTGCGTTCAGAGGACGTCCTCCACATCCTCGGGGCCGTGGCGTACCTCTCCCTCCACCTCCGCGACCCTTCTTTCCCCGGGGCCCTAGGGGGTAAGTAGATCTCTCTCCTCAAATACTATTAAATGCTACTGCTTTGAAAAATCTGCTATTTGCTTGCAAACCTAATTTGTTCTTTGCTAACATTCAATTTGATCAAAACCAAGTTCCACATGATATTCTGTAATAATGTAATAATGATTTGAACATCATATAAAACACAGAGGATTTTATTATTGCTACGTTACTGATAAAAGAATGCACATGAATCTAAATAGTGCATGCCAAATAATATGATAATATAGAATATTGAACAATATAGAATTATTGTATTTATTCTGAACTACAAAGTAATCTCATTTTAGACTCGTGCTCTTATCAGAGTGTTCCCCCTAGTGGCAGAAGCCAAGAATCCAATGTGTGATTTTATCCTTTTACACAGCTACCACAATGGACCGGTCTCTCCCCCGCCTCATCCCCCACATGGCAGAGGCCAGAGGTGGCCAGGGCCGCCTAGTGGCTGGCGCTTTTAGCATAGCCATCACAAAATGACAACTTTACTGTAAAGGGCCGAATAGTTCTGTAAACGTGAAGTGTTAAAAAGATCCTCAATATAAATTAGACCAAATTCATTATGATTTGTCTGTTAGCCAAAAAATGATGTTAAACTGCTATTCGGCATATTCAATTGAATGACATTATGTATTTGTATGTAATGTTATTGGTACTGTAGGGAAACTCTCCGATAACTTATTTAGTGTCTCATATTTTTGTTTATTAACTGTTTGTTGTTTTTTGTAAGTCACCCTAAAAGCCTTAAAATGTGTGATTTGTTTTATATTGAAAAAGTAAAATGGGTGACCGTATATATTTAAATGTGGGGGATAAAGTCTGAGCAGCCCTCAAGCATCATGTTAAGTCATACCTTTGTACACCTGGGACCTTTTGTTAGCTTTCCATTTGTTACATACGAGTTATGTATTATCAGGTCACAATGCTGCAGACATTGTTTAAGTTTTTATGACAGGAAAACATATTCCATCTGTATTATCAGTAATGCAACCAATGTGAAGCTTCTTTAGTTATAATTGCTGTGTGTTTGTCTCCAGTAATGACAAATATTAAAGGCATTATGACTGAATATTTATATACAGATTTAGTAGTTTTATATAACTGCAAATTACTTAGTAATTGCATAAGATGATGGAAAACATAATTTACATTCTTGTGTAATCTTTTTTAAATGTTCACTGTTAATAACAAAGTTTGTGAACTTGTTCAATGTGTTTTATGAAAGTCACAGATTACTAGTGGATAAAAAAATAAACAGAAAACAGAAACTCAACTTCTTCTTTTTATTTATTCAGATACAATGCTGAGCATTCATGATGAGGTCATGTCTGAAATAAATGTATTAGGTTATGCTAAATTATGATTACCCAGTACTGTATGAGGTCCTTATAATGATCACTACAAAGGTGTACATAAAGAATATACTTGCATATATATTTATATGTCAACAGTCCACACGCACAAAGCTTGTAGAATGGCCCGGGCTGACTTCATTTTATGTTCTGTACATAAAATACAATTGGATATATACCTGGATAAAAGTGGTAGCATGTCTAAAAGGAACACGTCATCTGTAAGGATAAGCACTCTGATATGGCTAAAAACGAATGCCATGAGTATAATGCATTTGCAAGAAAAATAATTAATACAATGACATGTTTAGATGTGTCTATGTAATAAATGAACCCATTACTTTGTATGTTTGCTACAATGGCTTCTTAAACATTTTGATTAAATGGTTTGCAAGCCTAGCAAAGCTCTGTACGTCTTGCAGACTTATGTGTTTATAGCCGTATAGTTTGCACACACAGTTCATACAAGAACTGTCGCATTATTATTATTTCACAAATCCTTCTATCTTCATTTCCGCACTGTAATTGGTGCAATCCCCTGCCTCATCTCTGCAGTCCTCTTGTTTCTGCTTTGGTTGATTGCACTGTCCTGAATGTTGTTGTCTCCCGAAGGAGGCACACAACACAGTACAGTCCCCACTCACCAGGAGCCAGGACCGTTCTCCGAGCCGACTCCGTGGAGAGGTGAGCTGATGTTTGTCCTGTTAATATTTGCATCTCTTATTTCAGGTTCTTTCACTTTGTGGGAAAGCATATTTTGTAACCACAAATAACCTAGATCTATACTATGGATTCTCCGATCTTGATACCAGTAAAGAAACCAAAATTGACAGAAAGTTATGTATGTTAAAAGTAAGAATCTAGTTAGAATCTTGTTATTCTGTGTTAATAACGGTAAACTGTGTTGCCAAATCTATATGCTCAACCAATACCATAGATGGAAAGTAGCAGTATAGGTAAAATCCTCCAGCTCCGATAGTCCTGACCAAGCCGGCACCAACATCTGGAGATTGGTCCCCGCGTGCTGTGCTAGGGCGACTCCTGATCAGGATGCAGACAATACATTTCCATACAGGGACAATAAAGTGCATATTTACAGTAGCAAAATCTGTTGTGCATCACTAGTTTTTACAAAAGCGATGATTTACATTGTTTATCGGCCAATATTGTCAGTTTTTTGCACATCTGTATTGACCAGGTGTCAAAACAGGCCGATCTGAACAGGTCGATAATTATTCTAGTGTATGTTTAGGTTGAGATATCACTCTGTCATTTAAAACAAGTGTTGCCCCTCACATTTGTTTTGGAAATTTCTCAAGATAATGGGCCTCATTCACGAATAACTTCGTAAGAAACTACTCAACTTTCTTCTCAAGTTGTCCTTAAGTAGATTTCTAAGAAGTCCCCACGTGGGATTCATCAACGCACTCGTAAGCCGCTGAATTGTTCGCAGCTGTTCTCTCAGATTGATGAATCCCATTTCCTCGTAAGTACAGCGCGCGTGCCCGGTGCTTCATTAGCATAGGTACTTAGCATAAGTAACCGCCCACTAATGCCCATATAAGGGGATGCAGGGCCGTGTGCAGACGGCAGAGGAAACAGCAACAGGCCTAAAGCAAAGAGTTACACGGAGCAAAAGAGTCACCCTTTTTTCTTCTTTTACCAGACTGGGAATAAAGTTATAAAATGTTGACTTAAAAGTCGAAATATCATGATAATAAAGTTGAACTAGCAAAATTATGAGATTAATCTAAGAATATGATGAGATTAATCTCAAAATGTTATGAGCTTAATTTAAAAATATATTATGTATTATTTTAAAGATGAATCTCAAAATGTTTTGAGATTAATCTCAAAATATTTTGGACCCTGGGAGGAGATCCAGCGCGGACCAGCGCTGAGACCAATGCAGACCCGAGGAGAGACTGGAGTGACCAGCACACAGAAACCAGCGCGGACCTATAGGAGAGACCGCATAGACTGGAGTGACCTGACTGGAGAGACCGGTGCGCAGAGACCAGCGCGGACCGAAGATAGACCGCATAGACCAGACTTGAGAGACCAGCGCGGACCCGTATGGATCCAGGAGCATGCAGCACGGACCCATATGGAGAGAGACCAGTGCAGACCCGTATATGGGAGAGAACAGTGCAGACCCGTATAGATCCATGGGAGAGACCAGTGCAGACCCGTCTAGATCCATGGGAGAGACCAGTGCAGACCAGTATAGATCCATGGGAGAGACCAGTGCAGACCCGTATATGGGAGAGACCAGTGCAGACCCTTATAGATCCATAGGAGAGACCAGCGCAGAGACTCAGCGCGGACCCAGTAACCTCCTGCAGCAGCAGTATATATGCCGTTGTTCTGTGGCCCGTGGATAAAGAAATGCCCCCTATAAATAGGAAGGGGTCACTAATACACGGCAAGATTTCCAATGTATTTGATAAAGCGTTGGCACATTTCATTTCAAAATGAATTAAAAAGTAGGCCAGATCTGCAGTGAAAAAGGCGGTATATAAATAAAGATTACTAATAAAAATTACTACAAATAAATAAATACATACATCGATATGACGGACATATCACTGGAATGTTGTATTTTTATTCAACTTCACCAAAGAGGACAACCCCGGTGTGTGAACATGTCGGCACTGAATGCGTACGAGTGCTCCTGAGGACTCGTAGGATTTGTACTTGCCCAAGAGAAATTCTGGTTACGAGAAATATTCGTGAATGCCACTTTCTTCGTAAAAACCGCGTAAGTAGGATTTACGTACAAATCTGTTCCTAAGAACCGTTCGTGAATGAGGCCCATTGTTCTCTATCGCATGGTTGAGTTTGCAAGTTTGGAAAATAATAAAGATTTGCACTTCCTTCTGGTGGTTGCAGAGCTAGTCATAAGCATTTTTTACCCTTCATACCAGTTTCACCATATTTTCTACTTAAGGCATTATATATAATACATGAAATTACAAAGTTAGACATTATTTTATGCCTTAAAAAGTATGTCTTCTGTAAACAAACCGTGTTGAAAGGAACTACTGAAGACAGCCCCAAAACAGAAAAGCTTCAACAAAACTATATAATTATTGTTCATAGAAAATACCGGACGGGATTACTAGGGAGCAGCAAGAGGTGTGGAAGTGGTGGGCTAGTTTATTTGCTAAGCATAGTTCATTTACAAGCACAAATAGGTGAAGAGGACTCCAGTACTTAAGAGCTGGTAATCTACAGGCAGTCAGACAGGATAGCCCAGGAGGCCCTACCACCACCCACCAGTATCTGCTAGCAAAATTGGCTTATTACTCCAGATTAAATTATTGGTGTGATGTATCATGTTATTAATTTCCCTTTGCTTTAATAAACCTGTTTAAAAATGGTGTGTGTCTATTTGTGTTCTTTGGGTCATTCAAACTGGGCAGGATGTACAGAACTTCACTGCTAAAACTGACAAGTGTTTAGATCTGGGGCCGTATTCCTAAAGATTCTGAGAGTCCTCTCAGAGAGCTCTTATCTTAACCTAAAAACTCCTAGCTAGGAGTCTTAGCTTAAAAGTTATTCCAAAACACTCTTAGAGAACTCAAGGAATTGACAACAACTTTTATCTTAGTGAGGAGGCGTGGCCGACCCCGTTGCTAGGTATGAGTCATCATTTCAGACGCTGTGATTGGTTGATCCTAAAAGTTAGAACAAACATATTTTTGATGATAATAGGCAAAATAAGGGCCCTAAAATGGACAAACTCAATCATGGAATCTAATCTTAGGAACACTGTGTTATTGTAAATAATAACCAAAAGCTATAAAGTCAGATATATCAATGGTACATAAATACTGTGAATAGTAAAGTTAGACTTATACACCATCATCAGAGCTTGCTCAGCACCAATTTATCACACATAATACGTATATATCATGAGCACTTATAATTTTATATATATATATATATATAATTTAAATATTACTCTATATATAATATACATGATAAAGAAAATTATTATTATAAATATTATATGGATAAATGATGATAATGATAACGTTAGGATTAGTAAAGGCTGTGATATGTATAGACTTATAAGGAATTAAGGAAACAATATTAATATAAACATATTATACATACACTGTACAAATCAAGTACAAGGGAGCTTAAAAGTCTTATCCTCTCCCACTCCTTTTTGAGCTGGATTGTTAAAAACAAAACTGTATATTTGTACTTCTATTCTGTTGTTTTGTTTGTTTTGTCCTTTTTTTTCTTGTTTGCCATGGCTCAAAATAAAGTATTCATTCATTCGTACTGAATGTGTGACAATTTAGGACCACTTTTTCCTCTCTTTCAACTTTTACCATTTCTACTTACTTTTGTGTAACAAAGGTAAAATGGATGAGGTGTTATTGCTGACCAGCCAATGAGAAGCTGGTCACATGATTGACTTTTAAATATACCACAAACATGATTCCTGCTTGAATCTGTAGCGTTTCACTGATTCACTGTCATCCAGTGTATAGAATATTTCTCCTGTCTCCACCGTCCACCATTTTGTGCTCTTAGGGAACTTTTAAGTCGCTAAAAGTCCTCCTCTCAACTCTTAAGGGATCTCCCCTTAAGAGCACTCTTAAGAGCTAGGATTTTTTAGGAATAGCTTTTATCTTAACTAGGAGCTACTCCTCACTTTTAGGGGAAATTCTAAGAGTTGGTCAAGATTCTAAGAAAATTCTTAGAATTTGGCCACTAGGAGCAACTTTTAGCAGTAAGAATCTTTAGGAATACGGCCCCAGATCCTTACACCCAACTATAAATTGTACAGTGCCAAATTTACACTTGCACAATCAAACTACCAATATTTTTAGATTTATTTATTTCAACGAACAGCCTTATATAACAAATAAACCTTGAAGATTATTATTTACACTTTCCATTAAATTACTAGTGGCTTGGCTTGTCTTCTGAAGGAGTATCATTCCACATTGGTTCAAGTATGTGGTCTGGAATCTTTTCGAGGGCAGTCTGACAACAAAACACATGCAGAAAGTTTAAGAATGTGTAGTTATTTTTAATGACAAATGACTTTGTTACCTTTGTGACCTTCATGGCAACACCCTCAGGAAGATTCCGTTGAATGTACTCCAGATAAACCTGAGCTGAGCAGCCAGTTACACGATTGAGCTGAAACCAAGGGAAAACGTAGGTCTTAACATGACTATTAGACTGGGAGCCTTTATTAGTTCCACAGAGGGACTGATAAAGGCTCCCAAAACTTATTGGATTGTAAGCCATCTGGATAGTTTTGGACTTGAAGGTGTAGTTCAAACCAGAAAGTAATGGGTTGTGTTCATGTGACATTAACGTTCCAAAGAGCCTACAGTTTAAAATTGTGGTGGAGGGTAGCTGAAAAGTATTCCACATCTTCTGTGCCTGTAGTACATTTCTTGGTCTATATTATTTATCATAAAAAGGTGTCTAGAGGCAACACTACTCAAAAAAAAAAAAACATGCATAATGTTGACAAGAAGAAAGGACTTTCAATCTGATAAATCAAGGATTTGAGAAACATTGACATCTTCTTGTTCATTATTTCTTTCCCATAGAAGTAGGAAGGAGTTGAAACAATAACTCAGTCTTGCAATAGTGCTTGTGGAATCTCACCAAGCATTCTACCTTCAAACTTTGAATCAGTCGACTGGATGTGGCCATATCCTCACCCCTTTAGGCCCCACCCATGCCATCTACAATGTTCACACCATTAGCATTCTTTAGAATAAGTATTTAGCTTATCACCTCTATGCACCTGTAGTGTGTCCTCATCTCATACTGGACTCTGTGTTTCTTGAAGATGTGAACAGACTTCAGCAGTGTTAGCCTTTCAATATCCTTTGGTGGCTCAAAACTGGTAAGACAAATACACATTGATATGCGGGTTGACAAAGGCAAGACATGTTTATTTGTATACCACATCTCATACTCGTGATTTAAATTTAGGAAAAGAAACATTAAATCTTAATAAAACCAATGTCTTTTAAAAAAGACTAAAAATAATGTCAAATTAATCCAAAAGATGCCATTTTCAACTTTGAAAAAGACATACTTGTAAGAAAGAGCCCTGTGAGTCACTATTTGACACTTTGAGCTGATAAAAAGCGTATCTAAAAGATAAGATGGAGACGGGTTTCTAACACTAGTTGAGAGTAAGAACTTAGTTACTTACATAGTTTACATAGTTGCAATTTGTGTTTTAAAAGTCGGGTATCTCAGCTTTAAAAGGACATTGCATCTTTATTAGTACTCACATTTTGCCAAGGGTAAGGCCCAGCTCTTGTGCCGCCATTGTTGCAAAGAACTCGAAACTGTCCAAGACAGATTTGTCATGTCCTTTGATTAACACGGACACTTTCTGAAAGAGTGTGTCCTGCTCCTCTGTGACTGTGATCTGGAAAAGGGGAGAGGAAACGTAGCAAGTATAGTAAGTCATCTGTAATAACAACTTATAGGCTATAGATCCAGGATTGTCTGGATTTGATTCTATGATCTGTTGTTGGTGAATCGACAACTTTTAAATTTAGGTTAATACAAAAATAAGTGGGTCAAAATTAAAACTTACTTTGGGTTCAGATGAAAAGGCAGTTGACGTATGGAAATGGTTGCTGCATGATGCTTGAGACTGGAGCCTGTAGGAAAACAATAGACATATTTATTCCCTGACATTGAAAATCGGATGCAACATTTGAGTTAATATTTTAGCATTCATTGCCTTCATGTACCTGTTAATATTAAATTGTCTGTGATATGAACAAGCAGTCCATCCTCCTGGACTCTGCGCACACATCCCATGACAGTAAATAAAACAGTAATAATACAAAACACAAATGTTAATGTAAGAATTGAACTTGAAGTAGAAGTGGTTTAAAATATATGAACTTAATTATTACCAAGTTCGAGATGGTTCCTGTCAAAATTCTCGGCAGTGATAAGACATGTCGCCGTAAAGACATGGAAGCCGCCATCTTTAGGACCTTCTTGTTCGTCCTTCGATGCAGCATGTGTTTGTCACTGTTCGTAGCGCCCCCTTCGGGCAAAATCAAAATAAAGATGTTTATTGTTATTTTTATGTGCAATGGTATTTTTCATCAACACTCAAGATAGAACGTCAATAGACGTTATAACATCACATAGCATAATTCATGGCAAGTGCATTGAGATTAAACATGCATTTTTTTCAGATGTAAAACAAAGTTTGTAAGAATTAAATCTCCAGCGGCTTTTTTAAACGGTGTGTTTGATACGTTGTAATAATGATGGCAATGTAATATCTTTGGTTTATTTTATTATTATTTCTTAAGATAACCTCAGTGAAGAAATGACGATGTTGCAGCACACATACTATGAACACAAAAAATATGCAGATTCGTAGCTATAAATGCTTCTTAAATAGCTGGAAAATGATACTACGAGTATCAATATACATATAGATATGAATATATACAATGTGTATATAGAGATATAAAAGCAAAAACAATTTCACTCAATAAATGGACCATTTTAGAGACTGAAAGGGATAAAGCTGAACCTTTTATAGAATAGGCTGGCAGCTCTGACTGCCACCCACCAAACCCAGAAATGGATAACTAGGAAGAAGATGGATGGATGGATGGACTTTATGAAAAATAAAAATAAAAGTCAAATAGAAGCACAGTACACATTATACCCCAAATACAGCTTTATTACACATGCAGACAGCTTGTTATATATATGCATACACAGCACAAACATAATTAGTATGTACACATTTTACCTACAATTTCAATCTGCTAAATGTTGTTCCCATAATATGATTCATTTTATTTGTAAATACAGATATCCGTTTTGAAAATGTGTCAAAAAGATGTGTACTTATAGCTCTTCAACATGTTTTGTTGGATAGATAGATAGATAGATAGTTAGATAGATACTTTATTGATCCCTGTAGGAGAAATTCAAATGTCCTTCGGCGATAAATCTGAAATGATTTGCTCAAGAAGGGGTGAAAATGTTGTATGGTACTCAAATCTGGCTTTTCTAAAATATACTTGGAAAAGGGCAAATTGTAATCCTTTTCAATATGTTTGTATTTATATGTATTTATATATTTATGTGTTTATGTGTCTGTTAACAAAACAAAATAAAATAAAAAACAATAGAACAAATAAACAACAAAACTCGTTGCAACTACTATGCAAGACGGCTGTCGTGGAGAGAAGAAACGTGAGATGACAGCCGTGCACTTCATCATGTGTTGTCCTTCAATGATGATTTAGAGTCACCTTTCGGGTACAGCTTTCTTGTATATTCTTGTACACCTCTGTTGATCCGTCCTCGGTTAATTGAATCACATGTGCGTGACGTGCCTGAGCTGCGGCCCTGTCAGTGGTGGGATTCGTGTGTCTCTGGGAGAACCAGGGGAAGGACCGGAGGAGGACCAGAGGAGAACCAGGGGAAGGACCGGAGGAGGACCAGAGGAGAACCAGGGCTGGAGCATTCAGAGCAGCCTGCAGGGAGAGGGAGACACAGGGCACTAACAAAACACAGCCGAGGTAAGTCATGTCTCTGCTTTCTATTATTGTCAATCGGAACGCACCTCTCAATCGCGTAATTAAATGGAGTTTGTGTGCAGTGTTTACGCACATAATACGTGTTAAAGCTGAATTTGTCGGATAAACACATAGCTAGTGTTAGCCTGTAGCACCGAGCGGCTGGAGCGTCTGTGGTGATGGTGCTTTACTGTTAGCCTGCGCGAGCTGCTAGCCACTTAGCTTTCACTCTCCTGCCCTGTTGAAAGGCTAGCAGCCTGAGCTATTTGTGTCTCTCAAAATGTAAATTAGTTTATGTCCCGTGAAGGTTATTTTGTCAGTTGCTCATGACACATAGTTTTGATACGGAATATATTTTTGTTTTAATTTGTCTGTAACTAGCTCAAGCTTTTCATCCAGGGCCAGCAGCAACAGCAGCAGCAGCAGCACCAGTCAGGGCATTGTGGTGGTTATCGAAAGTGTTTTCGAGATGAATCTGGTCCATAGATGTCTTGATGAGCTACTTTTTAAACTGGCATCGCTCGCAAATAATCTTGGGTATTTGAAATCCAAGATTCTCACTCTCTGCTCAATGTTAAATGTTTAATTATTGATTTAGTGTAGTAACACAATAACTCCACATGTATAATCCATCACCAAACATTATGGTAACCCCTTTTGATAATTAATGTGTGTTGATTTTATTGTGAACCACCTTCGCGTAATAACAACTGTTTCATGCCATTCCATTGCTAAATTAATAGATAGATGCATCATTGGTGCAAGTGGTTAAGCCAATGATGTATGCCTATTCCTTGTATTGTATTTATAAAACTGATTTTCAGCTATGTAATTTATATCTAATAATTGAAAATGTAAATAATTCTGACAAATATGTAACATTATTATTTTTGATGAATGCAGCAGTCATCCATGGGATCCCAGAGGCAGGTGGGAAGGCACACCGGAGAGAGAATGACGTTGCTGGGACAAACTCACAGCTGATGAGTGAGGACTCCTCACTACTCCTCCACTGTGTTGGGCACCTCCGGGTGGACAGGACGCGTTGCACACATGAGTCACTGAACTGGGCGGATATGTGGCTACATTCAACTGGAAGCATCAAAAACATTTTGGAGTACATGAATCACCCATTTTATTTTCACATTCATGGTTTTTATACATCAACATGAATAAGCAATCTGCCTCTTTGTGTTGAATTGTTAACGCATCAGTGGCCTTGCACATGGAGATGGCATCAATTTAATTTCAGATCACAATGACTTGAGTGCCTTTTGTTGCCTTGGTATGCTCTTTTATTCTCCTCAAAAGTACTGCAAATCACTGTAAACAACAAAAGATACTTCTACTATGCACAGTTTTGTCAACTCTGATACTGAAGCGGTAACCTAATTTAAGGAGAGGCAGTCCTAGTCACTAATCTCCAGAACAATTCAAGTGACCAGGGTGTTTTTGCTCCGGTTGAACCACAGCTGCCGTGATGTTTGCCTCTGTGGAGCACGGCCCGATCCTATGCAGTGACTCCAACATCCTGTGTCTGTCCTGGAAAGGCCGGGTGCCGAAGAGCGAGAAGGAGAAGCCCGTTTGTAGAAAGCGCTACTATGAGGAAGGATGGCTGGCCACTGGGAACGGCCGCGGAGTCGTGGGTGTCACATTCACATCAAGCCACTGTAGACGGGACCGGCCCACGCCACAGCGGGTGAACTTCAACCTCCGAGGACATAACAGTGAGGTGAGGGCACTCTATAATTCTCTGTTAACCATTTATTTATGAAACCACATCAATACTCTCAAAAACTGGTCAAGGGCACTAATAATGAACAAAATTTAAGTATACGTAAATCTGTCCAAAGATTTATAGACTTCCCTTACAGTTATGAATACATGTTGTGGGTAACTAAATAAACAAGAGGAACGAATAATTAGGATAGATTTTAGGGTTCATATCTTAATATGTTCGGGAGAAAGGAATCTGGGACTTTTCAAAAGCACAGAGTTCCAAAATTGTATGCTGGTTAAAATAGGTACATTTGGAATATCAGGTCTCCATCTCAGATCCAAGTGCAGATGTCTGTGTCTGTTAAAATATGATAATACATTCTTGAAAGAACATGCTTTAATCCACGTACCATGTTTTCAAAGGACATATACAATTTTCATACCATTGTTTTAACATGGCTAAGAATACCCTAATTGCTAAAAAAAAATGTAATAAAAATTACATTTAATTGTGTTACCACATGTTTATTCACCAGAATGTCAGACTGCAATGCATCTATTCTGGTTCATTGCAATGACCTTCTACTTTTGTCTCAATTATTTTTAATCCCACTTGGTTCGGCAGACCAGACTTTTTCATCTTGTTTTCAGATGAAAGTTGGTTAGATTATTATTTGTCACAGAGAACCATTCACAGTGGCAGTAGTCATCCAATTAATTTGGATGAATACTATGACTAATATCTACTGTGTACTATCTCTTAAATTTCTATTGTTCTAGTTCTAGTTTTATTTCAATAATGCCTCATTCCCTCGCACTATTCAATGCAAAGGGTTGATGACAGGTTGGCCAATGCAGTGGACACATTTCCCTACAGGGACCTTCTTGCTGTGAAGTATAAGCGTGAGCACCTCTCAGATACTGTGCCACAAATATTTTGTTGTGACCTGTTTAGGTTTTGTCATTTTAGCTACTCCATATTCCTTGACAATGCAATCGTTGGCTTTGTCTGAGGACACAACTGGAGAAATACTTGGCAATGCAACTGAGTAGCAAACTCCTACTGCTCAGCAAACATCACCTCACAGCAAAGAAAGGTGTCATGTCTGGACTTTTCTCTGCAGAGTTTTTTCTTGTCTTTGTTTTTGGGTGGGTTTCTTATCAAGCCAACATATGCACAATTAAACAAAATCCGGCAGCTCAGTTAGTCCCGACATTCCCAGTGGCAGAATAACATTCCCAGTGGCGGAATAACTTTACATTGACGTTTAAGTTGTAAGCAGAGGACAAATTACTCTTTGGTAAATTGTATTTTCTGTGTTAGTTTATCAGGACAAATACACTATGCATAAATTGTATCTGCAGCTTAATTCCCATCTGTATTCTAGTGAACCTTAACCTTACTTTTGAGTGTTGCTGTTATTTATAGTGTAAGCCTACAGTAGAGGACATGCATTCAAAATATACTGTGATATTACACCCCAGAGGTGAATGCTCATGTATTGTTTTTATTATAGCAAGGTTATAATTTTGCAGACCATTATGGGTGTTTATTTATATATTGCCTGGTGCAGTATATGACTGAATTCATTGATTGGTCTTTGTTGGTTAAGTGTCAACATAATAATATGTTGCTTATATTCAAGCGCAGCCTATATGTGAGCAAAATGTACTTTCTCTTCAAATGTAACAGGTGCAGTTCATATACAAGTGTGCTTGATAGTCCAGCGAGTACTGTAAATACTATTTTTCAGTGCATCCCTGTTTTCTGTTAAGATATAATGAAAAGCTGCTCTGTAGTCTGCACTGTGTTCTGGCTATTACTCTGTGCCACAAACAAACATAATTACAAGGCAATAACTTCAAGGTAACAAACGGCTGACTGAAGAAACATATTTGGTTTTTCTATATGAACAATCATTGGCCACAGTCTATGTATGTATGTATGTATGTGTTATTTTTACTGCTCTGCTTTGTGATTTTAGCACTCGGAAGGTATTTGTTGGCCTTTTTTTTCTCTTCAGCAATATTAGTTTTGTATGGCTTTTTTCTTTGTTATATATAGAATGCCACTTTAATTCACTTCTACAATAATATTTTGAACGGCCTTCGCTTTCATTTTTGACACTTGGTGTGCTAAGCTTAAATATTGAGGCTTGAGTGTGTGATGTGGGTAAAATACAGAAATGCTTTAGTATTATTTTGAGCCAGGACAAAACATTTATGTGTGTGTTCTTTGGAATCAGATCAAGACTTTTCATAAAGACAACACTCTGTCTCTGCTCAGAATATTGTCTGGAGATCTATTATACATGGAGGGGGTTAGCCCAGGACACCGCCACCTAGTTGAACTTGCTCACAGTATTCTGTCCCACAACTCCTGTGACCCAAGGCTACGTGAAATACAGTGGTTCCTCACTATAACGTGGTTCACCTTTCACTGTTATGCAGATTTTATGGGTACAATTTTGCATGTTATTTCTCCTCATGTGCTGTGTGTCTAAGATGAGATAAGATAAAACTTTTTTTGATCAATTTATTGAATTCTTGCATCTTGTCTGGGCCGTGGTGTGCACGGCTTTTGACAGCTGCAACAGCTTTCAACGAACAAGCCATATAAGTATTGACCAATCAGATGCCTTAATTCACGGGGGAAACTCCAGCTTGCTTTAGCATCCATATTACGACTCTCCCTCGCGCGAAGCTAACGCAGTTGCCATGAATACTGATATTAGAAAAAAAAAATGGCTCCAGCTAGTTAAATGTTATAATCAGCTTAATTCGCATTCAAACAATGTGGGTGATGTCAGCACTCGGTCAGTCCACTAATACACGGTCTATGGTATCAATACATATAATTAGTTCAAGATCACAGTTCTGAGCACAATTTTGTTGCTGCTTTCAGACCGCCCTGTCTTGTGTGATCTTCCTGAACCATTACAAACCTTCTTAAAACTAAAGTGTATATATAAACCCTAGTCTCCATTAAAAGGGTCCCACTCGCTGTGCTTAGGAGAAAAGTATTATCTGTGTTAATCTCTGCTCTGTAAGGACATGTTGCATAATCCTCAGTACCCGCTGGCTGCTGGTCTCGGAGGTATCTTGTTTGCAATGTGTTAAAATGAAGACTGTTTTTATATTATGATTGTGATAAAAGCGCTACAGCTGTGGTACCTGTCGTTTTTCCCAACCGAAAGAGTCTTGCAAAAGTGAAAAGCTGTGAACAAATCAGACCACAACACGCTTTATTTTTTTGAATACTTTTAATAAAGTATTCCTTGTGAGTCACTTTTTGACGCTTTGGGCTAAGCACTAATCGGCTGAGAGAGGGTGGTCTTCTCTTTTTTACTTCTCAATCTGAAAAATGTGATCTAAAGATGTGACAGCCTTTTGCTTTTGGCTGGTGTTACCATAATCATTTGCAGACTTTTCATATAAATCAACTGTAGATGTGTGGATTGTAACACAAACAAGAACATTCTGAAGAGTTTGTGCTAATTTTGTATTTATTTATTCATTCAACAATGACAATGTGTACATGAATAAATATTTTTGTATGCACCAGATTTTGATTTGCAGTCCCTGGACAGATAGTAGTCAGGTTATAACAATCTCTTTTAATATCTGTAGACTTTGTGACTGAAATAAAGTTTAGTATAATGATAATAATGAATGTACAATAGTATTTACACTATTTTGGAGTAGGTAAGGTGTGTTGGTGGCTGAGTCAGCAAATGACTCATATGAAAATGAAAAGAAAGCTAAAAAAAATCTGTGACATTGTTGCCGTTTACTGATGATTTCGATTTGTAAAGTGCTTTGTGACTCTGTCTATATAAATAAGGATGACTTACATTTAAAATAAAACTAATCAAAGTCAGTAAGAGTCGTCCTCTGCAGATCGTGTCCCTCTGCCCTCTCTGTGATGCCACAAATCACATCAGTTGGGCCTTTCTCTTCTATATCTGCACAACACAGCACTTTTCTTGATTGAGTTTTATCTCAGGTGTAATTACAAAGCAACTTTAAAGCCTTTGACCTACAAGTATTGTCTTTGTTCAAGCTTTATCCAATATCTGTTTCATGAGTCTGCATTGTTCTGTTCTTAGTATAGTATAGTATAGTATAGCATAATAATCTCTAACCTTAGCATGATAAAGAAGTAAGTATAACAAAAGTATACAAAATATTAAAATGGGGCTGAACATTAGATAAGGGATCAATAGCCTTAATTTTTTACTTAACCATATTGAATTGAAAGTCTCCTGTTTTGCGTTCACCCACTGTTTACCTATGACCGCGTGGGATCCACCTCAGCCTGAGCCTGTCTCCATGTGAGGTCTGATCCCTGTCCTGCCGCGTCACTCTGTACTCTATCTCACGCGACTTTTCCTCCTCACACTAATCCTCACAGCTATATTTACTTATTACTTTCACCTGTGTGGCATTGCTGCTACTCAGTGTCCACACGTGCAAGACTGTAAGGAGCTCAGACATGTATAGTTAGATAATTATGACTTTCAAAGAAGTTAATTGAGATTGATTAATTAGTCAAGTTTGCAAATTATAAAGAGTGGCTGTTTTTTAACTCTTCTTTTTTCTTTTTTTTTACATTTTCCAAGTTTACAATTAGAACTGTAATCACCTGCTCAGGGTATGTGTATGTGGGACTGTATTGCTGTTAAAGGGTCTTCCTCTGAGCTCACTAAAACAGTGCGGTGAATTTGGTCGTGTGGAGCCACGTGTGGGACAGAGATATATATGTACTCGCTGAGGATTATTGTCCTGGGAAAAGGCAAAGTCACTCTACCGCAGACATCAGCGTGTTACCTTAAGCCCTTACATTAAGTGTTGCAATATAGTCTTGTTTGAAATCTCTGTAGCATTCCACCAGTAATCTTTATTTATATAGCGCACTTTACAATTGTTGTGCGCATTTATACATTTATATTCCACACACAGGTGAAAGCTGGATTGCCATACAGGAGGTGTATGTTGGTTCCTATATTGTACATGTTTTCAGTGGTAAGGGAAAGCAGAGCAGTCACAGAGAATATGCAAGCTGGAGTGCTAACCACTGCCCAACTGTGCCGCAAAACAACATTCATAGCGCTGTTGGTCTTCAGTCATTTGATCAATTTGACCAGATTGACCGACATTTGCATATGTCGACTTATTTAAAAAAAATTATGTTATGAATTAATTTTTTATGTGAGAACTGAAAGAATCAGAAGCCATGGAGCAAAGGAGCTGAGGATTTGGGCATTTACGCCAGTCATACAAACTGATATTTTAATAAAGACTTTCCTGCGATGCTACGTCCGTGAGTGCAGTTTAGGTCAGACACATAATATAGAATAGTACATAGTTTTAGGAGATATTCGTTTTTGTTGAAATTGATACACTGGCTGTGTCTTTTATCAACCGCAAATTTATCAAGTATTTAATTGTCAGTGTCAAAATCTGTTTGTTTATAGTTCTTTCATCATTGTTTTGATGTTAATGTCCACTGAATAATTGCCATATTTCCTTAAATCTCTTATCACTGTAATATGATTTTTCCATCAGGTGGTGCTGGTGAGGTGGAATGAGCCCTTTCAGAAGTTGGCCACCTGTGACACAGATGGAGGCATCTTTGTTTGGATTCAGTACGAGGGCCGTTGGTCGGTGGAGCTGGTTAATGATCGTGGAGCACAGGTAAAAATATACATATATTCCCACAGTACTTGCTGGACCATAAGCCGCTACACATTTATGCATCCTAGTGTGTTTATGTGAACAGCAGAGAGACATGAGGAAGTGTTGGAGAACTAGACATGATTGGTTTGTATGTGATTAGATAGATTGATACTTTCTTGATCTCACGTAGGAGAAATGCGAGTGTCCAGTAGCAGCAGAAACACATGCATTCAAACAAACAAAATCAAGATCTTTCTAAAAATAGCTAACAACTTCTTCAATAGTATTAAAATGCAACAGCACTTTAGGTCACAGCAGCAGGGATGGAGCAGGACAGGCCACAGCAGCAGAGGTGGGCTGTGGCCTGCTCTTATTAGTAGGGCAGAATTGAGAGACTTTATAGTTTATTTTGAAAACAACATTCCTTCTAAAATTAGAGTGGACTTACCAGAATACTTTTATCCTCTCTTCATCATTAAATCATGTTTTGTCCAGTTATAACAGTTTTGTTTTGCTCCATCAGCTGTGGCTTATATGTGGAAAAAAACTCTTTCTCTTTAAAATGTACTTTCATATACAGTTGCGCTTAATAGTCCAATAAGTACTGTATGCGCTTTTCTTTTATTGCAATTCCGTTCTATTAGCAGCCCTATATGTGTTTGTAGGTGAGCGATTTCACGTGGTCTCACGATGGAACTCAGGCTCTCATCTCGTACCGGGATGGCTTTGTGCTGGTGGGCTCAGTGAGTGGGCAGAGACACTGGTCCTCGGAGATCAACTTGGAAAGCCAGATCACATGTGGCATCTGGACACCCGATGACCAGCAGGTGAGAAACTCCTTTTACATTTATGCTTTACCAGAAAAGCATGCACATAGTTATTTAACCTGTGATGGCAAATCAAAAATGGTGTCTGCATTTGAAAAACGTCTCTCCATCTTTTCAATTGAGGCTGCAGTCACATGCGCAGCCTAAAGCCCGGTTAAAGTGTGCCAGGGCCCACTTCGCAGTTTGATCCGGGCTTTAGGTGCATTCGCGCCAGAGCACGAACGTTTCATATAAGCCCCGGACCGTGGTCGAGGGGCGCTGGGGGAGTGTCTCTCTGCAGGGCCAAAGAAAAGCGTTTCCTACGGGTATAGCTCTCTTCTGTCCTGACCCTCGCTCTCAGTGTGGTGCTATTGCAATAACACTTCAGACATTCAAGAATCAGTCTTTATTTAATCACCAGAACACACACACACACACACTTGTAACCTCCCTGTCTGCGTTCGCTCTGCTCTACTCCACACTTTTCATTCATTCTTATCTCAGCACTCTCATGCTCGTTGCTAAAGAGTGTGTTTGTGTGTGTTTGTGTGTGTGTGTGTCCGCGTCCGCGGCGCGCACGCACACACACACACGCGCACACAAACACACACGTGTGCACACACATGTCACCCACTGAACTGCTGCACTTTGGATCAGAGCAATGTGGACAAGTGTGAGATGTATCTTTCCCTAAACATTTTGATCCATACTGAGCTGTTAGCTACAGTAGCTGTAGCTGTTAGCTGTTAGCTACAGTAGCAGAATGTAAACAGGAAAAGAAGCGGATCTCAACCAGGGCAACAAGGTAGTCTCTGGTGTTCGTATTAGCGCCACCAGCTGGACCGAGTGTTGTACTACAGCACAATTTCCCTGGCACGGTTCAGACAACACGTTCATGTGACCGCGGGCCGTTTTCACTGCCCTGTGGCGACGATCTGGGCCACATGGCCTAGTTCGTTTGTAAAAACCTATGTGAACGTGCCCTTAGTAAGTCCTATGTACAGTGCCTTGCGAAAGTATTCAGCCCCCTTGAACCTTTCAACATTTTCACACAATTGTGAAGTGGAACGACATATATTGGATAATTTAAACTTTTTTAACAAATAAAAAACTAAAAAGTGGGGCGTGCATTATTATTCGGCCCCCTTGCGCTAATACTTTGTAGCGCCACCTTTTGCTGCAATTACAGCTGCAAGTCGCTTGGGGTATGTCTCTATCAGTTTTGCACATCGAGAGACTGGAATTCTTGCCCATTCTTCCTTGCAAAACAGCTCGAGCTCAGTGAGGTTGGATGGAGAGCGTTTGTGAACAGCTCTTTCCACAGATCCTCGATTGGATTCAGGTCTGGACTTTGACTTGGCCATTCTAACACCTGGATACGTCTATTTGTGAACCATTCCATTGTAGATTTGGCTTTATGTTTTGGATCATTGTCCTGTTGGAAGATAAATCTCCGTCCCAGTCTCAGGTCTTTTGCAGACTCCAACAGGTTTTCTTCCAGAATGGTCCTGTATTTGGCTCCATCCATCTTCCCATCAATTTTAGCCATCTTCCCTGTCCCTGCTGAAGAAAAGCAGGCCCAAACCATGATGCTGCCACCACCATGTTTGACAGTGGGGATGGTGTGTTCAGGGTGATGAGTTGTGTTGCTTTTACGCCAAACGTATCATTTTGCATTGTGGCCAAAAAGTTTGATTTTGGTTTCATCTGACCAGAGCACCTTCTTCCACATGTTTGGTGCGTCTCCCAGGTGGCTTGTGGCAAACTTTAAACAAGACTTTTTATGGATATCTTTGAGAAATGGCCACTCTTCCATAAAGGCCAGATTTGTGCAGTGCACGACTGATTGTTGTCCTATGGACAGACTCTCCCACCTCAGCTGTAGTTATCTGCAGTTCATCAAGAATGATCATGGGCCTCTTGGCTACATCTCTGATCAGTCTTCTCCTTGTTTGAGATGAAAGTTTGGAGGGACGGCCGGGTCTTGGTAGATTTGCAGTGGTCTGATACTCCTTCCATTTCAATATAATTGCTTGCACAGTGCTCCTTGAGATGTTTAAAGCTTGGGAAATCTTTTTGTATCCAAATCCGGCTTTAAACTTCTCCACAACAGTATCTCGGACCTGCCTGGTGTGTTCCTTTGTCTTCATGGTTCTCTCTGCGCTTTAAACAGAACCCTGAGACTATCAAAGAGCAGGTGCATTTATACGGAGACTTGATTACACACAGGTGCATTCTATTTATCATCATCAGTCATTTAGGACAACATTGGATCATTCAAAGATCCTCACTGAACTTCTGGAGTAAGTTTGCTGCACTGAAAGTAAAGGGGCCGAATAATATTGCACGCCCCACTTTTCAGTTTTTTATTTGTTAAAAAAGTTTAAATTATCCAATACATTTCGTTCCACTTCACGATTGTGTCCCACTTGTTGTTGATTCATGACAAAAAATTAAAATTTTATATCTTTATGTTTGAAGCCTGAAATGTGGCGAAATGTTGAAAGGTTCAAGGGGGCCGAATACTTTCGCAAGGAACTGTACATTGTGGACCCACAACCATTAGGTCCAAAGACCAATGCTCTACCAACTGAGCTACTGTCCCCTAAAGTTATTATTCAGTCACTATTATTATTGCAGTGTATTGGTTTTTAATGTTCTATGTTTTCCTAACCCTTTCTTGTGGCTGTCCAGGTGTTGTTTGGTACTGCAGACGGGCAGGTAATCGTGATGGACTGTCACGGGCGGATGCTGGCTCATATTCTGCTTCATGAGTCGGATGGCATCATCAGCATGTCCTGGAACTATCCCAACTTCCTGGTAGAGGACAGCAGTGAGAGCGACACGGACTCTGATGACTACTGCCCTCCACAAGGTACATGGAGACCTATAATACGTGTTTACGTTGCTACGGAGCAGCAGGGACAGTCGGATGAGAATGAGAATGAGAATAGGGAGAGCCTCAGCAGGCACGTGTGGCAAGTCTAGGCGTGCTGCGAACAACAGGGGCAAAGGCAGTGGCGCACGCTAATAATGATACACAACAAGTGTCACCTGGGCGGCACGGTGGCTGAGTGGATAGCAGTTGGACCAGGGTCTTTCTGAGTGGAGTTTGCATGTTCTCCCCATGTCCGTGTGGGTTTCCTCCGGGTACTCCGGTTTCCCCTACCACTAAAAACATGTACAATAGGTCTGGCATGGGCCTCCTGTACTGGCGACCCCGCTCCCATCTCTGTGTGGAGTGAGAGGACAAATGCCCAAAAATAACAATTGTATACCGCTTTGTGACACTGGTCTGTGAAAGGCGGGATATAAATAAAGATTTAAAGATTACCTAGATGAATATGGATTCTACATCTGATGTCATAATATGAAAATTCGATGGGTTCATTTAATCCCTAGATAAACTTTGAGCCATCTTTAATATTTAGCTAATTTACAGAAAGCCTCTATCTCTTATCATTTTTAAATTATAACGTTTTGAAATGTGTTCCGGGCACCTCCCACCGGGAGGAGACTCCAGGGAAGACCCAGGACACGCTAGAGGAACTATGTCTCTGGCCTGGGAATGCCTTGGGGGCTCCCGGGTGAGCTGGAGGAACTGTGTGTGGATAGGGAAGTCTGGGCGTCTCACATGCGAGGGCAACCGATGAAACAAAATAAAATGGATGGATGGATGAATTGAACATTCTACGAAAAAACTGTTGTGGCCTAAAAGCTAAAGGCCAAGAATTCATGTGAAAACTAGCGACAGATGGTAACTGTTTTGAGTGAGAGGAACTATTTAGATGGATTTTTTTGTGGTATGAATACTAGGTACCCCAGCTTTCATTAACTACTTTGGTCTTTTTCTCTTGCCAGTGCACAGTCAAAAGCCTCTCCTCACAGTCAGCTTCAGTTCTGGAGACATCAGCTTAATGAACAACTACGACGACCTCTCTCCGACTCTCATCCGCACTGGTTTGAAAGGTGTGTAACTTGCACAATCATGTTTATTTGTTCATTCAAGCGTCACTCACTCAATCAACTTTTATTTGTGGAGTGCCTTTCCTACACAAGGTAACACATATCACATTAACATTAAGATCTACATAAACATGAAAAAATACAATTAAAATCCCACAGGGCATTAAAAACAAACCTTAAGAGCTCGTGTCGTGGTGTGCTCGTGGTAGCCTCCACTGAGCGGGTTTCAATTTGGGTCTTTGCGTTAAAAATGCTGCTACTCTGAGACCATTGCATTAACATTAAATACTGAAAAGATAAAACACAAAAATGTATAAAATCCACAAAAATAAACGGTAAAAACATGTTTAAAAGGCATACTAAAAGGTACACAGAGCCGAGACCTACCCAGGATGCACCACCATTACTTATCTCTTGTGGTGCAGATGTGGTGGTCCAATGGTGCTCACAGGGGGACCTGCTGGCGGTGGCAGGTATGGAGAGAACCCTCATGTCTCCTGACTCCTGTGCAGCTGCCCTGAAAAACGCTGTGGTGAGGTTTTACAACGTCCGCGGGGAGCACGTGTTCACACTGGACACACCTGCTCAGGTAATCAACACTACTCAGTGGATTCAAAACTGTTAGCTTTTTGTGTTTGTGTTAGGCAGTTGATTTAGTATCAGCAATGAAACAGCAATTACAAAGAAGCAGAAGGGTCTGGAGAGTAGAATTGGGAAAAAAATATATATATATGGTTAGCTAGCATAATATTTGAGTTTGTTTATACTTGGGATGGTGATATACACAAGGGGGCAAAACCAATTGTGCAAGTCCTCCCACTTAAAAGTATGAGGGCCTGTAATTTTCCACTATGAGAGACGAAATGAGAAAAGAAATCCAGAAAATAAGTATTCATAAAACTTGTGGAGACTTACAGAAAACGTTTCACCTCTGTACAACAAAGTATTGAAATTGACTTATTTTCCACAATACTTAGAAAAATTGTAAACTTCAAAAATTGAAGTTTTGTCTCTCATAGTAATCATGAAAATTACAGGCATATCTCATCTGTAAGTGTGATATGGAAGTCCGTTTCCACCATGTAAAAAAAAAAAAAAAAGCCTACAGAAAGTCAAAATTACAACTTTAAAACTCAAAATTTTGAGTTTTCAACTGCGCATGTGCAGTTGAAAACTCGTATGTGTTGTCTGGAACGGTCTCTGGTCATCCCTGTTATAGATCCATGACCATGGGTCATCCTCTACCTGCAGATTATGTGAAGATTTTGCCTACAGACAGTGACCACATCCATGAAGTAGCAGCAATAATGTTGTGGTAGTAATCGCGTTAAAATGCAAACGGTCTCTCAGTTTATGATTAGAATCCGCTTCAGAAGCCTCTATTTAATTTATCCCAAACGGACTGTGGAAGATTAATAATAAAACACATGCGGCTGTTCAAAGTCATTGAGCATCAACTGGTGACGTCTGGTCAGTATCACGGCTATCGATGGATGCACCAGAAATGCAGTGAATGATATTGTGACTGACAGAGAGACCGTTCGCGATTACTGGACAGTGAGAGAGGTCCGCAGACAGAGGCAGGAGAACCACAGTCACGGGCACTGACAATATTACCCTTTTGGAATTGCGATCAGTGTATTGAAGAGTATGTGACGTGTTTGCGTGCACGCGGGGGTGAGCTGATGGAGCGAGCGTGTGGTAAAGTTGTTGGCGTATGAGCAAGAACACAGAGACATACAGGGAATAAGTACCTTGTCTGATTATTTTATTGTGACAAAATAAAGCCCACCACTCTTTTAGCAACAATCCGGATAAATAATTCCGCAGATAACAGTGAGGGTCTTTGAAAAGGGAGTTAAACCCATTATAGATGCATAAATAAAACCCTGTACTCAACACGTAGAAAGCGCATCCTTTCAGCCGTGGAAATACTCGCTCCGTGTGGACCCCTCTCAGCGTCATCGTCTGGTTAGAGTGGTCTATAGCAGATTGGATTGGAATGTCTCGATGGCTCATTTTCCTTTGATTTATTATAAAAACCTATTGCTCACATTATTTGTTACTATAATAATAATAATAATAATAATCTTTATTTATATAGCACTTTTAAAAACAGTATTTACAAAGCGCTGCACAGTCAGCATGATAAACAATAAAAAAGTCATAATGCAAGGTCAAAATAATTAGATACAGAAAAACAAAGCAAACAGAGCAAAACACAAAAGAGACTCAACAAAGACAAAGCAGACAATAAAATACAGCATCGGAAGTTTAAAACTAACAGTTAAAAGCTGTTTGATAAAAGTGGGTTTTAAGAAGAGATTTAAAAGAGGATACTGATGGTGCTAGCCTTATCTCCTCGGGCAGGTCGTTCCGAAGCCGAGGAGCCCGGACAGAGAAGGCTCGGTCACCTTTCGTCCGGAGCCTCGACCTTGGAACAGTCAACAGGGACCTGCCCGAGGATCTAAGGCTGCGGGGGGGCTCGTAGGGGGTTAAAAGTTCAGAAATATAGCTGGGTGCTAAACGAGCTTTAAAAGTAATCAGTAAAATCTTAAAATCAATTCTAAAACGCACAGGGAGCCAGTGGAGAGACGCTAAAACAGGGGTGATGTGCTCCCTTCTGTTAAAACCAGTGAGAAGTCTGGCTGCGTTCTGGACCAGTTGGAGGCGGGAGAGGGATTTAGCGTCGAGACCGGAGAGGAGGGAGTTGCAGTAGTCGAGGCGGGAGAAGATGAGGGCGTTGACAACTTTATGGAGATCGAGAGGAGTGAGGATGTTTTTAATCTTTGAGATTGTGCGGAGGTGATAGAAGCAGGTTTGGGTGGTTTTATTGATGTGGGAGCGGAAAGTGAGGTTAGAATCAAAAATGACACCAAGGTTACGGGCGGAGGGAGTGATGTTTGAGGAAAGGGGGCCGAGGTGGGTTTGGATGTGGGATATAGATGGAGGCGGGTTGATGAGGAGGACTTCAGATTTGGAGGTGTTGAGCTGTAGAAAGTTATGGGCCATCCAACGGTTCACATCGTTAAAACAGTCGACCACAGCAGCCAGACTTCCAGGGTCGTTTGGTCTCAGCGGGAGGTAGATCTGTGTGTCGTCCGCATAGCAGTGGAAGGACACGTTATGACGGGCCATAACGTGTCCTAGGGGGAGCATATAAATAGAAAATAAAATGGGACCTAAAATAGAACCTTGCGGCACACCACAGGTAATGGGGGCTGTAGAGGAGGTAAAATCACCCATGGTGACCGCAAAGGTTCTGTCTAAAAGATAAGAATGACTATGACTATGTCAAAATAAGAAGTGGTTTGATTTAAATGTTGTATATATGTAAATTGAATTTAACATAAATAAATAAAAAGACAGCTCCCCCCTGCGTCCTACGACCGCGGTCTGGGGCTTAAACAGGAAAGTTTTACAGAATCAATCAAACAACATTATTTCTGGCTCCTTCGTGGATGCAGTGGTCACTGTAGGCAATATCTTCACATAATCTGCAGGTGAAGGATGTCCAGAGACCGTTCCAGACAACAACACATACGAGTTTTCAACTGCACATGCGCAGTTGAAAACTCGTAATTTTGACTTTTAAAGTCGAAATTTTGACTTTTAAGAGACGTAATTTTGAGTTTTAAACTAAAAATGTTGACTTTCTGTACGCTTTTTTTTTTTTTTTACATGGCGGAAACGGGCTTCCATAGTGTGAGGACCCGGTGGCTGACTAATCACTTTTTTGCCCCACTATGTCATTTGTTGTTTTAAAAAATCTTGAGTTAGTAGTATAACCTTATGTACATACACATACACCTACACAACAACATGTACTAGAAACTACAGTACAAAACTCTGAGATATTAACGACTGCTAAACCCTTATTGCTGCAGCGTCCTATCACTACATTATGCTGGGGACACAAAGACACTCGGCTCTTTCTCGCCTGTGGCCCTGCGCTCTACGTTGTACGAGTGGAACATCGCGTGGCAAGCCTGCAGCTTTTATGCCAGCAAGGGATCGCATCAGCAGTAAAAGAAGAAAAAGATTTGGCCAAACTCACCATGCCCTCTCGCCTCTGTTTGTATGTCACTAGCGCTTTTGCACCTACCATTAAGGTAATTGTTTTTTGACGTAAACAATGTTAATTTCTCTATGAACTCGTCCATCTTGATGCTTAAGAAATGCTCTGTTTTATAGCCTCCCATCCCAGATCCTAACAACATGCGTGATTTTGTGAGCTACCCGACATCTGGGAACGAGCGGTTGCACTGTACAATGAAGCGAACGGAGGATAATCCTGAGGTGGGGGGACCCTGCTACACCCTGTACCTTGAATACCTCGGTGGCCTGGTTCCAATTCTAAAGGGTCGACGAATAAGTAAATTACGGCCAGAGTTTGTCATCATGGACCCAAAAATGGATGGGAAAACAGGTTAGATGCACCAAATGTTTATGAAACACAAAGCGAAAGGATGTATTATTATTGTATGTATGGGCTTCATCTGCTTTTGTATTTATTTTCTTTTAGATGAAATTTATGGCAACAGTTTGATATCGGCAATGATTGATAGCTGCAATTGTTCTGACTCGAGTGATGTTGAACTGAATGATGACTGGGTTGGAAAAAAATCTCCCAAAATCTCCAGGGGTAGTAAATCACCCAAGTTACCAAGGTGAGACTTCTGTGTTGTTAAGGTCCTGGATTGGTTGATCTGTTTGCCCTATAACAATGCCAAGATCAAGCTTTAACCAGATTTTCCTTTATTTCTTTTACAATAGTCATATTATTTTGTCTGGTGCTTAATGTGCTGTTCTATTCTGTTTTTACTGCATGCCTAAACTTTTATTTTTTATGTGTTACCTTGTCCTGTAGAGACTTAGTTTGTCCCTTTACCAACAGAATCAACATAGATCCTAGAAAATCGCCAAAACTCTCTCGCACTACCCAGGAAATCTCTAGGTCTCCACGGTTACCTATACGAAAACCTTCAATTGGGTCACCCAGTTTAACACGTAGAGAGTTTCCTCTTGATGACATCGTTCAGGTAATAGTTTGAGGTTGATGTTGGATGTGGCTATTAAACTGCTTTTTTCAATCTCCTTGTCATTTTTATCTTTTAGCAAAACTACCTTGCGCAAGTCACATCTAATATCTGGGGAACTAAATTCAAACTTGTAGGTTTAGCAGCATTCTTGCCAACTAATCTTGGAGCAGGTAAATGCCCATCATCATATAAATAAAATGTTTCAATCATTAATGTAACCTAATTTTTATTGTTATTATTTTTCTTTAGTCATCTACAAAACAAGCCTTCTTCATTTACAGCCCAGGCAAATGACCATTTACCTTCCTGAGGTGCGGAAGATTTCCATAGACTATATCAATCTGCCGGTCTTCAGTACCAATGTCTTCAGTGAGGATGAGGATGACCTACCTGTCACAGGCCCCACTGGTGGGGCAGATGATAACCCTCCTTGTACTGTGAACATCCCTATTGCCCCCATCCATAGCCCTGCCCAAGCGATGTCACCTGCTCAAAACATTGGTCTTGTCCAGTCACTTCTTGCTAATCAAAATGTCCAGTTAGACGTTCTCACCAATCCAACTGTGAGTCCAGTGGGGGCTGCTGCCGGTGGAACAGACCAAAGTCAGGACAATATGCTCACAGCCCAGTATGCGGTTCCCACCCGATACTCAAATCCAGGTCAGGTCATTTTTGGGGGACTAGACATGAGCAGGCTTATGGTGGGACCTCCTCAGTCCCACAGTTTGCAACAGCCACAGCCCAGTCACCAGCAGCACCTTCTGCAGCACCAGCAGTTGCAGCAGATGTTCCAGCAGCAGCAGCAGCTACAGCAGCAGCAGCTACAACAGCAACAGCTACAGCAGCAGCAGCTACAGCAGCAGCAGCTACAACAGCAGCAGCTACAACAGCAGCAGCTACAACAGCAGCAGCTACAGCAGCAGCAGCTACAGCAGCAGCAGCTACAGCATCAGCAGCTACAACAGCAGCAGCTACAACAGCAGCAGCTACAACAGCAGCAGCTACAACAGCAGCAGCTACAGCAGCAGCAGCTACAGCAGCAGCAGCTACAGCAGCAGCTTCAGTACATGCATCAGATGCAGCACCAAGTCCTGCCGCCACAGCATCATCAGCTCCATCAGCTGCAACAGCCTCTTCAAATTCAGATCCCTGTGCCGTCTCCGCTGCCTGGACAGCTCTCTGGGTCGTCGGCTCCCTTGCTCCATCCCGGAGCTTTACATATCCAAATCCCTCATCCGGCAGCAGATTTAGCTGATCGTTCTATTGGAAATGAACATGAGCATTTGTTGAAAATAAAGACCACTCGCTCAGCTTCACTATTGACAGAAGGTGACACAGTAGTGTTTAGTGCTCCTCTTGAGCTCAGTAAAATGAATCCACCCCCACCCTATCCTGGCACTACAGCAGTGGCTTCTCCCTCTACCTCCAACACAGCTTCTGGACCTGGACTCACTGGAACTCAGTCTCCTGGAGATCTTTGTCTCAAAAAGGGAGAGTTCCAACTATATCCTCCAAGCCAGCCCCCTGCTCAGTACCCCACACCCCTCGGCTATGAGAGAATCACAACATTTGATAGTAGTGGGAATGTGGAGGAGGTCTGTCGTCCACGGACTCGCCTTGTGTGTAACCAGAGTGTGTACGCAATGCAGGGACCTGGCAGCTCAGCCACACTCAGGGTTACCTCTTCATCCTTATCTTCATCGGCAGTGGATAACAAGAAGCTCCAGATTCCATACACATCTGCCACCCTCAACAGACTTACTGCACCTCGATACTCCATTCCAAGTGGAGACCCTCCTCCTTATCCTGACTCCTCCAATCAGAACAATGCGGCTGGCCGAACCACTGGATTAAGGCTAGATAGCAATGTAATTCATGCCACTCTCAGGCGCAACAGTAGGGAGGCAACGCTTAAGGTTTCCCAGATGCTGGAACCCCCCAGGCCACTGCCTCCTAAGGCAAAAAACAGTAGTGCACTCGCAGCTTCTGTTCAACAGAGGGTGCCTACAGCCTTATATACCTGCAGTCAGTGTAGCAGTGGCTCCAGTGTTGGGGGTTCTGCCTTGGGTAGTGCTAATGGTATAGCTGGAGGAACCATCATCAGACAGGACTTTCCTCCTGGGACTGGGGCTCCACACAGCACAGTGATAGTTCACTCAAATAGTGCTACCACTCTGCCGTCTCAGTCGTCTTACAGCTTAATGAGTTCTCTTGAAGGGCCGTTGTCTTCTGTAGGAGGAGCACGGACCGACAGAGATCGGGTGGACTATGTGAACTCTGCCTTTTCTGAGGATGAGACATTGAATCAGTCTCTAAGACATTTGTCTTTAGGAGGAAGTGAAGCCCCAGGTCTGGTTGTCAAACGCCCTCCTCCATATCAATGGGACTCCCCTAGCACTGAGGAGGTGTGGGTTCCTCAGGAACGAACAGTGACCCTAAACCCTCCCGGCCCCTCAGGCTCACACAAACCACCACCACTGATCCTAAGTCCTGGTCAGAATTTGGATGTTTCTCGAATGCCGTTTATTCTTTCTCCAAAGTCCCCTACTAGCCCTAACGCTGCTTCATTTCAAGCTGCTGCTGCAGCTGCAGGTTACCAAATTTCCTTGCAGTATCCTGCATCTGCCTACTCAGGCACCCCAATCCAGTCCTTACCTACATCCCCGCGGCCCTGCTCCTCTCCAAAAGAGATGGTAGCTCCAGTACCCTTCTCTCAACAGGAAGCCACACTTGTCTTGCCCCCAGGTTACTCTGCAAACCTAGCCAACCTTGCCTGCTGTCCTCTTCCTCCATTGTATCCAGGAGCAGGTTCCATTCTCCCCCCTATTGCACTTCACACTCCATGGGGGACGTACAACCCATGCCCCCCTATGACCTCTCCTGCAGTGCCCCTTCCTCCAAAAGCCTCCCACAATACAGCAGACAAAATAGCAATTTCACCACCTCCTCCACCACCACCAGCACCTCCACCTGCACCCACTGATTTGCCAGAGCCAATGGCAGACACTGCGGAGGGTTTTCAGGAGGTTTTGTCTTTAACAGAGAGCCCTGTGCCACAGCGCTCTGAGAAAATTAGTAAAAAGAACCGTAAAAGAGCAGAGGGCAGAGTGGAGGAGGGCAACATGCCTCTGGCTGAGGGGAGCAAATCCAAGAAGGAAGGAAGAGCTTTAGGTGATTTCAACTCTCTCATTTCAAGCCCAAGACTGGGAGGAAGAGATAAGAAGAAATTGAAAGGCCCAAAGGAACAATTAAAAGCAAAAAAACTGAGTAAAGCCACAGCCAATAGTGAATTTCAGGACAGTTCTGAAAGTGAGCCAGAGCTGTTCATCAGTGGGGATGAGCTGCTCAACCAGTGCCAAAGTGGTAAGAAAGGTTGGAAAAGTAAACGAAACCTGCGAGCTGCCACAGAACTTGATGAGATCAAATGTAGAAAAGCCAATGAAAAGGAGGATCGAGGCTTTGGGAGCCAGGGCTTTGTGTATGTTATGGCCAACAAGCAACCACTATGGAATGAGGCCACACAGGTTTACCAGCTGGACTTTGGAGGTCGAGTAACGCAGGAGTCGGCTAAAAACTTTCAGATTGAATTGGAAGGCAGACAGGTAGAAATACAGTTATGATCATTTTCAATAATAAAGTCATATTTTTATACCATTCTTTTTTGCATTTCCAGGTGATGCAGTTTGGCCGCATCGATGGCAATGCTTACATCTTGGACTTTCAGTATCCCTTTTCTGCAGTGCAAGCTTTCGCTGTGGCTTTGGCCAATGTTACTCAACGCCTCAAATGATGGCTACTCTTCTATCTGGAAATGATTGACCTACGTAAGGGCAACGATTTTCAATGTGACAGTAATATGGATTCTGTTTGTGAAATCAGCCCTTGTTGTAGAAAGATACAATCATGCTGCACTACTTAAAGCTGCCACTAGATGTGGCGCAGTGGCATTTGCCATTGTGGCTATCAGTAGACCTGTGCAGCACTTGAAGGGCCAAAGAGCCAAGCTTTGGTGATCTTCATGGAGTGAAACTGCCAGCCAGATGTCTTTCTAAAACGCAGCAATGATACTTGAAAGTCATCTTATGGAGATGCAAGCTGTTTCCTTCTGAGTGCACACTTACCAGGCACTGAAATCAATTGCTGTATAAAAAACCATTCAATTGAATAAACACGCAACCTAAATAATTGCTGATTTTGCCTTTAGAATGTCATTACATGATTCCATCTGCTTGTGGGTGAAGGTGAAGCTGGTGCTCCCTGCCATTCCTTTTGTCACCATCTTAAGTTATCTGCGTTGCTGCAGAAATAGTTTATTGAATTTTTCCTGTTACTTTGAAGGAAATTATCTTAAAGTATGTACAGTTTGTTTACTCATTTTAACATTGTGTGTGATTTGCAATCTCTTACTCTCTTATTGTCATGTTTTAACACACCTACATTTAGTTGGGAGTCTTTTCTCTGATGTTTATATTTCTTTGTGATTCAGGAGAATTCAGGTTGCAAGAGCTACAGAAAGCTTTGTTGTGTACATCCGATACTGAATAGTGCATCAGCACATGGTGATGTGAGCACAAATCACCATGGCCTGTTGTCAACATATTAACCTCTGAAGTTTTTGTCACTTGCCGTCACTTCTGTGAAGTGATTGTGTAGTTGGGGGAAATCCCAGCACTTGAAGCCCAAACATTACATGTAACAAGGCACAGGAAGATATTTTTATATATTTTGCCGATGCCAAATTCATACTGTTTTAGAAGTTACGTAAATGCATATCAGTGAATCATGATGACAATGATACAGACGTAGGCAGGCCCGTCCCAAGAGGGGTGCGAGGCCCTGTGCGAACTCGAAACGCGAGGCCCTGCCCTGACACTTTTTTCCCAGATCTGAGGAAAGTTTTTCCTGTTATAATCTTTGACATGAATTCAGCACCACCTCGCGCGGTGCTTGACGAGATCAGCACGCGTGTAACCGAGTGTCTTCGCTCCTATGCAGCGTTTGGCGCGCGCACGTACACACGCACACACACTCTACGTGCAATATTGGTCGCGGTCTTTTTAGCTGACATGTCTCTTTCGTCCTGTGGCAAAATGGTAGAGCAACTCAAAAGATTGAACCAAAAGGAGTCTTTTTCTTCTAATAGTTAGATTTTGGCAAAATGCGCCAAAATGGCTATGAGGCGGAGTCAATATTATTTTTTTCTCATCAAATAACGTTTTTGCCATGCCTCCACACACTCTGACAACATACACTCCTCCTCCTCCACACTGACAACAACAAAATACTCTTCACCTCCTCCTCCACACACTCTGACCACAACAAAAACACTCCAGCTAGCTAAAGCTAGACATACAGTGTGTTTGCTAATGCTTTTAAAAATATGTTTTTGATGTGGATATTCGGACTAAACATTGGCAATAGCAGCGCTCACACACCTGTCACACCGCTGATCCTCCTCCTCCTCCTCTGCTCACACAAAGGGGTCTGCTCCTCTGCTCACACCTGTCTCGCTGCTCCTCCTCCGCGAGTATCCATCTCTCCTACACTGCGATCATTCCCGTTACTTTCTTTGTATCTCACTCAGACACTGCTAAAGTTATCTGACAGTTTTTTCGGAGGACCCGTTGCATACATAGCTGCCCGCGCGCCTGCCTGTTTACAAATCGCTTTTGGTGAAAATTTGACTTTACTTGTAAAAATGTTCTTTTGATCAAACGAAATCAAAGAGGTCCAGAGAAAGGGGTTTAGGGTTCCAAATTTGGAGTGCAGTCTGCCCTTTGGGGACCCTTGAACTAGTGTATTTATAAAATAAAATAAAAGGAAGGAAGATTGCGAGGCCCCTGTGTGGTGCGAGGCCCTGTGCGACGGCACAGGTCGCACAGCCCTTAGGACGGGCCTGGACGTAGGTGACGACAGGCTGTTTACAACATTTTCACTGTGTTTTAGTCTTTTGTGGCATTTACCCTGGTGTATTTAAACGATTTATAAAAGAATAAGAAGTTATTGTCACTAAATATACTGTTGATGAAGGCAACAATTTTCATAGTGAATGAGCATGACACATCACCAATCCATAAACCTATCGGTTCAGATCGCCTGTAATGTGTTTGCCAAACAAACTACCAAGCTGAGAAAAATACTGATCTATAATTAAGATGGTGTTGATTTATGTTGCCAATTCTTACTGTTTTCCATATAGCATTCAAATGCATGTTTAAGAACTACAGTTAAAGCATATCAGTTCCTTTTTAAGAACCAACCTGATTATGTCATGATGAATACATATCGTGCAATATTTAGTTGACCACATCTGATATAATTTGAGTTCAATACCCCGTCAATGTTCTGTCCATCACTATTTATATGATTTTTTTTTTGTTTCTGAGAGGGACTTGTTTTTCTGTACATTGTGATTTTGAAGTTTGCCACAATATACCCTGGATTTTGATGTAGCGTTGAGGGTGGGATTAGGGGAAAGACTTTTGTTTTGTTAAGTTTTCATTGAATGGAAACAATGTGAATGAGTTAATGTAGTGATCGTCTGAGTGTGTCAGTCAAAATGTGTCAATAATCATGCTAGAATTCATGAGATGAGTGTGTGGACAAGTCTGTTATAACCACAGCTTTGTTCTACCAGCCAAGGGGCTCAGAATGTCTCTTCAGTGCTGGATGGTTGTAGATATTGTAGGTTTTCCCTTTATTTGGAAAAAAAGATGTGCTTTGTACTTGTAGTTGTAGATTTAAGGACATAAACACTTGAAAAATGACCTGGTGACTGAATGTTTATGACTAGTCTGGCATGCCATGTAATGATTTTCTTTTTTTATTGTGTATGTGACACATCTTTTCAATAAACAAGGTCCTTGTCTCTGGTGAAATGTCCAGTCATATTTTGTGAAAAGTGCAGGAATTATCTAGTCCTGGATCTTAGTAGCGGATCCATCTCTCAATTTGGGCCTCTCCGTGGTTTCTTACTTTTTTACCACTAGGTTTTTTCATTGCTGATGCAGGAGGGCGAAAGGACAATGATAACCCGGGATATGAAATAACGTTCCACTCCCTAATGACCAATGGATCCAATGTGTTTGGTTTGTTATTACATTTTCTGTGTTAGGGTTAGGGTTTGATTCTCTGATTTTTTGGTGAATTGAAAACCTGGCAAAGTCCCCCGATGCGTCTGCTTTTGTGATTTAGGACTATACAAAAATGAATTAAATTAAAATAAATCAATTTACGACAGACGCAGAAAACGCACCACATTTCCTCTGTCCATGGTGCTGAATGACGTTTCTGTGACTGCCTCTGGTGCTCCCGCCCATCTCACATCTTTCCCATTTTCGCTGCTTTTGTTCTTTTACTAAAGCGACACAAACAAATCTGCCTCGCCTGCATTTTCATTCGGACGACGCAACAATGCCGTTTTTACACCAGTAGTTTTGCCTCTGAAGGTCAGCGGCTGCTCTGTCTGTGCACCTGTTTCACATCGCCATTTTCACAAGCGCTCAGTATAATTATGGACTCGGATTTCTCGTCTGGTTTGTTGGAAAATCCCCTGTACTCCGAGTTGAAGTATTTTTGTAGAAAGATCCAAGACGTCTACAATGAGCTGAAAGAGGATTTAACTCCATATCGGGATGAGCGATTTTACAGGTAGGCCACGCTATATATTACCCACCCACACGATTTATTAGCCTATGTGTAGGCCATGATACTAATGATCAAGGGAAGCGAGGATTAGAATGATATTGGATTGAAGCGGCCAAACTACTGCACCAAGACGTATTGAATGTCCACAGAAGATGCCTTCATTTGGGGGGATTCGTCCAACAAATACTAGAAACCCAAGATAAATGAATACATAGCAAGGCATGCCAGTCACACATCAATAGGAGTGAATATACAATCCTTCAGTTGTTTGCACAGCTAAACAAGTGTTTTTAACCTGGATTTGAACATTGTCAGAGTAGAGGCCTGTCTCACATTTTCACGAAGACTCAGGGCATCAGCAGGAGGCCAGTCCCTGTGCTCCTCACACACAAAACATACACAGGAATAAAAACAATGCAGGCAGAATAGATATTATACCTAAAAGATAATATTTTTTCCAGTAGTATAGTATTTGCTTTTCATGCAGACTGAGAAAATGACATGGACATTGGTAGTTGCATGCTTATTGTATTTGAAGATGAAGAGATCCTTTATTCGTTCCACGGTGGAGAAATTTCATTGTTGCATCACAGAACAGTAGGAATGTGGAGCACTGAACCCAAAACAAGTGAATATGTATCGCACAACTATACTAAAAATAACATAAAATAACTAATTAGCGTAATAAAGAAACTAAGCATAACAAGTACAAACATGAGTTATAAACCTATTTACTCTAGTGCAAAGAAATAAATACTTACTATACTGGATACATCTGTGCAGCATTTTGGTATCTCTTGCTCCCATATGATGCAGTATACATTGAATAATAATAATAATAATAAACAATTCAACACATTAGTAAAAATAAAAATATATTTCAGCAATTATCAAAACTACTATTTTCTTGCAACAACAGACATAGGATTGTAGCCACGCCCACCTATGACTCTGTTGTCATAAACCGACGGATCACGGATGTAGCTTAGATCTGGGATGTAGGCGCAGAAATATTCAATTTTCACTCCAAAAACGGCCGTGAATATCTAGTAATGGAGCTGTAAGTTATTCTGCGTTGCTATTTACGTCATGAACATCAATTTAACTAGTTACAGAACACGTTGGGACGGTCCCATCTGGAAAGGCTAGCACAAACTAGCATGGAAGCTAACAGTGTTGACTTTACACCTGTGTTGATGTTATGTCCACTTTGTTTAACCATAGCTTGATCACAATTCATTAACTTATCTTTGTTGTTCATGCTTGCAGATTGGCCCCTATGAGGCTTTATACGTTGTCGAAAAGGCATTTTGTCTTGGTCTTTGTTGTGTTTCTACTTTGCTTTGGCCTAACAGTTTTCATTGGGATTGCAGGTAAGTTGTGTGGTGCCACTAACGATAATGATAATATTGAAAAGTATTAGTAATGTAATATCCATTTGTAGGTCCAAGGATAATTTCTGAGCAAGGACACAGCGGTGAGCAGCTACTAGTCAAGAATTTCTCTGCAAAGGTGAATATTATCAGGTTCAAGCATAGACTACAAGTCACACAGAGGGAAACATAGAGAGACACTTTATTAAAATTTTGATTTGACATTGTTTGGTCTGATTTCAAATGATGATTTAGACTAACCAAATCTCAAAACGAGCACATTTTAAATCACAAGGAAAGATGGAGTTATTTTAGCTGAATTTTGATGTTTATGTATGTATTTATTAATTTATTATTTGAGCGTGTACACTCTGCACATCTATTAAGTTTATTTTTGTATAGCCCCAAATCACAACGGCAGTCATCCCGGGTGACTTGTTTATTCACCAAAAACAGATCAGAGAATCAAACAGTTCGAACACAGGAAATGCATCATCATGGTCCATAGGGAGCAGGATGACCATAAATCTTTATAGATGTGCATAAATGTCCTTAAATGTCCTGGATCACTATTGTTCTTAGACCCTCCTCTACCGGAAAGAAACCATTTGAAAACCTAGTGGGAAAAACGTGAGATATTAAACACTGCTAGAATTTGTAAAAACAACATGCAACATTTACCAGCTCCTTGTACAGTCTCTGTTGATAAAATAATAACGCATGCTCAAATTCACAAAATCTGACAGTCCTCAATGTCTGTACCGCGCATAGTGCACTATTAGTTGTTTAATATTTGAGGAAACCACATTCGAAAAACTGTCTTACAAATCTGAAGTTGCTACCACATAGCCAGCTAGCCGTGGCCCACCACTACAGCAATGAATCAATATGTCAAGCAACCATCTCTTATTCGCTTCCTAATTTGACATTTTGAGATTGTATTTTTTACCATTTTAATCAGGAGCTGGACTCATGTTCTTGTTTTTCAGACTGGCCCCTACCGTCTTGTATCTCCTCCTCTCACTACATACAATCAACAGTTATGGCTCATATGTTTGATGGAGGTTGATCACAGCAATGGTAAGATTTGAAGGCTGCTTGTTTCCAAATATTTGTTATTATTGTTGCGGTTGTTACATTGTCTAATATTATTGTGTGTGTGTGTGTGTGTGTTGTAGTGGTAGATTTTAAGCAGAGTTTTGAGATCAATGTGGAACTAAAAGGAGTAATGCAGGATGCCAGTGTGATGCATATCAATAACGTCCACCAGAAATCTCGGATGTTGCACTGTAGCACATTTGTGCGTATTATACATTTATTGCATGTTCTAAGTGTTTTTGTTATTAAATTTTCCTTCACTTTTTTGTTTTCCCTGACAGAAATGTGACGAGATCATAGTATTACACTTAGGATTCCTGAACTACACACAATACCAGGTGACTGTCCGTTTTAAAGGACTTGAAAACATCACACATGATATGAAATCCAACTTTGTGGTAAGTCAATTTTCCATTTTTTAGGTTTGTGCATATTCAAAGTAAAAAGAGACTTAAAAACATTTTGTCTTATAGTGGAAAATGTACAATCCCACCTTTTCTCAAGTGGAGATATGGTTTCGCTTCGTATTTGTGGTCATGACTTTCGTTGTAACGGTAAGAATATTGGATAATCTTCTTTGTCCTCCACTCATTCAAAGTTAATTTTATTGTTATTCTTATATATTTGTTTGTGTTCAAGTGCCTGTTTGCTCACTCACTGAGGAAGTTCTCCATGAGGGATTGGGGCATTGAACAAAAATGGATGTCTGTCCTGCTTCCTCTGCTTTTACTTTACAATGGTGAGTTCTTTCTCTATTTTTGTATTGTATTGTATTATGAGTCTGAATGGCTGGGAGGGGATTGGACTAAAGCTGCACTAACTGACTTTATTTTTGTATTCATTATGAAAATGCAATCCATATCCATGCAATGCATTGGGATATACGTCCTTTTGAAGAAAAAGTAGCTCAGATTTGTGCCGGCGTGTCATTATATTTTAGATCGAGTTTTTGAGCAACAGGGAAGAGAATGTGTTTTGGGTTCCGATTGTGACCAAACACAGCGGACCACTGGCCCCGACTTTCTTGAAAAAAGCTACAGGTCTCTTGTGAGCACAGACAGCTAAGTTAGCACAACAAGCGGCGGAGGCTAACCTGAAGCTTCCCGTGTCTTTGTTACCGGTTACTGCTTACTCAGCGAAACAGCCATCCAAAGGAAAGTCTCGTCCTCTCTGCGCTTCCCGGTTCTATCATTCTATGGTCACGCCATCCACGTTCAAATGTGCAATCCATACATGGATCTATCATGAGACGCTAGCTCTGTAAACAACTGTGGGTGTGGGGTAGTGGGGGGCGATAGCTTCGTGGGTGTGGGGAGGGGAGGAAAAAGAGCGAGGCCAGCGAAACCGCTGCTTCGAAATTCAAAAGTCAGTTAGTGCAGCTTTAATATACCAATCTTTTTTCAAACTTGCACAGGCGTTCTTGTTTGTTTGTATTATTTTTTTCTGTGAATAATTGGTTGTAAATTTTGTGTACGTTTGAAATAATAAGTAAATTCATGAATGAAAAACTGTGTAACATAAAAAGGCAGCAGCGAGAATAAATCAAGTGTGTATAAATAATCCTAACTCCATTGTCTATTTCAGTATTCAAGGACTGATGCACTTCTGAAAAATAGAAAGTGTGAAGGAAGACCATTAATATGTTTTGTGTAATACCTGTAGATCCATTTTTCCCATTGTCCTTCCTGGTGAACAGCTGGTTTCCCGGGACGTTGGATGCATTTTTCCAGGCACTTTTTCTTTGTGCTCTTCTGTTATTCTGGCTCTGTGTTTACCACGGCATCAGGGTTCAGGTGAGTGCAGCACAGAGAATACGGTTGACTCTTATTATACCTGTATTACATATCTGATTTGAAACTCTAGGGGGAGAGGAAGTGTCTGACATTTTACCTTCCAAAGTTGATAATTGTTGGACTTCTGTGGCTCTCGGCAGTGACACTGGGCATATGGCAAACGTAAGTACCACATTAAAGCACATCTGTCACAAAAATAATATTTATGTATTTGTATTCTTCTTTGCTTTAGAGTAAATGAACTTCAGGACCCGACATATCAGTACAAGGTGGACATTGGTAACTTCCAGGTAATGAAACAACTGGACAGGCTTAAATACATATTTGGATTTAGGGTGTGGGTTCACAGTAGGGCTGGAAAGATATTGCATTAATTCATTGTCTATTCTTGACTATACTGCACTGTAGGATTGCAACAATTTGTTCCCTTAATGAAAATACATTGATTTGGGTCTGTTTTAAATTGTTTATTTATTCTATCGGTTCACAACCCTAGTTTCTAGATGTAGATAAAATTATAAGGGATTTATGGCTGAGCACATTTGCATCATTATAAATATATTATAATTTTTATAATTTTTATTTAGGGCTGGGACTCGATTTAATTTTTTTATCTAATTAATTAGAGAATTTGTGTTTAATTAATCGCAATTAATCGCATATAAATATTTGTCCTGAGAACAGTGAGAAGTAATTTTTTTTCACTTTGATTTTTTGTTTACCATTGAATAATGACTGAATACAAAAACTTAAGCAACACATGTTCACAGACAGGCTTCTTTCCCATCAAATAACGTATCTGTCATCGCCTGCACTAAAGCTTGTAATACGTTTTTGATGAGTGCACTCGAACTAAAACATCAGCAATAGCAGCTCACACACCTGTGTCGCTGCTCCTCCTCCGCTCACACAGGAGTCGCTCCACACACAGTGCTCTTCCCCGTCTCTAACTCACTCAGATTTAGACAGCGCTAAAGTTGGTCTATGCTTGTTATAATGTACTTTTGAACAAGAAAAGTCACGGAGCTCCAGTTGGTGCTCCAGTACAATCGGCCCGTCTGAAACTCATCCTCCAGTGAGGAACGTTCCGCAATGCAAAAAAACACATGCGATTAAAATGCGTAAAAAAAAATAAAATATGCGCTAATTTTTGTGGCGTTAATTAATCTTAATTAACGCGTTAAAGTCCCGGCCCTAATTTTATTATTATTATTTTGAGAAAATATAATTATGTTCTCTTTCAGGGCATGAAAGTCTTCTTCCTTATTGTGGTTTCTCTCTACATTCTCTACCTCATTTTCTTGATCGTCAGGGCCTGTTCTGAACTCAAGAACATGCCATACTCTGGTACAGTGATATAATATTACTACAGTACCAAAAGTATGTCTGAAATAGTAAGTATGTGCGGTACTTTATACAATGTGTCTTTTCCAACTATAGATCTCCGATTGAAGTTTTTGACTGCTTTGACGTTTGTTGTCCTTATAATAAGGTACATTTTGTTCCTCTAATATTTAGCTTGGCTGCATTTAAATAATCTAATGTAATTATTTGGACATTTTCAGCATGGTTATTCTCTACCTGAGGTTTGGTGCCAAAGCTCTCCAGGACAATTTTGTAGCAGAGCTGTCCACTCATTATCAGAATTATATCCTTTGACAAGAGAACATGAGAACAATAGCATATTTCACAAGTTGATACAAATCTATTATTTCCTTATCCAAACATACCAGCTGAATTTCTGTCTTTCTATGGTTTACTAAACTTTTACTTATACACATTAGCGTTTGTGTATTCGCCATCCAAAAATGCCCTGTATGGTGAGTAGATTCAATACATGTAACGCATTAGTGTCTAATTTTGTTTAATCCTGTTATATTTCTGTTTTCCAGACTCCCAGCTCAAGGATAACCCTGCTTTCTCCATGCTAAATGATTCCGATGATGAAGTTATATATGGGTAAGAAAGTATGTTGTAGTTGTTTGTTATTCTTCTCTTAACAATTGTTTTATTTTGGCTTTTTAGTAGTGAATATGAAGATATGCCTTTACAAAACGGACGTGCAATCAAAGTAACTGCCAAATACCAGGACGAGACCGACAGCGACTGAGTCCACTACCTGTTTGCAGTAGACTTTTAAAATAATATTATATGTACATATATATACTGTATAGTATTTGAACCAATCATGGATATATTGATTGTACTATTTTAAGAAGGACTGTTGCTGAAGGGACTAGCATTATTTCAGTAAATTCAACAGCTTGAAAAAACATAAGGGTGTTTTCTCTTCGTATTATTTTGTAAAATCCATATCAAGGGAATTTTTGCTAAAACTAATGATTGATAGTAGAAAAATCATGTTGATGTTAAACCATTGTGTTTATGTAAAGGTTTTTCCTTTTTGGTTTGAAGCATAGACTGTAGATAGTCAGCTCTACGGTTGTTGAAGGGGCTTGAAGCTAAAGTCTCAGTTGCATGACTTTGCCCTAAAGTTATTAGAACTACTGACATGTTTTATTGACATGATTGCACCTTATGAACCTGTGCCCAAGAAACTGCTTTTTATTTTTGTGGGAACTTTGACAAAACCAGCCAAAAGTTATTCGCAAACATTATTAGAATATTGTGTATTCTTATAAATCGGTGCCTTGTCTTGACATGACCTATGTTCACAAAATATTATGAAAAAAATCTTTATTTCAGTATGACTTTGCAACAATGTGGCTTCTGTTTTACCAGTAAATGTACATTTATAAGCATGTTACTTTGTGAATCCTGTAATGTGTAAATAAACAATTTTATTCTTTATAATAATGCAGAGAAATATAAAGTTCCACACAATGCATACAAAATAAATTACATAACCAAAACCCAATCCATCAAATTGCCAATCCAAACACTGTGACAATGCAGTACATGGACTCGTTTTCCCATCTGACTGCACAGCTTCCTGTGAACACACGACAGTTACAGTACTCTGATTGTACTTTTATGATTTTACTCAGAGCAGCAGTTACCATCGGTGGTGTTATCCCAAAAACAAGCATTAGCTGTTTGCAGGCCGGCTCCATTTTTCTGCATAATGACACAGTTGACTTCAAAAGAACACAAATACAGCATGAAATAATAGTTTAACCTTAATTGTAAAATAACTTGCCTTTAGAACAGAAATATTATTTATATATATATATAAAATAATATGTATATTTTAAGGTCTGAGGGAGAAACACAGTATTAATAAGCAGCTCTACTTGTGTGTCTCCATGGCCTTGCACCAAAGTACATCTGTGACAGATCAAGGGACTGGCCTCCTGCTGGTTCCCAGAGTCAGGATGACTAAATATGGGTGGGCAGCATTTCAGATTTATGATGCTAAAATCTGGAATTGTCTTTCTGAAATTGTGAGACAGGATTTTACTTCTGTTTCACTGTGCATTCAACTGAAGGATTGTATTGTCGCTCTTTTTTTATGTGCTGTGACTATTCATGATTTGAATATCTTGTATATTATTTTTCTTTTCTTGTTTAGCACTTTGAGTTGCCTTGTGTATGAACTGTGCTATACAAATATACTTGCCTAATCAAGTCTTTACACCTACCGATATATTTGAATGACTTTCCCAGTTTGCTGAGTTGACTGAGGCACTGCTCCACCACACTGGTTGTCCACTGATTCACTCTGTTGTGCTGGTAGCTGTTTCCACCAATGGCCGCTTCAACAGACTACAACACAAACATATTATACATGTTCATGTATGTAGCGTTATGTATGTATGTAATGTAATGGTATGTATGTATGTAGCTTATGTATGTATACATAGTTCCCACATGACGTCACTACATACGGGGATTTGCCGACCCGGCACCATTTGTGTTGGCATTCTGTGGGCAAAACAATAGAAAAAGAAGCTGAAACGTGTTAATGTCGTGATAAAGTTGAAAATGGTCATCTCCTGCTGGGTCAATGGATGTTCAAATCGTGCCGGAGGTTCCGTTAAACTTGGATTTTACAGTATACCCATCATTAGACTTCATGAATGTGAGAAGACTAAGCTTTTGTCAGAACAACCACGGAGGTTATGGCTTGCGAAGATAAACAGGCAAGAAACTCCCTCAAAACACGCAAGAATATGCTCGGAGCACTTTGTGTCAGGTGCGTATCGTATCTTATAATGTGTTGACAGACGTAATTTACTCAGTACTAACTTGTGTATGCTGATATCTGGTAACTTGAGAGTTTCATTATTTAGCGTTAGATTACTTTATTATGAGGAGGATCGGTGTCGCGTCCGAGGCTCTCGAGGGCAACGTAAATGTATTAAATAGATAATAATAGTTCTATGGTGGGCTAAAACAATGTTCACAAACAGCATTGCTTCTGTAAAAAGATCTGTGTCATAAAATAAACTGCTCTTTACGCCTGGAAAAATCAGTTGCCCACCATTCACCAAAACATACGGTCAAAAACGCGGAAATAAACAATAACAGCAATCCAGAGTGTCCGTGTGGCATTAGCATTAATTAAATTAATTGTTAATGTAATTAAAATAATTAAATGGAGCTCCAACTGGTATTAAATCTAAAGTTTTTGAGAAATGTTTGCATTGCTTGTTAATTTTTGCTGCATAATTTGATCAAATATGTAAAACATGTCCGTAGCACGTTAAACTGTGGTGCCATTGTATTAATATACAATTATTTGCTCAAAAGTTGCCCTTTTTTTCCAATTTGCGTTTGAATATCTACATTTATTCTCATTCTTCTGTTTAATGGAATGCACAAACACAGCAGCGTGCCATCAAAGATGGCGTCTCCGAGGAGGTCATGTGACATTCATTGGTCTGTGGGAACTATGTATACATAGTTCCCACAGACCAATGAATGTGTATACTATGTATACATAGTTCCCACAGACCAATGAATGTCACATGACCTCCTCGGAGACGCCATCTTTGATGGCACGCTGCTGTGTTTGTGCATTCCATTAAAAGAATGAGAATAAATGTAGATATTCAAACGCAAATTGGAAAAAAAGGGCAACTTTTGAGAAAATAATTGTATATTAATACAATGGCACCACAGTTTAACGTGCTACGGACATGTTTTACATATTTGATCAAATTATGCAGCAAAAATTAACAAGCAATGCAAACATTTCTCAAAAACTTTAGATTTAATACCAGTTGGAGCTCCATTTAATTATTTTAATTATATTAACAATTAATTTAATTAATGCTAATGCCACACGGACACTCTGGATTGCTGTTATTGTTTATTTCCGCGTTTTTGACCGTATGTTTTGGTGAATGGTGGGCAACTGATTTTTCCAGGCGTAAAGAGCAGTTTATTTTATGACACAGATCTTTTTACAGAAGCAATGCTGTTTGTGAACATTGTTTTAGCCCACCATAGAACTATTATTATCTATTTAATACATTTACGTTGCCCTCGAGAGCCTCGGACGCGACACCGATCCTCCTCATAATAAAGTAATCTAAATAATGAAACTCTCAAGTTACCAGCTATCAGCATACACAAGTTAGTACTGAGTAAATTACGTATGTCAACACATTATGAGATACGATACGCACCTGACACAAAGTGCTCCGAGCATATTCTTGCGTGTTTTGAGGGAGTTTCTTGCCTGTTTATCTTCACAAGCCATAACCTCCGTGGTTGTTCTGACAAAAGCTTAGTCTTCTCACATTCATGAAGTCTAATGATGGGTATACTGTAAAATCCAAGTTTAACGGAACCTCCGGCACGATTTGAACATCCATTGACCCAGCAGGAGATGACCATTTTCAACTTTATCACGACATTAACACGTTTCAGCTTCTTTTTCTATTGTTTTGCCCACAGCATGCCAACACAAATGGCGCCGGGTCGGCAAATCCCCGTATGTAGTGACGTCATGTGGGAACTATGTATAGGAAGACCATCCTATTTTCACGGTCACAATATTACTCATTATATTCTGCAAATAACAAATATTAATAGAAGTTTTAAGTGCTCCTCTAGTCCACGGCACCTTTACAATACATCCTTATGTTAATGCCCAGGGCCATATTGGTTAAAAAAAAAAGATTACAAACGGAAATAAAGAATGCAGTTTATAATAGCCCCCCTATTATAAACGAAGTCGCTACGTGCCTGGAAACGCCTGGGTAAATTATACAAGATTAAGAGCGAATGACTGACCTCTTTTATTATTTCTCCAACTTCTTCGACGACAAATGTGGTCTGTAACGTTAGCAGAAATAAAGTTGGTTCAAAGAAAAGTCAACAAACCGTCAGTTAGCCGTTGCTAGGCAACGGTAGCTTAAACGCTTTTTAACGTGATCCTGAGAAGGCTTTATTTTGTTACACTCGTATTCAGCTGGATTTAGCAATTCTACACATGTGAAAACACTTACCACGTCCATAGCCTGAAGTTCGTCCATTATGATCGTAGATTCTGCTGCAGTTTCTCAAAAAAGAAGATCTGTGCTGCTCGATCCGGAAACAGTAGATAAGGAACAGGAAATTTGAAAATAAACTAAAAAATAAAAGCAAGAACGCTTTGGGTCATCTCGAGCCGAAATGATCTATTACAGCCAACATGCACACACTGTCCGGTTAGTGAAGGACAACAATACTATTTGTTCACTTTTAAACTTTCAACATTGAGGCGTTGATTTTAAATGTTTCTAACAAACATGTCACTTTTGTAAATGGCACGAAGTCATAATTAAGCAAAGTGCTATAAGTCTAACTATACAACTGCACCAAAATCTGGTAAGAACTTGCTATAACATAGTTAATTAAATTGGACCACGGGTGAATAATTCAGGTGTCCAGTATTAGCAAAAACACATTCATCCCATGATTCATCCACACAAACAAGACAAAAAAATTCTAAAAAGCTAACAACAGTAATAATAAAATAAAATGAAACAGCACTTCAAGTGACAGCAGCAGAGGTGGAGCAGGACAGGTCACAGCAGCAGAGGTGGAGCAGGACAGGTCACAGCAGCAGAGGTGGAGCAGGACAGGTCACAGCAGCAGAGGTGGAGCAGGACAGGTCACAGCAGCAGAGGTGGAGCAGGACAGGTCACAGCAGCAGAGGTGGAGCAGGACAGGTCACAGCAGCAGAGGTGGAGCAGGACAGGTCACAGCAGCAGAGGTGGAGTAGGCGCTTGGTTCAGACCATTACTCTGCTCTAGTCCAAAGTCAAATTCTGACGGCTTCATTAGCATTTTTCAAAAGGTTAGCCTTCCTCATCTCAGGTAGAAAAAAGCAAGAAAAATAACAATTGTAAAACACAAAACAAGTGTTTCAGAGCTACTTTGGACTTGCTGTTTCCAGCGCATTCAAACTGTTCTGGCTCTGCTAGGACGCACATTTCATTAAGGTCTATATATGTGTACAGTATTAAATAAATGTTGTATTACATTTCAACTGTGTGCTGCATACCATAATCAAGTATTGAATCACACACACACATACGATGATGTAATCAAGTCGCTTAAATATAACTGCGGCTTTTCTTTAATTTTAAAAATACAATTTACAGGGAAACAATTTTAAGGCTTTACATTTATCATCACCCAACAAAAAACACTTCCAAAGTAGCCTTCAATCCGGTTGCATTTCCATTCATATTATTAACCACAGTTATTTCTGTGTGATCGGAAAAGAGTTTTGATCCATTAATTGTCCCACTCTGTCCTGGAGCGTCTGCACCACTTCAGCGAGGATGAAGACATGTGTGTCATCCAAGTCTTTGAGTATGAACTTCTTTCCGAGGGCCATCGTTTCATCCAAATAAAGAAGGAACTGCTTCATGGCAGGATCACTGAATCAAGCATAGAACAAACACAGCTGTTAATACTGGCCTACAAACTAATAATGCATAGGCATCATGAAGTTTGAACCTAAACCAAGAGGTATGGCAGTATAAGGCTTACTTTATTCTTTCAAAACGCTCATGGCATGATAGAATTCATTATTACTCTGTTTGATGGGGAAGTGCAGTTCTCGACAGTATAGGCTTCTGAAAAGCTCCCTATTTATATTACAGGTAAAGATTAATGAGTACGTGGAATGTTATCGTTCTCCCTTCATAATCTTTGGATTTTGTTTTCCCATCTTTACAATGGTCAAGTGGTACGTCACATAAACTGAATCCAACTTGGTATGCATTTCATTGTCACAAAACTAAAGGAAAATACCCCGTGATCAAGAACGAACTGAGCGCAAATGCTGCCTGGTAGAGCATCACCAGGACTGAAACTGGTGACGTCAGTAAAAAGTGTAGCTAATGTTAAAGATCGATTTACAGCTAAATTAGCAACTGATCAAGAGGTTGAAGTAATCGTTGTCTCACATACGTCATGAGTATATTTATAAACCATGTATATGCTAGGATGCTCTCACCATTCAACGAGGACTCCTTTGTGCACGTTGACCATGTTGATCGATTCGGTTAACGGAAGAAAAACAGAACAGTCAACATTAGCATTAGCGTTAGCCAACAGTGACGCGAAAACACTGCAGAGGTCTCTTCAATTCGTGTTAAGCCGAAAAAAAAAAACATCGTGTTAAGCCTTAGCTTTTTAAGACAAAAATGTGTACTCTCCAGATCAATAAGTTTTTTAACTTGTAGTTATTCAGATTTCGGCTGTAGTATTAGCTAGCTACCACTGCTGATGATGCATATTATAATAGATCCATGTGATGATGCCACAGATTCTACGGAGTCCTCCAAGGGACAATTTACAAGTTTACAAGCGCTTACGAAAAACGTTCAGGTAGATCATGGCTGCAAACCACAAACAAACGATGTGAACGTCTACTACAGTGTAAAACAACATTTATTTATAATTATTTACAGTGGTAATTTGGCAAGTTGACATAGGTTTACTGGTGTCAAAATAAATAAGTTATTTGAAATATATTTACACTATAATATACATTGTACAAACACAAAAAGTGGATCTGTGATATAAATGCACATAATTCAGGGAGAGATATGTTTGTGCAAGGCTTCCTGGATGAACTGAAGGCTTCTTTTGTAAATAAACGAGTTCTTTTTCTCTGGCTTACAGATGTTTAGATGATCGACATCAACCTCAATCAGATCTCCAATTCCAAGATCTAAACAGATCAAATAAACCATAAGAAAACATCAAAGCATTAACTTCCTTCAAGGCATTTGTCTTCAATAGAATACCTGCTGATTGAGGGGACACCACCAATATTTTGATCATCGGGCCAATATTAGTTGGACATGTTTCTGCAAAACTAAGGACTTTAATGTCCTTTTCTTTGACCATAGCCAAAAAGCCGTCATTTAGAGTACGCAGTGCTGGAGAATCTGAAACAAAAAGCTTTAGTTTCACATTGTTTCTTTGAAACTATTCTAGATCATCACTGACCTCTGCATAGCTCCCTGACTTCTATAGAAGGAAACAGCAGGTATCTGGCGTTGATCGAGTACTCAGCCATGTACGTGCCACGATGAGGGACACTATAGAATAAAATACCTTTGGTATTTTTCAGCAAATGTTGCATATTTGGATCCTCTGCAGCGTCCAGCAGCATTTTCTTGACAATTAATCCTGGATAAAAAAGATTTATTCATAGGGTAGACAGTCCAAAGTGACTAAAAGTTACTTCATTTCTAAAAATAAATAAATGAATAAATACCCCCCATGCTGTGTGCGACCCAGACCACTGGTCTTTGACCAACTCCAGCCTCTTTCAACTTCTTTAGCAGTTCTTGACTCCTGTAGGCTAAGGACTTTCTAAAATGATGTGATATAATAAAATTATCCTCCATTACAAGTGCATAATAGTAGAATAAAACAACTGGACCATCACCTCTGATTTTCAGCAGGGCACTTAGACATCCAGTCACTGAGATGACTATCATATTCCACAGATAACACTCTAATGTTAGGACAATCAGCCGCCAGCCATGACTAGCAAAACATAAACATAATAAACATTAAACATTACATTAAATTGAGTTATGGCTTACTTTGGGCCAACATTCTGTGTAGTCGTTTATTTGTTCCATGTCATCTTCTTCAGTTGAGTCACTGAGATCTTTCTGTCGCCATGTTTTGAAGGCTGCTCCTAAAATCCCATGTATGAAGAGGACATCGGCTTTGATAGGCTGACTGGAATAGATAAGCAATTATGAAATGGTGTTATGACTGTATCTCATAATCGTCTTCACTATCAATATACAGTATACAGTTAAAACAGAGCTAGGTGCTTTCCTACTTGCCGCGTGTTTGTGGGTGAAGTATATATATTCCGTCCTGATATTTCTCCATGATCGATTCCTTATCCAAGTTGGCGAGAGCACGAGCTGCATGGGAAGCTTGCATGATGTGAGGAGATTGCAGCATTTCAGCCAAGACAGAAACCCATCCTAAAGGATTATCAAAATGTAGGATAATCAAAATAGACAAACCATAAATATTCAAAGCAATTATTTAAAGCGTACCTGACTGTGTAATGGCTTGGTGAAGACTTTCATTTACTGCCAAGTTTCCAATGATACGAACAATATTCCTTTGAATTTTTAGTGAATCTGTGCGAAGTTGGAAAACTTTCTGAAGAAGATGCAGACCCCCATTCTTAACAATAGGTTCACAGTGACTCTGGACCTATAAACAAGAACAACAAAACGTACCAACCATATACAACCAACATGAATCTTATGAAATCCAAACTAATGACCCAATAAGACATTTACTTTTGAGTGTTGCACTAGAGCTTGTAAACAAAACGACTCCACCTTCTCAGAAGGGACCGAGGTGAGGCTTTGGGCATAGGGTAATCCATTACCACCAAAACACCACAGTCCACCCTACAAAGCGTAAATATTTAGTCCAAATTAAAAACACTTTACAATATCTTTCTTATTAATTACCCGTTGTGCTGCCAAAGCCTGAGTGCTCTCCCGCAGAGCCAAAGAGGTAAAGTATTGAACACATTTATCCACCTCTGACTGAGGCAGAGAGCCCAGCAGCTGCCTCAGTCCATCTTCTGCTGACACATCCTGTGTAACGGATGCAAAGATTAGTACAAAAGTCAAAGCAAAGTCAAGAAATTTAGTTATTCAAATGTACTTAACATTAACTTAAATAACATTTTTATTGTAATTTCAAAAGCAGCATGTGGCCTTCAGAGCACCAAGGCACGTGATGAGTTCCATGCTCTCTGACAACTGTTTCACTCGGTTTTTAGTCATTATAAGAATTAATTCAATTTGGAATTTGTGATCTAATAAATTAATCTTTTCAGCCAAACTTACATTTTTAAAGTTTATTTTGGCTTGAATACTGTTCCTCACCTCTTCAACTGAGTTTGGATAATGGTCATCCTCCAGTCTTGTGGTAGTACTAAAAATGGTCTCCTACTCACTCCCTACATTAACACTCACAGCGTAAAGGAGACGTCCCATTATGTTCTGTAGAGAACAGCTGTAGTACTAATAACAGTTTAACGCTCATTTGGCAATAATATTAGCCTAAAATACGGCCTTTGAAGAGATTCTTATTATATGTGGTCATCTTTTTGCCGTTTACCCAGCACACACTACCATCATTATTCTATATCACACAAAAAAGTTGAGACAATATCTCCACTGTAATCAACATCATCAAAATTATCTTGTACTTCAACCACATTTCCTCATTTACGCCAGCAGGGGGCATGTTTCATACATATTTGAGGGCAAGAGTGTCTGAAAGTCGAAGCTGAGGAGACGAAACACCTGAAGCGGAACATCAGGTACATCGTTACACAGAACAGTGTAAGGTTTGTGTTTTAAATTAGATATCGATCATTTATCTGCGTCTCCAGAAACAAGGTAAACATGTACAAATCCTTTTTGGCTTCAATGGCCGTGCAGATTGTCCGATCAGAAAGCGGAACGTGTGTCTGATTCAGGTTTCCAGTTTCTTTAGAAAAGAGAAGTTCAGGGGCACTAAGAATCACAACAAACAATACAGCAAAAAGCAAAAATGCTCGATTATTCATACCTCCTGATTTAAAAGTGCTGGTGGTGGCCTGAAAAAGCGAAGGTCGACCTGAGGAGTCCTGGCAAGGCCCACTGCTGTTCGCTGGTCGATCACCTGAGCTGCTGTTTGATACTGGTAATCTAAAATAATGAATCAGATCCCACATTAAGAGATTTTGATACACATGATGAAGAAGTCAAATTTTTTCCTTTGTAAAACCATAATATGATGTTTAGCAACTTTAAAAGTTAAATGTATTTTCTTCACTTTTGTTAAGAAAACAACGTCAGCTATGTTGTAGAATTAGAGCCAACTAAAACAAGCTTTACATGGAGCCAAATTTGTGGGTGGCAACGTCCTAGCAACCAAGTAGCCGCTGATTACGAGTAGCTCTGGTCTGTTTCCGATTGCGCTGCTCGCTAGCTGAAGCAAAAATCAGGGACAGAAGGCTCCTGATTGGTCAGGAGCCTTCTGTCCCTGACCAATACGGGCCTTTATCTCGGCTACAAACCGGAGAGCAGTTTACTGGTTCTACGGTCAAATTAAAATTTGACCTATATCTGGATTTATTTTATATCTGGATCTTAAGTATTAATGTTTTGACAAAGTTGTTAAAATAATTAGTCTTAACCCCTGGTGGCCTCGAGCAATAGATCATATATTGTATGTTTTTCATTTGTTAAAATCTAATAATGACAAATAGATATTTGGTTCTTTGATTTTTTTTACCATGCCAGTTGTGGTTTTTTCCAAGTTCCTGCACAGCCTCCAGTCGAACAGCTTGGTTGGCCGACTTTGTCTTCTTCAAGAGGACCCATAAAGCCACTTCATGTGGATCAGCATCAACATGGCAGAAATGCTCTATTCAAGAAGAAGATGATTAACACCATGAATGACATGGATTCCTGATGCATTCGTACAATAAGCCTGAGGACATCTACACCTTGATACTATACCTAGAATACTACACTTACAAAACAACTGCTGTAAAATTACAGACCTTCTGATTCTGTACTGTCCATTATCACCTTGGAAGCTTAAAATCGTCAAAAAGCCAATGTTAACACAAGTTTGAGCGTGAAAACCAAACACAGCCAGAAAAACAGGATGTGCAGATTTGACAGGTGTTTCCTTTAACTCGGTTACAAACTGGAGAGCACTGGAGACCGTAGAACTGGTTCTACGGTCAAATTAGAATTTAAGTTATTACCATCAAGAGAATGTTGGAAGAGCCAAGACGATACTTCCAAAAAACGACGTGCTGCTTTATGTAACTCCTTTCTTGCTTTTTGTGTAAGATCTGTAACAATATATTATGTATTTAAATAATAATAGAAAAAACATCTGCTCTTACTGATGTAAAAGGTGACTACAAATGCAATGTTTGCCAGTGTCCTTGCATGAAGCAGCTGCAGCAACAGGGGGCTTAGGTTGTTACCCATCTGGTTTAATGCTTTCAAAAACAATAACAATGAGACACAGGTTTATTGAATCTGCTGATTCATAAAACCAGTCAAGAATTCAAACTTTGGTAGAAAATGGCCATAAATTGACATTGCCATGTCATGGACAATGTCATTAAGATTGACATAATTTGTCAATGTTTATCTTGTCTAGAGATACAGGATGGATATGCAAGTACATATTGTGTCCTTAAAATCCAGGCTTGCATAAGAAAATTTGAAAACTTATTTGCAAAAGATAATCAGATGAAGACAGGACAATGTGGTCTGATTTATTTATATTTTACATTTATAAGACTCATTCTGTTGAGACAAAAAAACAAAAACAGTTTGGCGGCCTTTTTATGTGAATGGGTGAACACTGAACAAATGACAACTAAACAGACAAATATATAATGCAAATATTATAATATTTTAGCACTTACCAGATGCAAAGTTCTCCTTTTCGTCCAAGGAAGCTCCTTTAAGATAGATATAAGATTTGTACTTCTCTTTGATGATAGCACTAGTGTCAATAGTTAAAGCCTTGTCCAAAGCAGCGACTTCATATGTGATGAAAAGACAGCCCCTGTGTTGAAGATAAACATATAATTACAGTAACAACACTACATTTTGTTAGATATTATGACTGCAACATACCCCAGCACAACTGCACCTGTGACTTTGGCAACTTTCTCTGCCAAATAAAACTTTGGTCAAAATCAAATCCGTGAAAGAGGTTTTCAAGAATAATTGTTTTGTGAAAGAGTTGAACAATATAAAAAAGCAGCAGCATAAACATCACAGAAATGTCTTCAACTTATACAGTGGTTTTGTATACAATATAATTCAAAAAGTCATGGCAGTCCACTGTACAATAAAGCCACCATTTACCACAATGTTTATTCTAGTGGCTGTTGATCTCAAAATTACTTGAGGGACTGTGCGTATTATTCCACATGTCAACATCTTTTCCTGAAGCTGTGACTGGGCTCTTCAACGTCACATTTCTGCAGTAGATACCGGTCTAAGTATTCAGGAAACTCTGATTGTGCATGTATACAAGTTTCCTGTTGCTTTGTGCACATTGAACACCATATCAGAATACTGTCATTGGGATGTATAATAACTGGGAAACTCCAGTGTAATACTGTATCAAACATCAGACTAAAACCTATTATTGATATATCCTGGCAAAAGCAAAACGTACGGATAATTCAGTACATATTGTTACTTACTTAAGTTTCTCTTCTGAAACAGGTTAAAAGAACCCGTTTGTTTAGAGGATGTACACAGTTTTCGACAGCGAATCAAACGCAGTGTTGCACCAGACATCCTCCTTTACAGCCATGCACCAGGACTATGAGCAGGACATGGGACCTGAAAAATTATGTATGTGATGTAGCTTAGTTAATAAGAACCACATAGGTCATAGCTATACTGCTAACATGTCGTCAACATTTGCCGAGTTGCACTATTTAATATCCAGAACATTATAGTATTGCAACACGTGTATGTGATAAACGTTGGTATGTCATGCACTAACCATAAAGGCATGCACTAGCTAAGGTAACCTTTCCAGTTCTGGCATATGCTAGTTTAGCTAGCGTTCGTTTGTGTTAGGGTTAGGGCGATTTCATTTTAATAACCTATACACATCACAAACCAATGTCAACCACGATTAGCCCCGTATTAGATCTTATAAATGTAATATGTATGTCGTATTTTACCTTTTGAAAATGAATAATGATTAAAAGTTTGATTTTAGAAAAAGAACATCCATGGTCATCTGTGTTTCCTACTGACTCACAAATATTACGTCACGGAATGCGCCCTTAAAGGAAGAAGAACCATGGATGTATTGAGAAGAACACGTTATTTTAATAGATCCATGGAAGAACACTACTTTTTTTTTTTTAGGAAGAAATGATCAAAATCGTATTTCAATGAAAACCCATCTGAAGTACCAAACATGCAATAACAATATGCCAGAATTAATTATATCCAATGCTAAAGTACCTGATAATAAATGTACTGACAAATGATTAAAAAACGACCATAACAATAACAACAATAATGATGATAATACAAATAAAATAAAAAACACTACATATATATCCAATGCCCAGTGATGCTCCTGTTTTTCCTGCAATAATGAAAATGTCCTTTACCTGTCCTGATCCTGTCACTACAGAACAACATTGGAAAGCAATGTTGCAAACATATTATCAACGCAAAGGTCAGAAAATCCCCAAAATAAGAATAAAAAAAACATGCTTCTCATTATATCATTTTAATCAATAATCTTCATGAGTTAGTATAGAAAACAGAATAAAATCTTTTATTCTGGGAAATAATATTCCTTACTTGAAATATTTCTGTATGCAGTACACACACAAAAAAGTCTGTATGGTTTATTAATAAATAACCTAAACTGCATTAATATTTGCATATCATTTTGGTTTAAATAAGGGTCTTGAATGTTTTCTTGTAACACATTTATAGGATAAACAACAACAAGGATAACAGCCATCAATGCCCCTCAACCCTATAGTGAGTGTCTATTGGCCCTCTGCATTATACTCTCGTTCAGGGGTTCCCAATCTTTACTAGCCTTGCCTTAGCCATCCGTAAACTCCAGTCAATTATTATTTTCCCACATTAGTACAAAATTAAATTTGTAAGATGGTGTGGTAAGACCAGGCTAAATCTTTATAGACCAGAAGCTCTAAAATAGAAAGGGAACTGACTGTTGAACCCCCACAATTACAATTTATGATATTCAATTTGATATCATGAGAATGTGAAAACATACTAAATTAATTTTAGTGTTGTCCATTAGAGTAATTGATTGCGCTATTTGTTCTAATATAGAACAAATACAAATATTCTAATTGTAAATATTCTGTAAATCATCTTGCTATATACTGCTTTTTTTCTTGGTCAGTTGTTTTTTCTATAGTCATCCTACCCCCAGACACAAGTTATACTATCCTTTATACTCCCCAAATGAAATGTGGACACCCAATCAGAGTAAATGAGTCCTCAGAAGCCAAAACAATTTTTTTTATTTTTACAGTTTTCAGTCATTTGAAAGCAAATAAGATGGGAGTTTAAATGGATCTCCAGATTCTCCGCCTACTTCTCAGGTGCGTGTCTCACAATAAGCTTGGATGATGCTGTCATAAGCTGGAGGTGGAGGTTGTGTAACATGGAAACCTCTCAGACTTGTGTTTCCCCAAAACGACTCAGGTCTGGATGGATTGAGAACAACCTGCTCAGAGGCTCCATCTGCTTCAGGAAGCAAAGTTTGGGTACATGGAAGTGAAGATGGGCTTCCTTCTTCGGCCTCTCTTGCAATTTGACTACACTGAAGCAAAGGATGGAATGTAGATCCCCTAAAACTGGTCTTATACCCCAGTGGGTCTATCCGATCAGGGGAAGAACTTTGGCGTTGGAAGCTAAATGAAGCTCCTAGCAAGTTATTGTTGGTGCGGCGATCATAGCTGTTGTTGCGTTTGAAGTTTGGCCGTGCACGTGGAGAGGAGCGGGATTTGCGTGGGAAGCGTCTGGTGATGATTGCAGAACCTGCTCTCCTCCGAGACATCCAGGTCAGGAGCACATAGACCACAGCACCCAGGACTAGACCCACAGCAACAGATACACAGAAGGCAATGATCACAGGCACTATAAAACAGAAACATGAGGTTAAGGTATACTTTATTGTCCTCATAGGGTTAGGGCAGGGGTGGCCTAACCTTTCAGTGTATAAAGAGTGGATTCAGGCTGTTCTGGTCTTCAAAATGGGGTATGATATCAGATTCAGATTCAGATTCATTTATTTGCCATTTGCAGTAAAACCACATTGGAAAAACTGATATGTCCACTTTTGAATTGCCACTTTTTATTGTACACAATATATCCTGCATTTAACATGTTTTGCACATTTCTTTCTTTTGCACAATCTTGAGTGACTCTATCCATGCCAGATGTGACATGTAAATTTCTCCTGTGTGAGATCAATAAAGTCTATCTTATCTTATAGTGATTCACACCGCAGCTACATAGATTCCTCCAGTGGATTTCCGCCTGATGCGCTTGGTTTGGACCATGAATCCTCTCTGCTCTGGTCTGAATCAGTGTTAAACTATGAACACAGTATACTGCAGCAACATCGCAGAAAGAATAATAACAATGGTAAAGCACAAAAACAATCACTGTTTCAGAACTACACAGGACTTGCTGCTTGATTTTCAGCACATTCAAAAATAAGCTCCAGACTCCTCTCTCTGAGGTGCTCCAAGGACAGACTAAAAAACTCTTTTGTCCCCAACGCCATCAGGCTCTATAACAAAGCCACTTCAGGGAGGAGCAGGGGGGGAGGAGGGAGGCAAGGGTCTTGAGAATTGTTTTGCAGTGCCTTAACTTCTCTGTTAAGTTTTTTAATGTATTTTTTGTTTCTTTTTTAAACTATTTTGCATCTTTTAATTTTAACCTATGTATGTATGTTTGTATGATTGCGAGCAAGGGACCAGTGCACAATTTCCTTCAGGATCAATAAAGTATCTATCTATCTATCTATCTATCTATCTGTCTATTGGGGCCATATGGAATTTTGTGAACCAATCAATAATATCAGTATAAAAAACGAATGAATTTGAGGTATTTTGTACTTAATACTTGCCTCTTATTTTGTCAAATGTAAAATTTTTACATCTATTAGATTTTCAAGATAGAGATTTTAGACTATTATTGATGCTAGAGTTAGATTGTTTTTATTTTGATAGCTATTGTTCACTTAACGTGTTCCGTGTGCCCCTCTTTCCTACTGTTCTATAACCTGTGATGCAACACCAAAATTTCCCCACTGTGGGACAAATAAAGGATCTCTTAATCTTAATCTCGTATAGCATGACTATATTGATGGAGCTGAAGTTGACTGGATGACTCTGAAAGCAACCTAAATGGCAACTTTGTGTTTGCAAGTTAGTAGGCCACATGAAATTACATTAGTTTGAACTTGCCTAGGTCAGGGTTTGTTGACACTTCCTTCACTCCCACCCTGTCAAGAGCAGTGTTTTCTCCAGATACTGATTCTGGGCTTGGTCAGGACTACTGGAGCTGGAGGATTTAATCTATCTTTTTTTATTAGTGTTGGGGGAAATGGAGCACCCACAGGAAACCCACCCAGGCACAGCGAGAAACCATAGACTGTATATGGTCAATGGGAGTAACATGCAAACTGCACACAGAAAGGCCAGGGCTAGCACAGCATCAAACTCACAACCTTCTTGCTGTGAACCAAAGTGCTCGCCAACATGCCAAAAAATAATGCAAGTGGCAAACAACCTTCAAATCAAAGAATTAGCCCAGAGCCTCATGCTGCTAACATGCACAGTCGTTTCCTTGTGAACGTGAATGTTTAAACGTTCAGAGCTAATTAATCTGTAACCTAATCTCACGGAGGAGCGTTGGCTCTTATAGTTTGCGTTCAAATGATCATTTGTTGCTCACTGTTCCATTTGCCCGTTCAGAACTGGGAAAAAGGGCATTTGTTCACTCTGCTCCTTCTACATGGAACACATTGCAAAAAGACTGGAAAATAACTGATCTTATTCCATTGAACGAATTTAAGTCCAAAGTGAGAGCACTTGAGTCAACCTCTAGTAAATGTTTTTTATAATGAGTATGTAATGTGTATGTAATTCTTAAACTGTATATTTTGCTGCCTCTTGGCCAGGACTCCCTTGAAAAAGAGGTTTTTAATCTCAATGGGACTTTCCTGGTTAAATAAAGGTTAATAAATAAATAAATACTTATTTATTTTTTTAAAGAATAGAGTTTTTACTTTTGTAACTTGTGATGCAACACTGAAATCCCCCTTAATTCTAATCTTAATCTTGATGCAAATTTAGTAGAATTATTCTGTTATTAAATTCTTGCTATCCGTGACCCAGTTAAAAATGGCAGTATTTGAGGATTATAGATGTTGCTTGATTATGGAGCCCCTAGTAACACATAAAGTATGCTACTGAAATAAAAAGTGTTAAAACATGAAAGAGGTTCATTTTCATCAGTGTTTTACAGGAATGCAATATGTTTTTTGTATAGTAAGTTCCACATCAAGTATAAACATAGTTTAGAAGTATGAGGTTGTTTCCAATAAAGAAAAAGTGTCTTTTTAACTTCATAAGTATATTTTTTAGCTAGAAATCTTGTAATGTAGTTGATAACATCATAATTAAAGCTATTACCAGGAGGACTGAAAAGAAACTCACCTGCATCATAAGACTGAAGTATTTCCAGAAAAAGATTTGTGCTGTTTTCTGCCATGACTTGTTTTTCTTTACAGCCTTACTTTCCTCTCCCAACTTTTCATTTCCCTTTTGAAAAACTAGAAGCGCTCCTTAAACATCTGATGGCTTTTCCTGGTATTGCGTCTACACTTCAAGTAACTTTTAGGGAGCCTCCAACAAGAAGAACTGCACAGAACAGAGAAACAATCCTGTGTGGAAGTTGAGAAACCACACTGTCACATTTCCTGCCTGGAAACACAGCTACAGGACTGGCTTATCTATTTGAGACAGAGATCCTGGTGGGGTGGTGCTAAAATCACATCCTCAGCCATTATTTCCGTTTCAGTAGATTAATTGTACATTGCTGGACAATTGTTTTTGTTGTTCTTTTTTAAGGAACCAAATCCAAAAAACAAATTAGACAAAACCATGTGTCATCTGGATCTACCGTTAGCGAATATTTAAGATGCTCCTAGTCGTACCGCAGAGACCACAGGCATCTCTTCTTACAATTGGCCAAAGCAGCTGTTTTTTAACTTGAAGGGAAAATATCAACGCAGGCCCAGAAGGAAATGGAAAATGTGAAATATTAAATCAATAATGGCATCTTTTGCATGTTTTTAGTACAAATTATTTGATTTATTGAAACATTATTTTGGTCATGTAAAGTGCTAAGTTTTCTGAATTGATCAATGGTAACTTTTACAGAGAAGAGAAGAACAACAAAACAAGAAAGTTTTTAACCTGGATTTGAACATTGTCAAAGAAGAAGCCTGTCTCATATTTTCAGGAAGACAGTTCCAGATTTTTGTTTCACAAATCTGTAGCAGATGTACATGTCACAGATGTACTTTGGGTCGAGGCCATGGAATGACTTATACACAAGTAGAGCTAAGTTAAAGTCTGTTCTCTGAGAAACAGGACGCCAGTGCAGAGACCTGAGTTTAAATTTGATTCAAAATGTCTCTCGGATAAAATAAAACATCACATTGAGAGTCAAAACTGGACTGTGGTCAAAACAGATCCAACAAATCAACTCAGCTGTTTGCAATATTATATTAATCCGCTAGATGGGGCTGTTGTCCTGGCCTTATAAATCTAATGCGCTGTGTGTGGTTAATACAGTCTATGGTACGTTAGTACGTTAACTTTTGTTATTATGCATGTACATTTTCACTATTTGGTAAGTCAACTATATGAATGTATGTGGGCTTAGGACTTATGTTCAACTATTTTAATGTATTGTTTATTTTAATTGGACAGTGTATGCCAATCAGTGTTGGGTAAGTTACTTTGAAAATGTAATTAGTTACAAATTACTAGTTACTTCTAAAAAAAGTAATTAGTTACATTACTTAGTTACAGCCCCAAGAAAGTAACTAAGTTACATTACTTTTGGATTACTTCGTGTCACAAAAAAGAGAACAGAATCAAGTTTGTATGTTTGCTTTATTAAAGCCATTTAAATAAACGTCAACAACAAATCAAAACTGGCTCAAATGGCATAACATAAAAATGTAAAATGTTTCTGAAAGACGGCGACTGAGGTTACCTGACAGCGTAATTCAAGTCGAGCTTGCTTATTATATCGTGTTGGTGTTGTGCTGTCGGAGGAGGAGGAGGAGGAGGAGGAGGAGGAGGAGGCGGCGGCGGCTTCGCTGCGACGCTCTTTAGCGACAGTTGAGTGTTGACGCTGCAAGTGTTTTAAAAGGTTCGAGGATGAGTTGGCTGCGGTGGACAATCGCTTGCTGCCCGCGCAAAGCTTGCACTCCACGACAACGTTTTTATCTTTTTGACTGATGTAGTTGAAATAGTGTGCATATCTCCACCGGTAAAAAGAACTCTTACTCTTCTCCTCTGACTCTGCCATGTTGCTTTACAAACAATCTCGCTCATGTGCGCAGCGTGACGTAAGCACGCAGGCACGCATGGAGCGGTAGTGCAGTTCTCCCCTGCTTTCCCGAGGCCGGTGCCGCCGGTAACGAAGTATTTAGGTAGTAACTGTAATACAATGAAACGTATTTTCATAATAACGCGTTACACTACAACGTTACTCAAATTGTAATTTCGTTACAGTAAAGTAACGCGTTACACCCAACACTGTGAACCATACACCTTCAACATGAACACTTCGATAACTATTTTGCTAGTGGGTTTCTATGGCGGGTTAAACATGGTCCTTTCACACAGACTTTGAAAAGATGCTGACAGTGTAGGAAGGAGATTACCACTCTGTGACTGTGTAAAGATTAGATAAACGAAACGTATCGGTGCTATTATATGCAGTCTATGGTGGTCGCAGTCTTCCATTGACCCACGTGCTTTGTTGGCCTCGCCTCCTTTCGCTGCGGCAGGTCCATGGATCTATAATAGTATCGGGCAGGTCCAGGAAGGTCTCCACTTTCTTTCGCTGAATGTGTTTGGTCCCCGGAGACTTCTCTGGACGGTAGGGGTGACCTCGGCCCGGGCTGAATAGCACCGGGAAAAGTCCGGATCAGCATGTATGTCTTGCTGCCGTAGTCAGAGTCAGAGAGGCACGCCTGTTTACAATAACTATACAGTCTATTCTCGAGGTCGGCGTTACGTCACGAATCATGTGACCTGCGTAGCAACCAACCGCCGCCATGTTTGAAGGGTAAAACAAACCGAAGGCGAATCTAAAAGGTATCTATTTACATATGTTTTGCCGTGGATTATGTCAGTTATGGATACTAACGGACAACTTTGAATTATTGATGAATGATATCTGTGTATGCGAATGTATGTTGGTGGTGTAAACATTCAGGGCTTGCTTAGCTGGAGGCAGGAATCTAAATTCCTATCTATTTCCATTGTAGCTGTTGTCATAGTAACAATAAAGAAATGTCTAACTGTTGTTGGAAATATCAGATAAACCTTATTTTATTAACGCAAATGTCATTCCTCTTGTTCTTGCACCTTAAGCCACAACAGGACCACCTTTTTCAGTTGTAGTTTTACACTTATAATCGCCAGTTTTAGTTTACATTCACTCCATACATGTGAGATTAAAAACACTCATGTAAAGCGCTTTGTGACTAGCTACATGTCTGTGAAAGGCACTATATGAATACAGATCTTCTTCTATTGCAGCATGTCATATCAGTATATTGACAGTCTCCTAGCGCCTGCATTGACCAGGTACCACAGAAAGCTGTCGCTTGTAGGTTTACAATCTTGTCCCTATCGGCATCCAGCAGAGTCCTGGGAAAACAACCCAAAGGCATGGCCCAGGCTCGAGTATCCAGACATATACAATTACCTCATCAAGTCCCCTGGTATGAACACCATGTGTACATACCATGTGTCCTACACTTGTAGTAATATTTAAATACCCATCAAGCATCGATAACATTAACTATGTTATGACATTCAAAAGCATTCTGTTACAATGTGGCTGTAATGAGCTCAGTCTGTCAGTGGCACAGCTTGTACAGTGTAAGTGAGGGACACAGTTTTTTTCAAAAGCCAAAAAAGGCTAACTGCAGAAATTCCACTTATTCCCCACACAACTAGTGCATTTCATTGTTGCTTATCGGTGTAGAGCTGCCGACCATTATGCATAGCGATGTCATAACATAGCAACAGAAAACAGTGGCATGGCATTGGTATTATTTTGTTATTCTTTGATTTGCCCCTCAATGTGTCCATTCATTTGAGATTACATTTCTATTTAAATTTTAAAGTAAAATGGCATACCCTCTATTCACACTTTTTATGACCGGTTATTTTTTTGCAATAACCAGTCATCAGATTACATTTTATTATATTATATATGTAGTGTCTAACGACAACAGCAAGACTTTAACATTTCTAATGAGAAATAGTTTATTAGACATTGTATAAGTAGAAATACTAAAAGACGTGAAGATTGACATGAAAACATTTGTATCATTTACTTGCAATTTGTCAGTGTTTTTGCTCTGGTCAATTGTCACTCTCCTAGATGTGATATGTTAATGTATAAAAATAAAATTATTTCCCTTTCTTCATTTTCTTTTGTTTCAGGTGTATTTAGTATTATGATGGTGGAGACCGAATCATTGCTGATTTTGTCAATGCCTAATTCCGTCTGCTGCAGGTCTTGCATTTCCATGCAGGGTGTTGACACTTCTTGTTGCAACTCTTCTGGGACACTTGTCTCCTCAAATTCCAGTTGCTTCTTCACCTTCCTTTCCTTTCGTGATACTAGAGTAGTGGATGGTGCTGAAAAAAATAGATAAAAGGTATATATTTTGCAAATGATCACAGAAATTTTAAGTCATGGCCTCATATTTATAATAATAATAATAATGCATCAGTTTTATGTAGTGCTTTTCTGGACACTCAAAGACGCTTAACATTGCACTATTCATTCACTCCATACTTGGTGGTGGTAAGCAACTATTATAGCCACAGCTGCCCTGGGGTAGACTGACTGAAGCGAGGCGACCAGTCTGCGCCATCGGCCCCTCCGACCACCACCAACCACTCACTCACTCGGCTTCCTGGTGTTACTAAACGGCAGTATATTTAGTATTGAGTTGGATTGGGACGATAAGTCATAATAGTCGACTATGACTAGAAAGCAGCGACCAGTAGACTAGTTTTGTACTATAAATACCATCTTACCAAGAATTTCCAGGCTAGGCATTATGTACAAAAATCTGCATGACTAGTTACTTTGTAGATGCAATGACTTTTTCATACAGGAGGTAATTTTGTTTTCAAGGAAAATACATTTGTTAGCAAAATCTGTATTTTTACACAGATTACCATTTTTGTAGCAGTTAACCTCCCAAGTACTACTTTTTCAAATTGGTCATTAGAAATCAACATGTATTTTTTATTTATGTATTTCATATGGGGGACAACATTCTATTTCACAAGGTGCTTGTATCAATTGTTGTACACAACCTCATTGCAATATGGAATCTTTTAATTCTTAACTGTGCATTGGAAATGCAGCTCATTATCTGCAGGTACGGTTTTACTGCAGTGTAAAATAAGAGCAATAAACACAATTTGCTACTATATATA